ATTTGTGAAAATATCCTGTGTATTTTTTTTCAGATGTAGGCCTTCATTCTGGTACTGTGTGTTACTGTAGCTGAGACATAACTCTAGCATATTGTGTTTCACTAATAAATATACAGGAACTAGAGTGAAGGGTGGCCCAGGGAGAGTCACCCACCCTGAGGTTCGTCCAACACACTGTTCTCAAGCGGCCAACCAGATGCCTAAGGGAAGCCCACATGGAGGACACAGAACTCCCTTACAAGGGAAGTTAGTACCATCTCTTCCTTTTTTGGGTTTTCATAAGAAACTGTGCATTCCAGCTTGCCTTTTTGAAAACTGAAGCTGAGTGCTGGAGTTCATGTCTTATAACTCTTCTGCTTTGCTGTTTGTTTTTCTCTTTGTCTGTTTTTATGTTTTGTTTTGATTAATTAATTCATTTGACAGTTCTGATTGGTAATCAACAAAGCTCTGTACCTCCGAAATTACTTCATATCATAATACAGTAATGCGCAAATAAATGTGGATTAACATAAAATCACGGCGTATGTTCTAAAAAAAAATCAAAAATCAAAGTCTGCTTGAATTTGCTTTCATAGGAAGTAATTATTGACAATATTGTACAAAGGGCAACTAGTTTTCCCATAACTAGTTTCCCATAATTCACTTGGCAATTCTTGATCTTGGGTAAGATTTCTTTGCCTGGTTTTAATGATGTTATAGAAAAATAGGGGGGTTGGCTTTTGCTGCCCAAGGGACTGAGTCCCCCAAGTCCACGATCGGTCAGAGATGAATGGATGGAGGCAGGATGCAGCGAAAGCAAGGCAGATCTTTAATTTTCTGTTCAGAGTTCCCTCCCTTCCTTGCAAGGAGGTAAGAGAGACCAAGAACAAAGTGTGCAGGAACCTTTAAAGACTTTTGACAGTGCCCAACTCCTTAGCCAAAGACCACCCTAAAATCATCATACATACATCATAGGAGGCAGTCTGCAGCAGAAATCTTGTCTGCCAGGATACATGATAATGGTCACTGATTGCATTACCTGGCCAGCCTGGCCATTCTTTTGTGACGGTTAATATTTTAGAAAGGCTGGGCTGGATTAATTCCAAGCTGGAATTAAGATCACCGAAAGAAGTATTATCAACAACCTCAGATATGCAGATGACACAACCTTGATGGCAGAAAGTGAGGAGGAATTAAAGAACCTTTTAATGAGGGTGAAAGAGGAGAGCGCAAAATATGGTCTGAAGCTCAACATCAAAAAAACGAAGATCATGGCCACTGGGCCCATCACCTCCTGGCAAATAGAAGGGGAAGAAATGGAGGCAGTGAGAGATTTTACTTTCTCGGGCTCCATGATCACTGCAGATGGTGACAGCAGTCACAAAATTAAAAGACGTCTGCTCCTTGGGAGAAAGGCGATGGCAAACCTAGACAGCATCTTAAAAAGCAGAGACATCACCTTGCCAACAAAGGTCCGTATAGTTAAAGCCATGGTTTTCCCAGTAGTGATGTATGGAAGTGAGAGCTGGACCATCAAGAAGGCTGATCGCCAAAGAATTGATGCTTTTGAATTATGTTGCTGGAGGAGACTCTTGAGAGTCCCATGGACTGCAAGAAGATCAAACCTATCCATTCTGAAGGAAATCAGCCCTGAGTGCTCACTGGAAGGACAGATCGTGAAGCTGAGGCTTCAATACTTTGGCCACCTCATGAGAAGAGAAGACTCCCTGGAAAAGACCCTGATGTTGGGAAAGATGGAGGGCACAAGGAGAAGGGGACGACAGAGGACGAGATGGTTGAACAGTGTTCTCGAAGCTACAAACATGAGTCTGACCAAACTACGGGAGGCAGTGGAAGACAGAAGTGCCTGGTATGCTCTGGTCCATGGGGTCACAAAGAGTCGGACACGACTAAACGACTAAACAACAATACTTTAGTTCCTGAATCCAGGTCACAGGCTCACCCTATTCATACACAAATACACCCTTAAGACAGGATTTGAAGGATTTGTAATTGAACTCAATGGGAAAGCTTTCCCCATTTCTCTCCCTCGCTCCTGAGCAATATTTGAGGTGACTGGGAGAGTCAAAAAATGGCTTCAAGATTGCTCTCCTGTACCATTTCAGACACGTGGCTTATATACTTACGCATGTGTGCATTTATGAATATTTATTCTGTATTGGAGACCTTAGAATTCTTCCAACAGTGACATGCTGCTTTACTGATTTAATGGAACTTTAATTAAACTGCTGTGATATAATAATAATAATAATAATAATAATAATAATAATAATAATTTTTATTTATATCCCACCCTCCCCAGCCGAAGCCGGGCTCAGGGCGGCTAACAACAATAAAACAGTACAAAGGTACAGCACAAACAACACTCTAAAATCATTCATTATAAAATTAATTAATTCAAGCCACTGGCAACCATTGGGCCAGAGCTCCGCGAAGATTGCCGAGGGAGGGAGTCAGGCTGTGCCCTGGCCAAAGGCCTGGTGGAACAGCTCTGTCTTGCAGGCCCTGCGGAAAGATGTCAAGTCCCGCAGGGCCCTGGTCTCTTGTGACAGAGTGTTCCACCAGATCGGAGCCACGGCCGAAAAGCCCTGGCTCTAGTTGAGGCCAGCCTAACTTCTCTGTGGCCTGGGACCTTCAAGATGTTTTTATTTGAAGACCGTAAGTTTCTCTGTGGGGCATACCAGGAGAGGCGGTCCCGTAGGTACGAGGGTCCTAGGCCGTATAGGGCTTTAAAGGTTAAAACCAGCACCTTAAACCTGATCCTGTACTCCACCGGGAGCCAGTGCAGCTGGTATAGCACCGGGTGAATGTGATCTCGCAGCGAAGACCCCGTAAGGAGTCTCGCTGCAGCATTCTGCACCCGCTGGAGTTTCTGGGTCAGTCTCAAGGGCAGCCCCACGTAGAGCGAGTTACAATAATCCAGTCTGGAGGTGACCGTCGCATGGATCACAGTGGCTAGGTCAGGGCGAGAGAGGTAAGGAGCCAACTGCTTAGCTTGGCGGAGATGGAAAAATGCCGCCTTTGTTGTAGCTGCAATCTGCGCCTCCATGGAAAGGGAGGTGTCGAAGATTACACCCAAACTCTTAACAGACGGTGCTGGCACTAATTGCGGCCCCGCAAGAGATGGGAGTTGCCCCCCCAATCCCATATCGTCCCGTCCCAGCCACAGGACCTCTGTCTTCGAAGGATTTAGCTTCAACCGGCTCCCATGTAACCATCCAGCCACAGCTTCCAAACATCTGGTCAGTGTGTCTGGGGCCGAGTCAGGATGGCCATCCATCAACAGATAGAGTTGGGTGTCATCAGCATACTGATGGCAACCCAGCCCAAAACTCCGGACAAGCTGGGCGAGGGGGCGTATAAAGATGTTGAAAAGCATCGGGGAGAGTATCGCACCCTGAGGTACTCCACACACCAAGGAGTGGCGCGATGACAATTCCCCCCCAAGCGCCACCCTCTGTCCCCGACCAGAGAGAAACGAGCGCAGCCACTGAAGGACTGTGCCCTGGATCCCCACGTCGGCAAGGCGGTGGTCCAGAAGTTCGTGATCGACCATGTCGAAAGCTGCTGACAGATCTAGAAGAATCAGCAGCCCCGACCCACCTCGATCCAGCTGTCTACGAAGATCATCTGTTAGGGCAACCAGAGCCGTCTCGGTCCCATGACCAGCGCGGAAGCCGGACTGGAATGGATCCAGAGCCGATGCTTCATCCAGAAACCCACCAAGCTGTTCAGCCACCGCTCTCTCAATCACCTTACCCAGGAACGGAAGATTCGAAACCGGGCGGTAATTGGATAGATCTAAAGGATCTAATGATGTTTTCTTTAAGAGCGGGAGCACCACTGCCTCCTTCAGTTCCCCTGGGAATGTCCCCGTGCCAAGGGACAAATTGATGATATCCCCCAGGAGGGCCCGCACCTCGTCTGGACACGCTCTAATCAGCCAAGACGGGCACGGGTCGAGAGGACAGGTGGTGGGCTTTCCAGCTTGGAGGAGTCTGTCCACATCGGCTGGGGATATCCAGTTGAAGTGGTCCAATACTGGATCCGAGGACAGTCAAGGGGCCTCCAGTTCCTTTATTGTATCCAAATTGGCAGGGAGGTCATGGCGGAGCAACAAGACATCCTCCACAAAAAAGCTCGCAAATGCCTCACAGCTGTGTGTCAAATTGTTATTTAAATTTGGCTGTCCCTCAAGGGACGTTGAAGACCTGATTATACTAAATAATTGCGCCGGGCGAGAGCTAGCGGATGCAATGGAGGCCGAGAAGTAAGACTTCTTAGCAGCCTTCACCGCCATCTCGTAGGTTTTCATAAAAGCCCTATAAGATGTTCTTGAGGCTCCGTCACGGGCACCCCGCCATACTCGCTCTAGCCGTCTGAGGTCCCGCTTCATTTTCCGGAGCTCCTCGGTAAACCAGGGAGCCCGGTTTCTGCGGGGTCACAGAGGGCGCTTAGGTGCGATCTCATTGATGGCTGCCAGGAGCTGGATATTCCAGCCCTCAACAAGCTCAGTCAATGAGTCGCCAGGGGGAGCAAGGTCCCGCAAGGCTTGGCAGAATCTATCAGGGTCCATCAGCCTCTGCAGGCGAGCCCAAATCGGCTCGCCACCTAAGCAGGGTGGGGGTGGAAAGTCAATCCTGGCTTTCAGAGCGTAGTGATCAGACCATGGCACCTTCATCGAAGGAGACATGATCACATCTATACCTACGCCAAAGATCAAATCCAGCATGTGGCCTGCTTGATGTGTGGGGCCTGAAACAAACTGGGAGAGCCCTAGTGTCGCAATGGAAGACACCAGGTCCAGAGCCTGTGAGGAGGGAGTGGCATCAGCATGGATGTTGAAGTCCCCCAATACCAATAGGTTAGGGAACTCCAAGGCCCAGCCGGCCACCGCCTCCAATAGGCCTGACAGGGTGGCTGCTGGTGTGCTAGGTGGCTGGTACACCAGCCAGACAGCCAAGCTCTCCTCGGAGCCCCACACTAGGCCAACACATTCAATGCCGGGGATCGATGGCGATGGTAGAGCCCTGAAAGGACAATCTTCCCAGATTAATAATGCCACCCCTCCCCCCCGGCCCACAGTCCGCGACTGGTGGAGGACGGAGAAACCCGGGGGCGCCATCTCTCGTAAGGTAACTGTTGCCCCTTTGCGCACCCAGGTCTCCGTCACACAAGCCAGGTCGACCCCCTGCAAGATAAAGAAATCTCGCAGGGTGGCGGTTTCGCATATACCGTACTTTATGCGAAAGCAGTATGCAAAAAAGGGTGGAATCAATGAGGTAGCAGCTGTGTCATGCTCTAAAACTAAATACTGTATGGGGGAAATGATGATCAGCTGCACCTTACTTTTCTCTCGCCCGTCCCATGATCCACCCCTACCCGTACTATCCTACTAAGAATTCTGGAGAGCTGCATACTGTTTCGGTTTGCACAATAAAGACACTGAAATTTAAATAATTAAAATAATTTAAATTAAAATAATTAAATTAAGTATTTTAATTAATTAATTAATTAATAATTAAAATAATTTAAATTAAAATAATTAAATTAAGTATTTTAATTAATTAATTAATTAATTAATAATTAGAATTATTTTGAAATTAAAATAATTTCAAAAATATTATTGGGCAACACAGCCACGTTCGCTTATCAGAGGCGGGGAAACAACTACCATTTGACTGCAGCCTTTCTAGCTGTAGAAATTACAAATAACCCTAACACCTTCCGTGTTCACTTTGAAGATTGGCTGCCTCTCTCTTCCGCCTTTCCAAATATTACTTGCAGTTGTGGGGAAAAGAAAAGTAAAAAAAAAAAAAAAGGAACCCGGGAGTTTCGTTTCAGGCCGTTGGGTTGCCCCCCTCTTCCCTTTTCCTGCCTCTAGGTTCCTGGCTCTTTGCCGCAGCAGGAGAGCCTGAACTTGGGCTTCCGGCCAACGGAAAAAGGAGAAGAGGAACTCCACCAGGAAAGTGCCCGGCGGCGTGGGAGGACGGGAGGACGCTCTAGCCCCTTCCTCTCGATGCCTAGGCGGAGACAGCGGGCGCGAGAGGGAGAGAGATGCGGTTGCTTCCTGCCCGCTGTTTTGCTGCTGTTGCCGGTCGCGCTGTCCTGGCAGGTGAGTCGTCGTCGCCGCCCTCTTCCTCCGCCGGCCCCCTTTCCCGGGCGTCCCGAAGGCATTGGCAGCAGCGGCTGAAGCCCTGAAGGGGTGCGGGGCGAGAGGGAAGCCAGGGGCACCCGGAGGTGCTCAGCCGGTTTCGGTGGGGAACAGCAGCTGCGGGTCGGTGGGAAGACGGAGAGGCAGCAGAATCCAAGCAGAAGGCTTTGTATAAAGGCTTCTGGGGTTGCATTGGGCAGCCGGCCTCCTCCTTGCAGTTGAAATGCGGCAGCCTGATTCCTATGCTCCCCTCCAGGAGAAAAAAATATTCCCATTATCTTGATTCCTCCCCGCCCCCTCATTCCCTATAATATCATAATGTTGTGCATAGCCTTCATCTGCTCCCACCGCCTCCAGCCTTACTCTGGAGGAAGTGTAATTCATTGTTAATCCCACCCCCTCCCATGAGCTTTACTTCCACTTAAGTGGGTTTAGGGATATATCTTAAAACAGATTTCGATTTGAATGCTGGCAGCTTTTTGGTAGGATATTTCTGTGCTGCGCTGCTTTAAAAAAAAATTTGATATTGTATATATTTTGCGTTACATGACGGTGAAACATTTCCTCACGTGTGTAACTGCATTTTTCAAAGCCTAGGTCTGTCTGGAGTGTCTCCGGATAAATGCACACTTCTTGTTTTGAAATGGGCTCAGTGGATTGCTTTCAACCCTTGGTGTAAACTGCGATCTCTTCTGTCTTTTCTTTATCAGCTATATTTCAAAGCTTACACTGCCAATCCTTAATCGACATGGTGTCAGCATCCTACCATATTTCATTATGATAATAGTAATAAAGGGGAAAGAGGGAGGGAGGCCTACCATTGAGTTTTGTCATTGCACACTGGTGTGTAGGGAGCCCTCTGTTTATGCTCAGGGGCCCTCTTAGTCGTATCATGTTCATGGCTTAAATGAAGCTGCCTTTGAGGATCCTAGTCAGCTGTTTTCCTCTACAAACACTGCCTGATTCAACAGTTACTGCAATTTCAGACAGAAGGAAGAAAAAGAGCCATCCAGCTCCTGGCTAGAATAGAGTAGGTGACTTTTGATTGGGATAATGAACACAATTACAAAGGAAAGATTTGTGCCCTCATAGTGAATACTGCAGGCTCAAACTTCAACTTCAAAGCAAATTTGTCAAACAGGCCATCAAATCCACCCCCTGCATTAAGGCAGGATTCCTATAGCTAAAGTAGGAATTGGCAACTGGAAGCCTTTGTTTCCACACAGAGACATGTGTTTTATACTTTGTGGTACTAATCTTTGGGGAATAAGGGACAGGGGTTGGCCCACCAGCTACAATCTTCTCAGGGAGCATCTGGTAAAACTGTTTGCTAATCAGGGATCTAAAGCAACCCCAAACACAAAGGTTACTCTAGCTTTTTTATTGAAAACCCTGAAGGAAAGTTTCCAAGTGTTTTTACTTGAATCTTCCTTCCTGATGACTTCTTTTGCAAGATTCAGAATGAGGCAGATGACTGACCCTAAAATTCAAGCTTCCTTCTCTCCCCTTAGTCTTGCACCGTATTTGTTCTCTTTGAGTAGGCAAGAACCATTGCACGCACATGTTGGCTCCTGTAGGCAAGCATGTGCTCAGTCCTGCACAGACAGCCACAATTATTTCTTTTAAAATGCTGTTGGAGAAGAGATGGATGCTTGCTCATAAATAGCCTGTGGCCTGGCCGTTTGTGGCGAGCAAATGGTACCTCCGGGTAACCAGGCAGGCATTAGTGCAATACAAATCCTGAATTTGGATTTGCATGAGCAAGTGTGCTCATAACGTTTATGAGTTGATTTGCAAGCCAGGGTGACACACCGCCTCCTCTATGTGATCATAGCCACACTTTCTCCATCTGCCAAGGTGCTTTATAAAAATGAACAATGTGTTTTGGCACACAAATTAATGGGAGCCATGGAAGAAACACAGTGGAACTGCGGGGGAAGGACCTCATTAGAATTTATGCTTCCCATCATTGTGCAGAAAAATGACTTCATTATGGAAAATATATTTTCATTCATTCTTCTGTGGTGTATATTTGTCTGTTGTGCCTCCGGGGTATCCCTCCCCCCTTTTGAAGAGAAGGCTATGTATTTTCTTTCTCTCCAGTGCAGGAAGTGGAAAAACTTTGTAATAAGAAAGTCTCCATCAACATTGGGCTGGTTATTGTTCTGGTTAATCCTGCAACTAAGAAATTCATTCTCTTTCCATCCTCTGCAGCAGTAGGTAGTCTCTGGCAGTTGTCCTCCTTCCAGAAAAAGGAAAGAGAACCAGAAGAGCATGTTGATTCAGAGCATGAGCCAGAAGTTGGCAGTTCAAAGTTCAACTTCTTCATAAACCAGAGGTGGGGAACCTGAGGTCATCCAGATGTTGTCTGTTTCCCATCCCCAGCCATTCCTGGCTGTTGGCTGGGGCTGATCGGAACTGGAGCTCAACAATATCTGGAGGGCCACAGGCCACCCTGCCTCTTCCTGACTTGACAAGTGTCTTATCAGGTGGCAATCTCACAATTTCAGCCTTTCTAGTAGTGGGCATTTCCAACCACTCATTAACCTGCAAGACCATCTACACATGATGAGTAAAATTAAAGCAACCCATTAACTGCTTTCTTCTTTTTTTCAGATGCCTGAATAAATACATTTATGATAAATATTATTAATACTGATATTAAATATCTAAATTCACTGAGACCTGCACAGCACACGTGTTTGTAGCCTTTCACTCTAAGAACAATCATCATCATAGTCAGGGAATAGAAATAACGTTGGAAGCTGCCATTGTGAGTCAGACCATTGGACTGTCTAGTTATGGAGTAGATCCTGTGTTTTGTGGGGTGCTCTGCTTTTTAAGGCAGGAGTTTCATTGTCTAATGAATTGTGTTGTTTTATTCCGGACGAGTGTTTCAGAAAAGAAACAAGATAGGCCCCTGAGTTGCCTCATTTTTCCCCAATTTTTAAAATTATGCATATAAATTTGAGTAGAGTTTTCAGATTGCTGACTTCAGATTTATGTATTTCTTTTATCTAGCATAACACCGGCTTCATCTCCCTGTGAGGACGACTTCTCCTCCTAAAAAGGTAAAAGGTCATGTGCAGAATACATGGTGTGAATTGTTCTTATTTTTTTTTTCTTTTTTAAGAATTAGGAAAAGAAACTGGAGCTTTTGGCTTTGGAAAACATTTCTTCTGGTGGCCCATCTCAGATATTTCCCAATGTATATTTGAAAGCACATGCAGGCAAGGGACCAGAAAATTGTGTCCCAAGATGTACATCTCTGCAGTGAAACTTCCATCTGGCAAAGGTCTTCATTCATCTTGGGCTCTTCCAGTTGCCTGTTAGCAGGTGGGCTCTGGAAAATGCAAACTAAAGCAGAGTTGGGGAACTCCAGCTCCCATCAGCCCCAGGAGGAATGAACAGGAATGATGGGAGCTTTAGTCCAACAACATCTGGAGTAGCACACAGTACCTGCATAAAAAATTACCAGGTGTCTGTTGTAACTGCACAAGGACATAGTTACCTGTGTCTCACCACAAGCAATTAATTCCATTGCCCCCATTTCTCATCCCCCTTCTCTTCCACGATTCCAAGAGCTTTCTGACAAGTGATAATTATTCCAGGCAGTGATGCAGGTCAGAAAATTCTCTTGTTTTATAAGTTCATTAGTGGCAATGAATGGTTGCGAATTGCAACGCACATTATTAGGCAAGATTGGCAGTTTCAAAGTTTTTAGCATTGCTTGCTAACCGCAAGTAAAGTATTCTTGATTAGATCACGCTCTAGGGCATGAGAGTTGTTGCCAATGCAAATTACTCTTAATCTGCACAGAGAAGTTTTCCAATTCAATTTTTTCCTGAAAACACCCATCACTGATTGCAGGCTTGTTAAGATTTTAAAACACTGTGTGGCTCATGTCTGAGTTTCTCACCCTAAGGCTCCTGTTCTTTGCCAGCTTCTGTCTCTCTGCCCTTTTTAAAATGCTATTAGGGCAATGTAATGTAGGAGGTACCCTTAATGTATTTTAGATGTCCTGCTCACTAGTGACTGTACAGAAATCCTCTATGGATATGTCAAATGTCATTCTGTTTTCCAGTACAAGGCTATAAGGCACAGGTAGGGAATCTGTGGCCTTCCAGGTGTTTTAGGGTTCTTTGGGCCTCATCTTGCATGACTAACATGCAGACATGATGGAAATGCAACAAAATAGGGAGGGCCACAGACTCCCTATCCCTGGGCTAGAGCAATATATACAAGCCATTATTGGCCAGAATGGCAGTGAAATAGGACACCTAAGGATATTGTGCAGCTAATCCACCTGGTTTTAAAAAGTCGGATTTTCACAGCCTTGGGAAGATAGGAAGGAAGCTGAAAAGGGGGAAACAGAGGGAGATGTTTTGTTCACAGCATTGTGCAGATGCATTGTAAAAACTTAAGTGAACAAACTGTGGATATGCCAAGGAATATGCCATATATGCAGAGGAGTATTTGCTCAGCTGCAGATGTTATGAAAGTTGTTGCTGCCGCAGAAAAAGCAAGCTGGTTTTTTGTTTAAAACCGTCTTGCCTCTTCAGCTGGGTGATTGTTTTCATTGCAGCTGTTCAAAACAATGAACCTTGATGAACTAGCCTCTGCTTCCCTCAAGCAAGTTGAGCAGCCACCCAGCCTATAGAAGAGGGGTCAGCAAACTTTTTCAGCAGGGGGCTGGTCCATTGTCCCTCAGACCTTGTGGGGCTGGACTATTTTTTGGGGGGGGGGGGATGAACGAATTCCTATGCCCCACAAATAACCCAGAGATGCATTTAAAATAAAAGGGCACATTCTACTTATGTAAAAACACGCTGATTCTCAGACTGCCCGCGGGCCGGATTTAGAAGGCAATTGGGCCGAATCCGGCCCCTTGGCCTTAGTTTGCCTACCCATGCTATAGAATTTAAACATTTGTGCTCTAAATGGCCAAAAGCCAATACCTTTGTGTGTCTTGCAGCCAAGCTTGTAGCTGTTTCTTGATCAATTGCTACTTCTGTCAACTCTGTTCAAAGTTTTGTCGCATTTGCAGTATTTTGAGAGTACTTTTTGTGAAATTGTTCACAAGGTTTTCTCTCCAACTCCAATTATTGAGCTTTCGGGTATTTGTTTGAAGTGGATCATGTGTGGGTCTCTCTCACAAGCTCCACTGAAATGAATGGAGATTTCTCCATAGTGCACAAAAATACACACACTGGAGTACAGTCTGCATAAAAATATATGTGCTAGTGACAATTGCACACACAAATGCATTATATTAGGGGAAATTGCTGTGCAAAATAGCATATTTGGCACAACTGCATATAAAAATGTGTGTACACAGAGAAATTTACTCTAAAATGCTGCTGAATTTTAATGAGAACTTTAAAAAATATATATATCACAGACCAATATGGAGAACTGAACTGAAGATTGGAAAAATTAGGAAAACTGAGAGAAACTGAAATTGACAGATTTGCACATTTCTAAACAGGAAGTGTACTATATCAGTCTTTTTGTTTGCTTTGTGGTTAAAAGTTGTCTGCATATAGCAGGCATGGTTCTCTTTTAATTACTTGTACAGTCATACCTCAGGTTACAGGCACTTCGGGTTGTGCGATTTTGGGTTGTGCACTGCGCCGAACCCAGAAGTACCGGAACTGGTTACTTCCAGGTTTCTGTGCTTGCGCATGCGCAGAAGCGCTGAATCACAATCCACGCATGTGCACACGCTGCACTGCAGATTGTGAATACTGTAGGTTGGGAATGTGCTTCCCGCACGGATCACGTTCCCAACCCAAGCGTCCACTGTATTGCAAATGTTATGCTTGGGGGTTTTTGTTTTTCCTGTTTTCTCTGAACATTAAATACTGTTTCCTCATTTGTATCTGTTTTGAGGCCAGTTACAGATTCTTACAAATCTATTTAGCTTCTGGTAACATTACTCATGCAGCTAAAAAATAACAAGTTGTTACTTCCGGGAGCATTGGTTTTCTTGAGTATGATCTACTTTAACAAGTTTGCTTAATGCTTTATTTGACTTGTTAAAAGCTAACATGCAGGGAAAGCGGCTTCACATTTTTGCAAGTCGTTTCCGTGTTTTTGAAAAATGTTTTGTATAGATCTGCTTGTGATGGAGCAAAGAACCTCTCTTACGGTAGATAACTATGACCCCATACGGCTGTAAACAAATGCATCAGATTTTTACATTCTTATTGGCATTTATAAGAATCATGGTATAATTAGAATTTTATTACGAGCTGTTTTTTGTGGCATAGCTGTCCTTTTTTTAAAATCAATCAATCAATCAATCAATCACTTTTTTATTCTATCCACCCTCCAGGTAGCACAGTGGCAAAATAGATCTGTCCCATTTTATCCTCACAACATAGTGAGGTTGCAAGAAAGTGACTTTTTTGACGCTGTCCAGGGCACTTTGTGGTTCAACAGGAATATAAACCCAGGGCTCCCAGGACAAACTCTAGCACTCTATCTGCCACACCCTGTCCTGGCTGTTAGCCATTAACTTTCTGGAACCTAATCTGTGTGTTAGTTTCAAGGGGTAAGCCAGAAGTTGAAGTGACCTGAAGGAGAGGGAAAGATTCTCTGCTTCATGAAAAAATCAAGGGCTCTTTGATTCACTTACTTGATTCTCCTTTGTGCAGGGAAACATATCATGTACTTCAGATTCCCACAGGTAAATGAGTTGTGGAATCCTCTCAGAAAACACCAGTGACCTGGGAATGATTCAAAAGAATAAGTAAGAAAATGTTGCAGAAGGCATCCTGAAATTCTGCAATCGTGTGCTCAAAGGAACACATAACAGGCACAAAATGTTCAGAGGATGTGGACAAGCTGCCTCTGCCCCCTACTTCTCAGCTATAGCCTTGGGGGGATGGCTGTAGAGCACCTTTTTTGTGTTCAGAAAGTCCCAAATTCAATTCCTGGCATCTCTAGGTAGGTCTAGAACCCTGGAAAGCCATTGCTAGTCATGGGTAGGCAAACTAAGGTCTGGGGACCGAATCCGGTCCAGTCGCCTTCTAAATCCAGCCCGTGGATGGTCCAAGAATCAGTGTATTTTTACATGAGTAGAATGTGCCCTTTTATTTAAAATGCACCTCTGGGTTATTTGTGGGGCATGCCTGGTGTTTTTACATGAGCAGAATGTGTGGTTTTATTCTAAATGCACGTTATTTGTGGGGCACAGGAATTTGTGGGGCACAGGAATTTGTTCATGCTTTTTTTCTTCAAAATATAGTTCGACCCCCCACAAGGTCTGAGGGACAGTGGACTGGCCCCCTGCTGAAAAAGTTTGCTGACCCCTGTTGTAGACACTAGATGGACCAGTGGTCTGGTTTAATATAAAATAGCTTCCTATATTAATGTCCTCACCATTCCACCCCCAATCTAGGCCTCATATTCACAATGAATTTAAACCAGTATTATACCACTTTAAACAGTCATGGCTTCCCCCAAAGAATCCTGGGAACTGTAGTTTGTTAGAAGGGTGCTGAGGCTTGTTAGGAGAAGCCTGCTACAGTGCTACAGTTCCCTGGGATGTGTCTCTATGAGGGGTCTAGGGATCTCTGAACAACTCTTTTTTTAAAAAAATTGATATTTATTAAAGTTTCAAAAGAAGGATACATAAATAGGAAAAAGAAAAATAGAAAAAATAAAAATAGAAAATAGAAAAAACAGAAAACAATTAAAAACAATTCCATCTTTTCATCACTTCTCTTACATTTACTTGTTTCCCAGACCTCCTCATACCTCCCTTTTTTGTATTCCAGTTCAATTTATTAGTTCAGCAATTCCTTTCCCTCCTTTTTAAACCTGATCTTTAATCTTAATATATTATAGCATTAGGTTTTTACGTATTGAAAATCTAATTTTTCCATATTATTTTATACCATTACTGCTAGAAACCACTTAACTTCAATCCAACATCATTCTAACATTCATTAATTTTGCAATATTTCTGTAAATAGTCTTTAAATTTCTTCCAATCTTCTTCCACCGACTCTTCTCCCTGGTCTCGGATTCTGCCAGTCATTTCCGCCAATTCCATGTAGTCCATCATTTTCATCTGCCATTCCTCCAGAGTGGGTAGATCTTGTGTCTTCCAATGCTTTGCAATAAGTATTCTTGCTGCTGTTGTAGCATACATAAAGAAAGTTCTGTCCTTCTTTAACACCGATTGGCCGACTATGCCCAGGAGAAAGGCCTCTGGTTTCTTCAAGAAGGTATATTTAAATACCTTTTTAATTCATTATAAATCATCTCCCAGAAAACCTTAATCCTTGGGCACGTCCACCAAAGGTGAAAGAATGTACCTTCAGTTTCTTTACATTTCCAACATTTGTTATCGGGCAAATGGTAAATTTTTGCAAGCTTGACTGGGTTTATGTACCACCTGTATATCATTTTCATAGGGATCTCTGAACAACTCTTAACAAACTACTGCTCTTTGGGAGAAGCCGTGTTTGAAGTGGTATTGTGCTTTAAATGTATCGTGCAGTTGGGGATCCTTGGTGGACAGTTGGTTCTATGAGGGAAGACATTTTCTAAGGCCTTGGAACAGAAGCAAGCAAATGAGCTTGGATAGCTCAGTCTTCAGGATAATTTTGGTTAGTGAGAAGGGATAGGCAACATCTTCTCAGGGAGAAGTTTAATCATTTCTGTATTGTTGGTTTCCTTGTGGAGCAGCCCCCAGCTGTAGAAAGCTTTCTCAGTTATTATTGAGCAAGGAAGCGCATTGGGTCTCAATGTAATTTCAGCCCTCGGTAACCTGGTCAAAGAGCTGATCCTTCGTTCTCACGCAAGCTCCCCACTCTCTGCTTCCGCAGAGCAGCCTTTTCTGCCCTGGCAAACAACTAGCAGAGTTAAGTTTCTTGACCCAAGAATTAAGAGCTTCTTAAGAGCAGTAATCCTTTGCTAATAATAGCTTTGATTGCTGGGTTGGCCAGGTAGAAAGGAGGGCAAGGGCTCTTTGGGTGGATGTGCAGAAGAAGGAATTTTGATATATTCAACTTGTCATAGGCATCTTTTACACATGTTACAGAATTGGGGGGTGGGTTAGAAAGAATTCTGAAGGAGTAGAACAGATTGAATCATTTCAGACTGCAGGTGGGGATTCCATTGTTAGGAGAAATTGTTAGAAGTGCAACAGCAGAGATCATTCAATTAACTTAGTGGTTAATTCTGTTACTGTTAAAATCAGCTAACCAAGAGCAAACCAAGCTGCAGGTGTTGCCTGGCAACCAAGCAGTGTGGCATGATCTTCACTGATTGGCTGTGCAGCTCTGAGGAAGTTTTTCCTCTGTGTGTTTGGTTGTATGTCTCTGCATATTTGGTTGTGTGTTTGGTTGTATGTATGCCTGAAGCAAGAGAGACAAAACCTGTGTGTTCCTTTTTTCTCAAATTGCGCACTGTTTTTGTCCAGTTTGCCCAGGAAAATGTTACCAAGACACTGGACTCCATCTGAGTTATTTGAGTGACTTTGCTCATGGTATTTACACTGAGCGTTAAAATATGGCGTCTCCCACCTGCAGTCTGAAGTAGAGCAGACTGTGCTACTATCACCTTATTCTATAGAAGTGATCCAGAAAACATGGTGCCTTTAGGCTTTCAAAAAATTTTGGGCAAAAGATTTCAGGTTTGCAGAAAAATTAATCATAGGATAAGGTGACAAGTCATTTAATGGATTGGTGACTGGTTAAATAACAGAAAATATATAATCAGAATAAATGGAGAGTTCTCATCATGGAGGGATGTAGAAAATGGGGTACCCCCAAGGATCTGTATTGGGAGCTGTGCATTTTTTAGCATCTTCATAAATGATCTACTAGAGTTGGGAGTGAGCTGTGAGCCAGACTTGCTGATGACACCAAACTGATTGTGAGTAACTCCAAAAGGATATCTCCAAACTGGCTGAATGAGCAGTAAAATGGATAATATATAAAGTGATGCATGCTGGGGCAGAAAATCCTAACTTCACATTCATCATTCTGGGGTCTGAACTATCCATGACTGACGAGGAAAGAGATATTGGAGTTGTAGTGGATGGAGATGTTGAACCAGTGTATGTGGCAGTTATGAAAAAGGTGAATGTTATGCTACGTATCATTAGGAAAAGGACTGAAAATGAAATTGCCATGGTATTCACACTCTAATTTAAAACTGGCCCCACATTTCCTGAAGATAACCTTTTGCATTATGCATTGCATGGTGTGTTTAGCAACAGAGGAGAGACGCTCTTGCAGCAGGTGGTGTGATGAGAGATAATGGGCTCAATGTGTTTGTTGCTCCTCGACGAAGGTGTCTCGGTAAACTTTGGCAAATTTATTCTTGCTCAACGTGCAAACATCCCAGGTTTCTCTTTGTAACTTTGCCCTTCCGTCGCCTTTCATTTTCCCTTTCCTTTCCAGAAACTGGATGGCTTCTAATGTGAGCCTGAATCTGGATAAAGAAACGTTGCTGGAGGATGGGGTGCCACCTGCCAAGAAACCTAGGTGAGCAGAGCCAACGGGGATTGGATGAATTAATGGAGGAAAAAGCTATCGCCTCCGTGATTAGAGGCAGTGTAACTCTTGCGCGTGGGTTGCTGCAGGTGGGAGAGGGCTATTGGCTTCATGCCCCGCTTGTGGGCTCCCCATCAGCATCTGATTGGCCACCATGGGAAACAAGGACACCAGACCAAAGAGGACTTTGATCTGATCCTGCAGGGCTCTTGTGTTAAGTTACATTATGGCGGGGAGAGTTATGAAGCTCCTTGGGTGACCTTGGGCCAGTCGCCAGCTCTTAGCCGAACTCACACCATGGGGTTGTTGTGTCTGAGGATAAAATAGTAATGCAGGGGGAGGACTAGGATATCACAGAAACTGCTCAGCAGAGAGGTTTGAAGCTTCCCCTGTTTGGTACGGTCCTGCTTGTCCCCCAAATGCTTATTGCTGTGAGCTGCCGCAGTCCAGGACTTTTTATGCTGCCGCCAAGTTTGGCAGACTTATTTCTAACTTTCACCACACATGTGTGCGTATATATACACACACACACACACACACACAGCATTCTTGTAGGGGTGTTTGAGGAGAATAGGTTCTTGGGACATCTTAGGACCCCATGTCTTTCTAAGTCCACGCAGCTTTTCATTTATCCACTAAGATCAGTGAGACTGCAGACGGTCAGGCACATGGCTTATGGAATTTGCAGGCTTGCTCCAGCAGAGGGTCCTTGGTTCAATCCCTGGCGTCTCCAGACTCACGGTAGGGCTGGGAATGATTCCTGCCTGAATTTCCGGAGAGCTGCTGACTGTCAATATCAACAGTACTGAGCTAAGATGGACCAGTGGCCTGATTTGGTATGAGGCAGGTTTTCCTATGTGCATGACTAGATACTGGAAAGTGCTGTTATTAATAATGAGACAGAGAACGACAGTCAAAGGTATAAAAGAAGGTAACTTCCATAATGCAGGCTTGGGTGGTTCTACAAGGTTAGCTAGTAACTGTGAAAATATACTTGCTTCTTCAAATGGACCAAAATTTTCCCGCAGACAAGGGGAAGTAATCTGACGCGGAACAAAATTCTAGCAATTTTTCAGTACTAGACCAGCACTTTTCAAAATAATTGTGTTGTTGGGTTATGTATCAAAAGTATATATGTATGTATATTTATTTATTATTATTTATTACATTTATATACCACCCTTCAACAAGAGATCCCAGGGTGGTTCTTTGGTGGCTCCATGTTGCTTTGTTAGCCATTTGTACAGCCTGCTGTTAAGCTGAAAGAACTAAGGGAATATTTGACATTTTGAAAAGCTTGCCTTCACAGTTGCCTGGTGTGAATCCTTACTCGGCTAGCAGTACAGTGGTACCTCGGGTTACATACGCTTCAGGTTACATATGCTTCAGGTTACAGACTCCGCTAACCCAGAAATAGTACCTCGGGTTAAGAACTTTGCTTCAGGATGAGAACAGAAATCGTGCTCTGACAGCGCAGTGGCAGCAGGAGGCCCCATTAGCTAAAGTGGTGCTTCAGGTTAGGAACAGTTTCAGGTTAAGAACGGACCTCTGGAACAAATTAAGTACTTAACCCGAGGTACCACTGTACTCATGCCAGGCAAGTGGCTATCTGCAAGCTTAGCTATATGGGAGTGGTAGCCAATGTCCAGATGTTGCTGGACTGCATCTCCCATCATCCCTGACCATTGGCTGATCTGTTTTGGGATGATGGGAGCAGCTGCAACCCAACAACATCAGGAAGGCACCCCATTGGCTAGCCTAAGGGCCTTGGCCGTATCTGCACATGTCAAGCCTTGTTCCCTATAAATTTATCCATGCTGATGGCAGGTCATAGGCATCTCTCCCTCTCTTTTTGGTTGCAGGAAACTGTTGCCGAGCCTAAAAACCAAGAAACCCCAGGAGCTCGTTCTGGTGATTGGGACGGGCATAAGTGCCGCAGTCGCTCCCCAAGTGCCGGCCCTGAAGTCTTGGAAGGGCTTGATCCAGGCCCTGCTGGATGCTGCTATTGACTTTGACCTCCTGGAAGACGAGGAGCGGAAAAAGTTTCAGAAATGCCTCCGGGACGATAAGAACCTCATCCACGTTGCCCACGACCTTATCCAAAAGCTGTCGCCAGTGAGTCGATGAGCCGCGGAGCGAATGGTTTGCAAGCTTCAGGCAAAAAAGTGTTAATAGATTGTACTGTTTTGTGTGGGGGGCTGCCTCTGTTTACGGCGCCGAGTCTGACAGCACATGCTTTTCTAAGCTTTAGGACAGGGGTCAGCAAACTTTTTCAGCAAGGGGCTGGTTCACTGTCCCTCAGACCTTGTGGGGGGCTACACTATATTTGGGGACGACGACGATGCAAGAGCACCACAATCGCTGGTGGCTGCTTACTTGTGTCTTGCGGGCAGCAGCAGCAGAGGGATGATGAGAGGCGCGCGAAAGGGCTCCGGAGAAGGGCTGCTTAAAATGGCAGCCACTCGAGCACTGCTGCTGCTGGCACCAACAAGGCCCAGCCCCCTTCCTCCTCTAGGCAGGGCTGGAAGAAGCCAGGAGGGAGGAGGCGCTGCCGCTGCCGAGGGAGGGAGAGGGAAAGAACATGCGCACTTGCGATCCACGTGGAAATTCCCGGACCGTCCGTGGACCAGGATCCAGAAGGCGATTGGGCCTGATCCAGCCTGCGGGCCTTAGTTTGCCAATCCATGCTTTAGGAACATGGGAAGCTGTGTTATGCTGAGTTAGGTCACTGCTCCATCTAGGTCAGTGTTGTCCACTCTGACAGGTAGTGCTTCTCCAGCAGATTTTCCCATCCCTGCCTGGAGATGCAAGGGATTGAACCAGGGAGTTTCTGTGTGCAGATCAGGGTGGATTTGATTTAAATCAAATCGATTTAAATCACGATTTAAATTGCTAGTCAGTAAGACTTGATTTAAATCATTTATTTTATACAGACAGACTCATTCTTGCTGGTATAATCTTAATATTTACAACCAGATGAAGGTTTCATTTTTGGGATAATAAATTTTCAGAGTAGCTTTTACAGTTATATCAAAAATTACTGATTTGGTTATGCTATTAGAAATACATAGGCAGATAACGATGAAATTATTGTGAGGTTTAGTGAGTTAACTGTTTATATTTGGACAACTTTTCTGCTGTGCTTTATTGGAAGGAGAAAAAATAATCATTTCCTTAATAACAATTTAAACAATTTATTTAACCAAAACAATAACATTATAGCATATGTATCCATGTTTGTTAACTGATATGGTTAAACTTCCCCCCCCCCAATTTTTTAAAAAACAAATCCTTTTTTCCTGATGAAGGTGCTCTATGTCTGAGCTAGGACCCTTTCCCTTTTGTTCTCTGCTTTCCCTTTCCTATAAAAAACCCATATCGGACTGGGCTGAATGCATCATCTTTCCTCCAGTCTGAAGACCTTCTATCCCACTGCTTTGATGGGGCTTGCAGTGGTCTCCTGTCCGGTTCCCAGTTAGGTCCAACGACGCAGCATGAGGCATTCCAGTCTGTTGTAAAGAATTGAGGCAGGCAGTTAGGCATCTGTCAGACTTCAGAGAATTCGATCCCACCCACGGTGGCAGCCAAAAAGCAGATAAACAAGAAGAGTTCTTACTAAGTAATTTGTTCACTATTCACAGAGAGGGACGGAGGAGTGCAGTCTTCCTAAGATAATGGCATTGCTCTGAGTAAAGTCCCACCCCCTCCGTCTCTCCTATTCTACGCCAATAGGCTAATCTGTGCTTTCTGCCTCTGAGCTTTCTGTTCTGCTACTCTCAATGCTCGCCTCGTCCTGAGAGAGTGGGGCGGGTCAGGAGTGCTTTCCAAAGACACAGAGTCTGTCAGCTGTCTCTCCCCTGGTGCTGCTTCTTTCTGCTACTAGTCTCCCAATATTTCCCAGCTTTTCCCATCTGCAGCCTCTGAACTATGCCCTTCTGCAAACCACTGTCCTGAATCTATACTGTCCTCCTCTTCTTGAGAAGGTTCAGTGTGCAAGCACTTTCTTGGGCAACGCTCTATGCTGTGAGAGTTTGGGCAGAAATAGGACTCTAATGCAAGAATTGCAATTCCAGTAATATGATTTTCTGTGTTTACTCAGAGGTAAGCCCATGGGTGTTTTCTTGCAGGTAAGTGGACACAGCTTAGTAGCTTAATTCCAGCTGTGCCTCTGCTAGATCTCAGCAACCAGTTCAGACAGCTGTTTATGCCTCACCCTCCTCAAGAGAGCCAGTGTGGTGTAGTGGTTAAGAGCGGTAGACTTGTAATCTGGGGAACCGGGTTTGCTTCCCTGCTCCTCCACATGCAGCTGCTGGGTGACCTTGGGCCAGTCACACTTCTTTGAAGTCTCTCAGCCTCACTCACCTCACAGAGTGTTTGTTGTGGGGGAGGAAGGGAAAGGAGATTGTTAGCTGCTTTGAGACTCCTTTGGGTAGTGATAAAGCGGGATATCAAATCCAAACTCTTCTTCTCAAGTCCTCTGCTGCTGATTTTTTTTTAATGGTCGTTTAATAAAATGAATACAAATAAATCAATTCTGATCTTGGATTCCCCTCCCCCCCCCATCTTCTTGGCAGCGCACAAGCAATGTCCGTTCCACGTTTTTCAAGGACTGCCTATACGAGGTCTTTGATGACCTGGAGTCCAAAATGGAAGACACAGGGAAACAGCTCCTTCAGTCCGTGCTCCACTTGATGGAAAACGGCGCTCTCGTACTGACCACAAACTTTGACAACTTGCTGGAAATTTACGCGGCAGACCAAGGAAAAAGGCTTGAATCTCTTGACCTGACCGATGAGAAAAAGGTAATCGGGGGGTGCTCATGCCTGCGAACAGTGGCCAGTCTAGCATGTGGGCCCATTCATTTCTCAATGGTGTCCCCAGCTCAGGCCTTAAGTGCCATTTTAGCTGTTGGCTGTGGTGGTAGAACACGCTGTGTTGTGTCACTTGCAGTAAGAAGACAGGACTAACACCAACACTGCCAGGCAGGGGGAGAGAAGAGAAGGGAGGGAGGATCACTTCTAAATGGTGTTTTCCTCCTACAGTGGCACATTTTATTATAAAAAAGAGGGTTGTTTTTTTAAAAACCTATTTCAATAGTTTTAATATTTTCAAAAAATATTGGGGGCGATATCCTGCATTTTACTCTGTGAACTGCCCTGAGATCTTATGATGAAGGTTGGTTGGTTGGTAATTAATTAATTAATTAATATTGCTAGACGAGTCAAGAGTACCTTTTTTTTTAGTTTATCCAAAGCAGGATCAATTAATGTAACTATTTAATTCAATACTAAAGCCCCTATATGCATCCTCACCAAGCAGCCTCTTTCACGCACAAACAAAAATGACTAGACCCCGCAGCTCTGCTTTCTCTTGTATTCTTCTCATGTCTGCAAGTGTTAATATTCACGGGAAGTTCCTTTTTCTTTTTTGAAATCACAAGGCTACTAATGCACTTCGGCAGATTCCAGGGGTATTTATAGTGTTGACTTAAAGTGGAGTTTAACAAAGTAGGCTATAAAGTTAGAAGCAACCTAAGAAAGCTGCCTCATTCTGAGGCAGGTTGGCTTAATATTTTCAACCTGGAGTGGCAGCGTCTCTCCAATGTTTCAGACGGAGGACATTTCCAACCCTCCCTGGAGAGGATGAGGATTAAACCAGGCATCTTCTGCCTGCTCTACCACTGAGCTTGGGCCTTTCTCCAAAGTCCACCCCTGTTTTTCAGCTTCCAAAAGCTGAAATTCCTGTAAGCAGCTCCTCTTTTGTTGGAATGGACTGAGTGCCTGGCTTTACTCCAAAAGCCATGTAAACAGCAAAAGGAGAGTTTATTTCTTGCGAGTTCCTTTTGATTACGTATGCCTGGTTTTCCATGTACGTCCTTGATTTCTGCTTCCTGCGTAACTTTTCAGCGTGATAATACTCCTGACTGGGGCAAGGGAGAATAAACAGAAGATGAGCTACATGAGAATGAAATGTTAAACACAATAAATCGTGGCAGTGTTATGATAGTACCTGTTGAAGTACATTTGGAAAACTTCCCCTGTGCCAAACTTGGTTTAGAGAAGGCTCCTGCAACTCCTATTTTAGGGAGGAAAAGTACTAAATTTCAGGGAAGGAATGTAAAGAGAGCTGGGGGAGAATATGGTCCTATAGTGTGCAATTCTGAATTTAGTTTTTTGCCTGTAACAGTCATGAATGTACTAGTGGGTAAAAACCCAGAATGGGTTGCATTTGTGCCAAAAAAAAAGATAAAATTAGATAATCCCAAATACATTATGCTTATTAAACAAATTGGCCTAGAGTTGCTTATTGTGTGCTTCCAAAATGCAGGAAACAATATTTTGAGCAAGAAACAGGACAACAGCAAAGATTTGAAGAGTAGGTGCTGTTCCACTAGCATAGCAGACTTCTGTTTGCACAATGCAATTTCCCCTCTCCTGCAGCTCCCAGCACACTCTGAAAATCTGCAGTCTGGAGAGTTGGAGAATTCTCCCCAGCAGATTTTGAAGTCTCATGCAGGGAGGAGAGGAAAGGGAGCCCTGCTGCACACAACATTGTAGACAATCCTCAGACGGGAGGAGATGGGACAGGTGCCACAATGGCGATTGATTTGGATTTCTGTTTTCATTAGCTCAAAACCTAGTACAGTATACAGGAAATGGCTATAGGGAGCAAAAGGCAACTGGAGGGTCTTCCCTCAAGAAAGTCTTTATGGGTGGGGGGCAAATGTCAATGTTATGCAGCAATGTTGACTCAAGCTGTAGCAGTCAAAGGATACCACTTTTTACCCTGCGTGGGCTGCAGCTGTTGTCCCACCATAAGCCTGAGAACATCCTTCACAAAGGAACCCAACTGTGTGCAGTAGCATGGGGTCTGATGCCGAGAAGTTCAGAAAAATACATCCCTGGGGCTGAGAGAGCTTGCGTGTGTGTGGAATTTATTGTGTTTATAGATTCTGAGAGCCATCCCTCCCGCCCCGAGGCAGGAAGCCTATAAACATATTTGCAGGGTGCTCAGTTCCTGGAATGTGGGCTTGAAAATAAATAAAGGCATTCCTGCTCTTCACCCTGCCCTACAGGCCACTCACTTCTCACTCAGCTCAAAGCCCAGTAGGTTGTAGAAGCCAAAGGGAATGGTACTTTCTGGGTCTGTTGACGCTGAGCGCTGCTTTTGAAATCCCATACAGGTGCTGGAGTGGGCGCAGGAGAAAAGGAAGCTCAGTGTCCTACATATCCACGGTGTGTACACAAACCCCAGTGGGATAGTACTGCACCCAGCCGGCTACCAGAATGTGCTACGCAACACAGAGGTTATGGTGAGATTTGCAGCCCTGTCTGGGCCTTCTTGTCTCTTGCTGAAGGATGAGTGCTGCCAGTATATAAGTCCGGGATGAGGACTCTGTGGCCCTCCAGATGTTGTTGGACTCCAACTCCCATCAGCCCCAGCCAACAGGGCTGTTGGTTGGGGATGATACAACAACATCTGGAGGGTACAGTTTCCTCATCCCTGATATGAGTATCAAGCCCTGAATGCTTCGAACAACCAGGAATGTCTTCTAAAGAACCCGCCGAACAAGACAGGTTCCCTTAACTATAAAAAGGCGATTGTGCATAAACAGACTTTACACATGTGCAGCGCCTGCTTTTGCAGGTGTGCAAACTATGGGTGCAAGTCTTACCTGCACTATACTGGTTTTTAATTCATATGTGCGTGCACCCCCCCACCTTCTTGTGTAATTAAATCGCATATTAACTTCTTGTTTATGCATACAGAGAGCTGGATCAGGATGTAGAGTTGATACCAATTAGTGCTTTTAACTGTCAACAAATTTAACAGCTCAGTAGCAAGTCACTGGAATGGCAGATGGTGTGATGCATTAAGGCAACTGCACAAACTAGAGACATCTGAAAGCAGCCCTGTATAGGGAAGTTTTTAATGTGTGATGTCTTACTGTGTTTTAATTTGTTGGCAGCTGCCCAGTGACAGGGGTAACCTGGTCAGGTGGGTGACATATAAACAATTATTATTACTAATTTATTGCACTTGAGGCCAGAAAGGAATTATCAAGTTCAGATTGACTAGTGACTGGATGGCTGCTCGTGTTTTTGTTTGTGTGTAGGTATAAGGAGGGTTAGACTTCTCCTGCCCACCGTGGCTTGACTCAAAAATGGACAAGGCTGGGCTGACTTTGCTGGGCTTTCTAGCCACTCAAATCAGGGATGAGGACGTTGTAGTGCTCTTGTTGATCCCTTAGGAGTGGGGAACCTATGATTCTTCAGCTGTTGCTAGAATCTAACTCCCATTAGCTGCAGCTCACATGACAAATGGTCTGGAATGATGGCAGATGGTAGGACATCTGGAGGTCCACTGGCTCTTCATCCCTGCACCAGACAATTCTTGCTTTTGTTACATGGAGCTACCCAAGCTGACCTTTGGTTCCTTCCAATTCTAAAACTCCACAGCCCTAATGAAAATCGATATTCTGTACACTTTCCCTTTTCCCTTTCCTAAAGCGAGAGATCCAGAAGCTGTATGAAGCCAAATCGTTCCTGTTCCTGGGCTGTGGCTGGACTGTGGACGACACAACTTTCCAAGCCCTCTTCCTAGAAGCTGTGAAGCACAAATCTGATCTGGAGCACTTTATGCTCGTGCGCCGTGGGGATGTGGACGAGTTCAAGAAGCTCAGAGAAAACATGCTGGACAAAGGGATTAAAGTGATCTCATATGGGAACGAATACGCAGACTTGCCTGATTATTTTGAGAGGCTGGCAAATGAGATCTCCAACCGGGGTCGAGCAGGTAAGAGGACTGGCTGTCTTCCTAGTGCAGAGAAGGGGAGCCTGCAAGACATCCAGACGTTGCTGAACTCCAGCTCCCATTAGCCCTGACCATTGACCATTCCATCTGGGGCTGATGGGAACTGAAGTCCCAAACCTATCTGTAGCCCTCTAACATTGCGTCTTTTATTGAATTTTGACTTTATCACATTCACATCTCACATTGCTTCCCTTTAACTTGAGGTGGCCTAGAAGGGATTCCCCCTGGGTTTGTTCTCTAGGCACTTGCCAGATCCAGATTTGCTTAGTTCCAGCCAGGTTATGGCCTCGCATGCCTTCAGAGCACTGAAACTTCTGTGTGGACAATACAAATGTGTAGTACCAGACCCACAATTTGGCTCCCCTGAGCACCCTTGCTTTCATTGAAAACAAAAAGCAAGAAGCCAAACAGGTGAACGAAGTAAGACTTTTAGAGGATGGGTGGAAAAAGAGGGGCTTCTGTGTCCTGTATTGCCCTTTGCTCCGCCTCATCATAGCAAAACCAGCACAATGTATGCAGCTGTATACGTTAAGCAAATTAGGTGCATTTGCATAACTTTATACAAGAGGTCAGAAGCATGGAACACTTGTTAGCTATTGGTGATTAAGAAAAATATGTGCCTTACACAAATAGTTGAAAATAAATCTTTGCTTGTCAGGCTGGCAGCAAGTATTATTTGCAAACTCCTCTAGGCAGCATCTAAGTGGAGTCTCCAAACCTCTCGCCTTCAAAATCAAGATAGAACAGGATAACTAACCAACCCCCAACTGCCAATTCTCAGCTACCACCTCCTTTCTCCAATACCATCTGTTCTTTGTGAAATAAATATATTCCCAATGAAATTCCAGAAGCATGGAAAGCTTCCCACACCAACACACTCCCTTTATATAATGAATGGCAGCTTAGAGTTGGAAGCTGCCAAAAGGGGCTGGACGCAGCCTTTCCGAAGATTCCTGTGGGTGTCTCGTCACAATATTTTAAGCAAACAACTTACCACCTCCCCCCCCCCCCCATAGTACCTTTTATAAATGGGCACAATCCAAAGGGAAACCATTCTAGGGGGAAAGGGGTTGTATCTCACAAAGTTCTACGCAGGGTAGAACCGTAGAAATGCCTGAACCCAAGACATGAACTCCCAACGGGTCTACTCAGAGTAGGACTAGCATCGACTACAACTCAAGACCATTAGTGGAGTTTGGGAGGCTAGCATAGATGCAAGACGCTCTCACACATTTTTTGTGGGTCGCTGCTAACGTGTCACCTCCAAATAACTTCGATTCCCCGCCCCCTTTCCAGGTCCACCTCGGGAGGGACAGCTAAATGGCATGGCTGCAGCCCACACGGAAATCAAAGGTAGGGAGCTTACTTAATACTCGACACTCCTTAAGGCCAGCTCTGGAGAGACAAATTTTGCTAACCTGCAGCTGCTACCACCACCCACACTGAAGTGGGTGCTCTCTCGTGCATGATAAGAGATCACGACTTAAGAAGGTATCTTGCAGAAAGTGGAAGATTCCTTAGTAAGAACGAGTGAGGACACCTTTCTGCCTCCAAACTGCAACGCGCAGTGTTCAAGCTGTGGTGGTGGCAGGCTCCTGAAAAAGGAAAGCAGTAGTGATACCAGTGGAGGATTCGTTTTGCAGTTCATGTGGGCTAATTTGAAAATTGTCTTGTTTCTTAAGGTGGAAGGTTTTTTTTAAAGGGAATTTCCACATTATCACAACTCGGCTCAGCCTGGGTAAGAACTTTGTTAAAGCTGGAAGCAGTAGGACGCCTTGGCAGCTAATTTTGTCAGATTGCGCCAGAGAAGAGGGAAATTGTGGCCCTCCAGATGTTGTTGAACTCCCAGTTCACATGAAACCCAGCCAGCGTGGCGAATGGTGCGGAATGATAGGGGCTGATAGGAGAGCAACAATATCTGGAGAGGCAAAGATTCCCCTTAAACAGACCATAGAAAATCCTTGTGGAGTGATACTTAGCAACTGAGGATCATATCCGGCATTCTCTTATCCACTAGCACAAGAGCCTTAACACCAGTGGATCACAGAGGTTAAAGACTCTGCAACACTTGGGCTAGCGGAAACTTGTGCAATGGCCGATTCTTGTGCAGTCTGTTGCCCAACCACCTTTGGTAGTGTGCTTGTTTTCCCTTGTGCGACAAGCATACCGCTAAGCAACTTCTAACTTAGCACTACGTTGGATGCGACTTGCATCCATTAGAGCAATATTGTTCCAGATTAGTGAATCCTCTCCCTCCTTAACAGACTCCCTGGGCATGGGAACAGGAAACACATGTTATAGTTGGGATGCAACAACAGAGCATGCACAGCAAGTGTTCCTATGTCTTCCTGTACCCATTGCAAGGCTGAATACGACTCCACAAACCCCTGTGCGGGCATTATTCCTGAACTGGGAATGTAAATACTAGTAGGGAATGTCAGGATGCTAGCCTGGTTCCTAGCCTTCCTGTCTGCACCAGCCCCAATGTTTCCTACCACCCCCTCCAAAAAAGAAAAAAAAAGACCCTCCGTGTTGAATGGCGGTTTGAAGGGGCTTGCAAGAGCCTTTGACTGAGTGCTCTTAGGAGCCTCTGCATAATTTGAGTCTTGAGCAGGTGGGATTTGCACTCACAGAAGCCTCTAAGCAGTCAGATGCATGTGGAAATCCCCTTTAGACTTCCTGGTAAATGCTGGAAGGTCAGGGTGGGGACGCATGCCCCCAGCCCCCCTTAGTTGTGCTTTGAACAGGGCTAAACCTAGACCCAAATGTTTAAGAATGGAAGCCATATAAATAATGTGGCTAATACGGAGGGGGCCATTTGCCCCGTCACAAGTGATCTCGAGTGTCTGCCGTTTTAATTTCTCCAAGAGCTGGTTTGCCATCCAACCCCGTTCCCCCTTTTAACCAGCTCCTTTTGTTACTAACCCTCTCTAGTTGTCCATGGGTTTTGTTAGGATTTCTCCTACTGCCTTCGGTTTTAAGGCCAGTGTCCAAAATATCCGCCCAGTGACACCTGAAGACACTAATTCTACACAGGGTACAGCAGGCGAGAATGCAAAGCACTCCCATCTGAGCAACACCATCGTACAGGTTAACCCCTTCTAATGATGTAAAAGCAAGATGCTGACAAGCTCCTTGTAAGACGTGACTATCTCAAACGTTGCTTAGGGAAGAAAAAGCACTGCCTTTGCCGCAGTTGGTTCTTGGAACGGCCCATTTTTTGTTCTAGCTGCCGCCCCATGAACATGAAACTGTAAAGCGTACTTTTGGACTCAGCAACTCGTCTTGGACCCTTTGGATCTGGGCATGGAGATTTGTCTTACCAATGTGATGTCGTGTTTTGTTTTTTTTCTATTTAAGGTTGTATCTGCAGAGAGATCCGTCCTCTCTCCCACTGAGCAAGAGTTTGCTACTAGTGCTTTTGTATTCTGTAAGGGTTTCAACTAAAATGCAAGCATTTTTTTAAAAAAAGAATTACTTGAAGCTCTAGTTTTCTAAGTCTTTTCTTTATACAGTGTTTTATATGTTTGGAGCTATAATAAATAAAAAGGATGTTCACTTATCTCTGGCTTAAGAGTGACTTTAGACAAATTCATGGTGGAAGCGATGGCCAGAGAGGCACTGTAGCTGTGACATGGGGTGGTCCCTAGAGCCTTCATGCTCCCAAGTATGACAGTTGGGAAGGTGCTGTTACATGCAGTGCAGTTTTCATCTGCTGCAGCAGAATTCCTACATTCCCTGGATTGTATGGGAGCTCACTGAGGACATGAAACTGGGCTAAATGAGAAGGTCTTGTAAGCCACCTCCTAGGAAAGAGTTGAGGCCACAGACTTTAAAGTCACTAACCAGCCACTGCCACGCATTAAGAGAAACCTCTGTGTTTGCAGAGGATCCTGGAGAGCTTTCAAAGATGTACATCGGGTTCACATAGAACTTGCCTGCAGCCATGCATTGAGGGAAAAGATCAGCAGGAAAGGGATCAGCCCTAGGAAGCTTGCTTGCCATTCCTGGTCTGAGGGGTTTTCTGGAACAGTCTGAAGCCCTGGATTTTTATGCTGCTGCGCCTAACAACAAAGGAAATCACGTGTGTGGTTTTTTTAATGAAGTTTTATTATATAAATTACCTTTTAGCAGACAGCATTCAACTTATTGCACTAGAGCACATCTGCAATACCGAGCTACGAGACATCTTCATAGAGAGTTTTGTAGTATTTAACATAGCACTTTATACCAGGATCAAGAGGCACTCTGAAGGGAGGGGGAAGAAAAGCAGCAAGCACCCACCAGAAAATTCCTGTCACAGACTGGTTTAGAAAAGCAAAAAGCCAGTGCAGGCGGGAGAGCATGCAAAGGCTTGTGTTGACCAGTTTCAATCCATCCTCTGATGATTAGGTGGGAGGTGAGGCCGTGAGTTATGGGACCAGAATCCTGTGTCAGCAGCAAGGGCAGTTTGTTCAGTACAGAATATACCCGCAATTCCTCCTCTAATTTTTCACATAACCAGCTCTTCCTGGAAGCACAGATGTTAACTCCCCCTCCCTTGGTCTGAATTAGGACTGTGCTGGGCAAAGGGATTATTTGAAGCATTGTAAGTCGCAAGCTTCCATTTTGCATATGCACATTCAATAGTGTGCAAAGTTATAGCATGTGCTCACAGCAAAGGAATCGGAGGAAGAGTCTTGATGGCCAGCAGCAAGCACAACCGTTGTCTGAGAATCGGCCTATAATTCAACCCCACCCCACCCCCCCAAAAAATGCACCCAAAGCAGCTCACTGATCAGCTGGAGTGACATTATTAGAAAAAGAAATGGATGTCACCCCCACTTGTAAATATGTCATTAGGATGGCATCACGGGTTCCTGCATTTTCCACACAAATGCTACAGTCTGGGGCAGTGTCTGGAGGGCCCTGCTGTAAAGAGTCCCACTGACAGTAGAAAGAAGGACCATTTTAAGGCATCAACAGCCACCCTGTTAAGCAGGAATTTACTCTGGTATCTATCTTCGTTTTTTTGGTTTGAAAGCTTTGGTGAACTACTGTGTTCAAAGCTATCGGCAAATGTGAAGCTTGATAAGAGCAGAGCTGCCTGTAGGCAGTATCCGCTCTACCCCGTGGCCGGAGAGAAGAGTTTTAAAAGACAGCAGAGTTCATAGATGCTTAGGTAGTGGCAGAACAATCCCCCGCCCCACAAAATTTTATCGTACCCGCTAACCTGGGATGGAGTGGGGTCAGGGAGAGAACCAAAGCTCTGGCTTTGGACTGTCTAAGCAGGCAGAATGAAGGGGAACAGGAAAGAGGGCTCAGTGGGAAAAGTGAAGACAACCCCGGAACACTTTTAGAGCCAATGTGTATGAAAGTAAGTAGAATTCAAAGGAAGACAGGCACCTCTTGCTACAATTAATCCCACACATCACATCAAGGAAGGTGTGTGTTAGCAAAATCAAGAGGAGAAGGACCGAAAGCCAGGTAAGCAGCTTTTTTCTAGCATCCCTCCATTCTGTGTTGCACTATGCCAAAAACGGGGGGGGGGGAGGGGTGTTTCTAAAAACAGTCACGCTGGAAAGCACATTCTGAGACATCTGCAGACAGGAATTTGGTGCAATAACTGGTGGTTAGGCCTTCATGAGAGCAGCAACCACAGCCTTGGCATTAAGGCTACGCAGGTCACAGTAGGTCTGTCCAGTACCAACAAACACGATTGGTTTACTAGTGATGTATGTCATGGAAATTGCAGCGCCAACCTGGGGAGAAAAGGAGCAGCTGTTAGTGTAGGAAAGGACGATGTAGTATCATTGTGTACAGTGAAATTGCATCGGGGGGGGGGGGTTTAAGAAATCCTTGGTTACAGCCTCTCATTAAAAAAAAAAAAAAAGCTACTAGATGTGCCTTGTGTCTAGTCTACTAGGTTGGGGAAGGCTGGTCTAGGATGTGGGAGATATACCCACTGATGTTAGCCAGTTTTTCCCCCTCCTAAAGGTACCATACGGGAATTTTAAAATACCATACGGGGTAAAATACATATGGTAAAATACCATACGGGGATTTTAAAAGGGCATTTTCCCCCAATGAACCTGCCTTGATCCTTTGTCATCTGCTCAGACTGCCACCTCGATAAAAGAAGATGGCCCCCACTGTGGAATACTGTTCCCCAACAAGGAAGCTCCAATGTCCCTCCAGTTCACGCGTGAGCCGAAAAGGCTTTCAAGGTTTGCTCACTGTCACAGGGCTGATCGGCTGTTCTTCCTGCTCTATGGTGGGGAGGAAGAAACGGCCGAGAAACATTCCAGACAACGTGATAAATCAGCATATGCTGGTATTTAGCTGCCGATCTATCACAATGTTGAAAACCAAATGTCGCCCCAGCCCTAGTGTATAGGCTCCAGCTATGCGTCCCCTGCAACCACATCACAAGGCTTCTTTAAAAAAAAAAATCAAGAGAAAGGTTCAAAAGTATGTGGCATAGCACTCAACTGAACATTTTAGAAAGGAAAAAAACCTATTACGGGCCCCAGAAAGCCCTTCTGTAACTTAAAAGAGGCTTGCCAGATCATAATCTAGAAACAATCAAAAGCTTTAGGTGGCAGAACAGCACAAAACTGGAAGGGGTGAATCCCATGGATGGAAGAAAGATGTATTTAGTAAGCCTTCCAAAATTATCCAGTGCTTTTTGATTCTGTTGAGTACTTCAGAGAACTGTGTTTGCTAAAATGTCCACAGAAAAAGCTTATTAGCTGGTAAAAACTGCCAAAGCAAGGGGGGGGGGAACCTTTTCAACCCAATGGCCCACATTACCTTGCGATCCATTGAGCATCTTTGGGGGGGGGGGCACAGGCCAGTGGTGGACAGGGCCAAAGGCTTGTATGGGCGGAGCAACAAATGTGACTCCTCCCTTCGTGGAATGGCTACATTCCACCCGTATGAGAAGATCAGGTCTTCCCTCCCCAACACACCTCTCCACCCAGGCAAAGCAGGAGGCATTATCACAGTTCAACCACATATTCCAACCAGGCAAAAGCACTCGAGAGAGTAGAGCAAAGCCAGCGAGAGGTGCAGCCTGGGGAGAGTGGGGATTGCCCATAGCAGACAGGAGGCCTGACATTGCCCACCTCCCCGGAGCCATAGCAAAAAGAAGCAGCTGCTGCTTTTTCCATCAAAAAAGAAAAACTCCTCCCACCAAACCCCCAAACAATTGCAAGCTATGGGCCCCATTTACCTTGTCGTCTATGGTATCAAATTTGGTGAGCACGATTCCATCAATGAGGCGTGGGGTCTGAGCCATGGAGTGATCAGCAAGGGCTTTGTTGAACTTGACCTGGTGTAGAGGAAAGCAAACGGTGAAACAGGTTTGGCAATGCTCTTGCACAAGGCTCACTGAGGGGCTGTACACATGTCTGCTAACACACAGGTATTGTGACTATTTTTACCAATTTATGTTGCAGTCAACGTCTAATTGCCACTAAGTACGAATGCAGTGGGGGGGGGGTCTTTGGTGATTCCCAGCACCTCCCCCATGCTATGATGCATGTGCCCATACAGGCAACACACACACACACACACTTAACTTGGGTGTATTCAGTTTTACACGCCTGGCAAATAAATAAATTGGAAGGGGGTGTCACTGAACCCAAAGTGCTTTGACAATAAGCAATTTTGGCTTTAGGTGCTACCCCATGGCCACATCCCCAGTGTAATAGGAGAGTTGCCTGTACAGTCGTACCTTGGAAGTCGAACGGAATCCGTTCTGGAAGTCCGTTCGACTTCCAAAACATTTGGAAACCGTGGCAGCCAATCAGAAGCCCTGTAAGCCCTGTTGGAGGTTCGGTTTCCAAAGAACATTTGCACGGAAATGACTGGCAGAATCCGTGACCAGGGAGAAGAGTCGATGGAGGAAGATTGGAAGAAATTCAAAGACTATCTTCAGAAACACTGCAAAATTAAGGAATGTTAGAGTGATGTTGGATTGAAAATAAGTGGTTTCCAGCTGTACAGGTTAAAGCTAGGATAGATTAAGATTAAAGATTAAGATTGGGAAAAATTTAAAGGTATATGACATTAAAAACAAGGATTATGTTTATGTTATATAGTTTAATATTTTATTAAATTAAAGATTGGGTTTAAAAAGTGGAAAAGAAATTGCTGGACAAATAATGTAGATTGGAATACAAAAGAGGGAGGTATGAGGAAGTCCAGAAAATAAGTAATTTAAAATTGGGAACGTAAAAGAGAGGTTGTTTTAAATTGTTATGTTGTGTGTTTTTATTGTTAAAATTTGTATTGTGTTTTTTTTTTGTGTGTGTTGTTTTTTCTTTTTTCTTTGTTTAAAACTTTAATAAAAATTATTTAAAAAAAAAACAAAAAAAAACAAAGAACATTTGCAAACTGGAGCCATAACGTCAGAGTTTGGGATCCAAGGTACGACTACCATATATTCGTTGCATGCGAACAGACATGACTAGGTATACCATTGTTGTGTAAAGAAGCACTCAAAAGGAGGTATGCATTTGCCACCTCTTGAGTTTTGAATCTTAAGTAGTAATCTGAGGAACTAACCAGCTGATCTACAGCCTCATTTCCCACCAAGGCTTCCCCCACAAACAGGACAAGGTCAGGGGTGTTGACTGCAATGAGCTTAGCCAGAGCTGTCATCAAAGGAGCATTGTCTTGCATACGGCCTGCTGTGTCCACCAAGACCACATCGAAACCCTGGTTACGTGCTGAGAAGATAAAAAGGATATGTTTATTAGAAGGAATAAATAAATCCAGCAACAGCTGGGGGAGGGGAAATCCAAGCCTACAGCTTTGAATGGGAGTTGCCTTCGGATTTACCAGCTGGCTTTTTTAATGAAATGAAGTGCAAAGCAGGGCCAGCAAACAGCCAAAGTACCGTATTTTTTGCTCTATAAGACTCACTTTTTTTCTCCTAAAAAGTGAGGGAAAATGTGTGTGCGTCTTATGGAGCGAATGCAGGCTGCGCAGCTATCCCAGAAGCCAGAACAGCAAGAGGGATTGCTGCTTTCGCTGCGCAGCAATCCCTCTTGCTGTTCTGGCTTCTGAGATTCAGAATATTTTTTTTCTTGTTTTCCTCCTCCAAAAACGAGGTGCGTCTTGTGGTCTGGTGCGTCTTATGGAGCGAGAAATACGGTAAGTTTTCTGAGTGTGTATGGCAGGTCTGGTAAATTTTCTAGTGGAAACTGGAGTACAAAACAAGAGTATTATTTACCACTTATTCCCCTCCATGATCCTATGTCAGGAACTGCAAAATTCTGCAAATTAATCAGATCTGCCTAATGTTTACATTCCTCCCACCCTCAGATTAAAACTGTACTCTGTTGGCTATTGCCTTCCTCAAATCTCTCTTCTGAGATTTCAAACTCATTGCCCAAACGTTTTCAGACTTGCCTTCATAGCCATAAATATTAACCTTTTTTAAAAAGTCTGTTTTTCAGGATGCCAAATACTGTTCTTTATACATGATTCCCAAACTGAGGATGTTTCTATCCCTTATGACTGTCATGGACCCTTCTGTTCACTCAACCTGAAGCCTTCCCGGTTATGGCTAGAATGACAGATGCTGTAAATCATATTCCTTCTCTTGCAGAGGAGGAGAAGGAACTGGATTTAGGGTGGTTGAGATGTTCCCACAGGCCAGTCCCACTGCTTCCTATTGGCTGGAGAGCAGAGGAGAGTATTTAGCATCTGGAATATCCCTGTATTTGGGGGAGGGGGAGGGGAAGCAACAGGAAAAAGAAATTTCAGCTACAGGCATGCAGTGGCTAGGATTGCTAAGGAAGACATGAAGAATTCAGAAATAAGGGGGAAGCAGGGAGAAAGGCCTCACCGTACGAAATGGCCTCCATGGCAATGCCGGCCGCATCCTTCCCATATCCCTTCTCATAAAGCTGCACCATTGTGCGGCCGCTGTGGTTTTCTGGAGGGTGAAGAGCATTCAAGCGGCGAGTGTGAGTCCGCAGCTGCTCTACAGCACCAGCACGGAATGTGTCGCAGGCCGCAATGAGGACACTAAAACCGTTTTCAATCAGCCAGAATGAGATCTGAGGGGCAGGCAGAAGAAGGTTACCGCTTCCATCACCTACCATCCACCATCTCTACGCAACTTCCCAAAGGACCTCGCAGCTTTGCTTCCTGCCAAGTAATAACAAGGCTCTAGATAGGCAGTACATCTGCTGTGCCAGCCCCCCTAATGCTGGTTGGATGCAGAAATTTGGCGTCCAAATAAACTTTTATTGCTAGAAAGATCTGCTTGGAATATGGGCAGAGAGCCTTGCAAAATCTGGAAAGTGAAAATGAACACGTGCCCCCGCACAGGTGAGGGCTGGTGGATGCATAGCATGTTCATCACTGAATTACCGAACACTTGAGGACGCTTAGGTGAATGTATGAACCCGTTGTTGAAAAGCATTGCTTGCAGGTGGACAATGGTGATGTATGTTCTGTCTGTAGCATCACATCCATGCAGGCAAGCCATGTGTTTATACTGCAGTTGATGTGTGAAGAAGATAAACGCATGAACCAGCCCTTTGCGTGTGAGAACATAAAATGCTGAGAACAGGAGACAAGATTTTATGGGGGCACTGACGGCTGTGACATTTGCAAATGCCATAGTACTTTAGAAGCCAAGACTGAGAATTCTATCAAGAAGCTATGAGTGAAACAACATTGCTTCAGAAGCTAGATATGGGCTACTAGGCGGCCACCCAGGAAAATGCTAATTTGTAGCACTCCAGGTCTCAGTCCAACTTCAAGTTACCTTCTTGATGCTTCCTCTTTAGACAGAATTTTTTATAGATTTCGACAGGGACAGAGTGGACAACATGCAACAGCAACTGGGAAAGGGCTGCAACTCAGTCACAGAGCATCTGCTTTGAGCACAGAAGATTCCCAGTTCTATCCCAGGCCTCTCCTTTAAACATCTTGAGAGTCCCTGCCAATGAGCACAGAAAATACTGAGCTGGATAAACCAATGTTTGCTAGTGCAATGCTTTATATATCAGGAGATCTCTTGAGCAAGGGTTGGGGCCTTCCATTTAGATCTCCATGATATGACCAGACATGCCACCATCTTCCTCTTTGCCTTGCGCAATAGCAACAGTGCTCTACCATCCTGCATTACCCAAACCTGAGCCGGTTTCCCTCCCAACTTCACCCAGTTCCCAAAATCCACGCACATGCAGCCCCTTCCAAGTACCTTGGCCAAGTTAGTTGACTTGCCAACTCCATTGACACCACAGAAAGTGATGACATAAGGTCGACGGTGACGCTGGGCTTCCATCACAGAGCGCAAGACATCCACCCGGCGCTGAGGCTGCAGGATCTGCACCAGGGATTCTTGAAGGGCTTGCTTCACAGTTGAGGTCACCGCTGGGAAGTTGGAAGCACATTGTCATTTTTAGATTGAAGGGCCCCACATACTCTTTCCCACACTTATCCCACCTTTTAATCAGAAGTGCATCAAAGTAAACTGTGATGTGAACAGGCCCAGCTCTGCTTTCCTTGCAGAAATGATGCTGTGTCCATTTCAGGAGGACCAGGATGAAGCATCTGGACAACGGGAATGCAAAAGTTCCCATTTCCTCTCCAAACGAGCTTGGTTTCTCCACATCTGGTCTTAGGTTCGACCTACCCTTCTCTGAGGATCATTGGCCTACCACTCTCTCTGTATCAGCAACTGATCGTGTTCAGTATTCTGTGCAAGTATTCAACTGACAGGACACTCCAGGGCTCATGATTTTCAGTCACTCTCACAGCCCCTCTTTAGAAGCCATCAGCTTTCTGGAGTAACATTGATTTTTTCTTTAAAAAGTGATATATTTGTACAGCTTGCTCTTGTGGCCGTTGGGCAAGCAATCCCTCTTCTCTGTGAGAGCAGTCAAAACTTACTAATGCCAAGGATATAAATTTGCCCTTCACAAAGTCCTGCGGGGTGTGCTTTCAAATAAGTCTCCCATACACTGGTGGTATCCAGAAATGCAGAAGGTTAAGCATTCGTGAACCCACAGGGAAGCAGATTCCCAATGGACAAATCCGCTTTGGGTTATTTCTTCCCACATCCCAGCAGTAGCAGCAGAAGTCAAAACATGCCAACTGGAGACAAGGTTAAGCAAGCAACAAGACTCTAGCATAGGCAGCTGGGGAGACAATAATAAAAATAGTAACTACTCACATTTGGTGAGCAGCAGTTGCACCCTGACCCTGACCACATTTACTGAGTGAGGAATTTGCTTCCACAAGAGCAGATCTATGGTGAAACTGGGAAGGAACACATTGGTACAGGGTACCAACAAAATAATATATTGGAGTAAAACGAAGGCACAGCCTGGTAACATTCTAGAAACACTGTGCCCGTAAGTGGGCTTACGCATGTGTAGTGTTACTATCTTTGTGGACTTTGGCACACTGGCATGACATGTTATAGAGTATGTGGCTGCTGTACAGTCTTTCCTGGTGTTAGATTGTCAGTTTCACTAAAGATCTGTTCTCACAATCTAATTTGGTTTCTTTTAGACACAATAAGTAGTATCCAGCGAAGTAGTTCCGCTTGCAGAAGGGCTTTTGGCTGCGGAACAGAACTTGCCCCCCGCCTCCCCATGGGTCCTGCTAAACCTTTTCTTGTGAGGTTGAGGGTTTCTCCTCAACTCTCCAGAGCAGATTGGGGGAGGGAGAAGAGAGAAAGCAGGAGTTCTGCTGTGCAAGTGGAAATCTTGGCTCTAGTGGATTTGCTTTGTTGGATACCACCCAAGGATTCTGTTTTGAAATCATGAGCATTTGGGCATATATCCGAGGAAAGTAATGTCACCAGACTACAGTACACGCTAAGGCATGCAAAAAACAAAGCAAAACAAAGGGGAACTTACTGGTAAAGGTGCCCATCACTTTCCCTTCCAGCTTTGTTGCAACTGATTCACAGAGTTGGACAGCAATCTCAGCTGCAACGTTCTTAGCTTTTCGCAGGAGGGGGGAAAAACAGCAAGTTAAGATTGTTATGCTGCTAAGTTCACCCTATTTGGTGAATGATTTGTTTACGTTCTCTAAAATGGAAATTTATATTAACTCTGGTAGTTTATGCTTCTCCAAGGGTGGGAGATGATATTTTAACCACCTAGCAACACTACTGGATGGCAATGTTGACAGGACACTGCTCACATCCGGCCTACATAGGGGCCCTTGGTGATACCCGCAACTACCGCCTAAATTTCAGCATCCTGTGATGACTAACCTAGGGTGGGAGATGCTCTACAGCGATCTGAACTTGGAATATTCACATCCAAGTCAACCCACTGCACCGTCAAACCTAATAGGCAAAATTCAGCCAGGCATCATAGGACGCTGAAATTCAGACATTAGTTACAAAAAGCATCTAGGGTCCATATGTAGGCTGCCTCAAGTTCCAGAGAGGAAGTATTGCTATGAGAAACAAAAGAAAAAGAGAGAAGATAGGTGGCTGTAGAAAGCAAAACTAGTCCCCCAAGAGAGGAAAAGGACCTGCAGCCAATGGACAATTCTACTAACCTGCTGTTGTCACCAACAGGTATGCTCTATTAAAAGACACCTAAAGTCTCCAATAAAGGGATATGAAACCCATTTGAAGTTCAATCCACTTTACTTATGACCGGTGTGGGAAATGTGGAGTCCTCACAGCCCACTTGCTGAACTTTCTGATATTGTAAAAATAAGCTTTCAAAACAAATAAGCTTACACTAAGCACTAGGGTGGCTGCTTACAAGCCCAACATCCAATGTGCTTGGATTGTAAAGGTAAAGGACCCCTGACAGTTAAGTCCAGTCGCAAACAACTCTGGGGTTGTGGTGATCTCGTTTTACTGGCCGAGGGAGCCAACGTTTGTCTGCAGGTAGTTTTTCCAGGTCATGTGGCCAGCATGACTAAGCTGCTTCTGGCGAAACCAGAGCAGCATACGGAAACGTCGTTTACCTTCCCACCGGAGCGGTACCTATTTATCTACTTGCACTTTGACGTGCTTTCGAACTGCTAGGTTGACAGAGCTGGGACTGAGCAATGGGAGCTCACCCCGTCGTGGGGATTCAAACTGCCGACCTTCTGATCAGCAAGCCCTAGGCTCAGTGGTTTAGACCACAGCACCGGAGTGGCCAATTCTGACAGCCTGCGGAGCCTTAAAACCATCTCGGTGTGAATGTCTGGATGCTACAATTGACACGGATGGGAAGTAGAGAACGGTGTTTTGAAAACAGGATAAAAGAAGGAGCTTAGGGTACCAGCAGCACAGAATCTACTTTGGAAGAGCTTCAGCAACTAGCCATTCTTGTCCCAGGCTTCCTTCCAACTCTCCTTCTGCATAGCCTTCAGAAAGTTCAGTGACCTTTTCTAAAACCCAACTAATGACATAGTCAACCTTGGACCCTTCATAAGCACAGCTCAGCACAAATTGCATGGGAAGTGGGCAGCATCCAGCCCATTGCCACCAAATTGAGCCCCCACCAGCCTAATTCCAGAGGAAGCCCAACGTACCGATCAGGTGATCCTTCATCTTTTCCAACACAGGGTCCATGTCCTCTCTGGATAAGCTTTTGGAGCCCACAAGACCCTTAAGCATCCCAAACATGCCTCCAAGGCCACCCTTCTTTGCACTGGCAACAAGAAGATAGTGTTATGATGTTACAGGAGGGGAAATGTCAATTAAACAAAAGGTTTCATTCAAGTCAACACAGAAGAAGAGCTTTAGTGAGGGACCTTACCTTGCCCCTGAAGAGTTCTGAACCACCTTCTCTTCTTCAGTATCCTCTTCACTCTCATATTCAAGATCACGGAGACGGCCAGGCTCACGGTTGCGATCCCCAAGGACCTGCGGTGGAGGATAAAAAAGGCCAGGAATTATGTAAACCTTCTTTGTTGCGTCTCACTACTCTAAGCAGCTCAGGCTGCCTCCATGTAAACCTTAAGTTACTTCTGGAGGGTGCATCTTCCTTCTGTACTCTTTACACATGTTCTAAGAACAAGAGGCTCACGGTGCTGTTTCTACTTGATGAGCACATCCAGCAGAGGATATCCCAGAATCAGTGCTCTATAGTAAAAGTTGCCCCACATTCTCTATAGGGGATGCGGAACCTTTGGTCTGTGGATCAGATGGTGCCCTAGGTGACTCTATCCAGCCTTAAGGGGTCTCCCCAGGCCAAGCCCCTCAGTATCTCTGCTCTGAGCTCTCATCAAGTGCTTTTGCTAAACTGGAATGTGTCCCTGATTTGTGGTAATGCCTCTGACGTTTCTGTGTCTGGAAGCTCAGAGTCACATCCATGGCTCCTCCCATTCAATGGCCCCAGGAGGGTTTCCCTTGAGGTAATGCAGCGCTTGGCTGGAAAAGGCTCCCCCCCTTCTGCTCTATGATGGGACAGGGAATTCTGGGAAGCAGAGAGCAGCACAGGCACACCTGCATACTTTGTTTCATGGTGCAGATATTACAGAATGATGCATAGCACAGAGAAAGTAGATAAAGTTAATTCTCCCTCTCTCATAACACTAGGAATGGGCATGCAGTGAAGCTGAATCCTGGAAGATTTGGGACAGATAAAAGGAACTGCTACTTCATACAGTGAGTAGTTAAACTTGGAATTTGCTCCCATGAGAAGCAGGGATGCCTGCCAACTTGGATGGCTTTAAAAGATGATTAAACCAATTCATGAAGGGCAAGGCCACCCGCATCTAGTAACCACAATGGCACAGTTTGCTGGGAATCACAAGTGAAGAGAGCTCTTGAGCTCAAGACCTGCTTCCATGCTTCCCACAGGCATCTGACTGGCCATTGTGAGAACAGGATACTGGAATAGTTGGGCCATGGGTCAGATTCCAGCAGGCTCTTTATATGCCTTCTTCTTTTAAAAGGGAACCTGTACTTCTGTTCCTTTTTTTGCTTTTATTCCTCTCCCAACAAAAGACTTAAAAGTCAAGAGCATCAAAAAACCGAAATGTGATAATCAAAATAAAAGTCAAATCCTTGTGTGAATGGGGCCCCAAGTCACATCGTGTTAACAGCTGAGGCTGCTTTGGCAACACTACTGTATTACAAGATTACTGCTAGCAGCAGCACTTGTGAAAGGGAGACACTAAGAATTACACTTCATCCATGTGCAGTTCTTCCCAGTAAATTCCTATGTTCAGTTTATCTAATCAACGGCCCCAATTAACCTTCTCTACAGTGTCGCTTGGTCATTGGTTAGGAAACCAAATCTGCTTTGATGACAAGAACTGCATGAAAACCTCACAATCAAGCTACCCTGGTAAACCCTTGAAGATTTGAGAGCAAGGCATCTTAATGTAGCTCTGCAAAACTATGCACAGGCATGAAACAGAACCACCAGGATGTCTAGTGACTGGGGATCTTACCATTTCTGGATCATACTCCTCCATGGGACAAGTGTCTGCGTTTCCATTGGTAGTGGAATTACTATAGTCAAGTACTTTGGCATTAGAGTTGCCCAGTTCCCACACTCTGGGCTTCTTCCCCTTGTCCTTCTGAGTGTCTGGCTTCGGAGACTTGCTAATGAAGACAGAACAGAAACTCCAGTAGATCTTAGCAGTTAACGAGGAAAAAACTGAACAGAATTCCTGCTCTGAATCATCTCTCGCAGTGAACCCTGAACTTTGCTGGGTCACAAACAATCATAGCAGAAAAGACTGAGTGTGCATTCTGCATTATAATTTATTCTACCCATCAGTCCAAGGAAACACCATTCTCTAGAAAAACAAGGAAGCATACTCCAAGACAGTAAGACAAACTGGTGCTCCACTTTGCTCCCAAGCCTGCTGTTGCCCAATTCAGAAAACCACAGCAAGTGATTCTAGCCTCCTTCAAGCCCTGGCTCAAAAATAAGCTTTGGGTTATGTTTTTCCAATTCATTCCAGAATAGTCACCTGCCGTGAAGACAGCTCAAATTAAGTTAGTCCTCAATGAAGCAGTAAACCTTTGTCTGGGCTATATATGGACTGATAGTGGCTCTCCAGGGTTTCAGAGAGAGGACATTCCCAGCCCTACTAGAGCTTGAATCTGGGACCTGCTGCATATAAAACAAATGCTCTGCCACCAAGCCACGGCCCTTCCTCTATGGACCATGTGACCACCCAACTTCACCTCTCTGGATGCAAAGCCAAGGGAGAGCCAATAGCGTTATTCATTAGCAATGGCCTCACTTACTTGGACTTTTCTCCCCCCTTCATGCGCTTCCTAAAGAATTCCTCCCGGTTCTTCTGCAGGATCTCATCCTTGGTCAGTTCTTCCCTGTCTCCAGCGGCAACGGGAGGATCCTGCTTAACAGCCGCGGTTGCTTTGGGGACGGTAGCTGCTTCATTTCCTGGAGCTGGGCGGGAGGCGGAAAGCACTGTTTTAATAACATCTAATGTTCTAAGAATTGGGACGCAGGTGGCGCTGTGGGTTAAACCACAGAGCCTAGGACTTGCTGATCAGAAGGTCGGCGGTTCGAATCCCCGTGACGGGGTGAGCTCCTGTTGCTCAGTCCCTGCTCCTGCCAACCTAGCAGTTTGAAAGCACGTCAAAGTGCAAGTAGATAAATAGGTACTGCTCCGGCGGGAAGGTAAACGGTGTTTCCGTGCGCTGCTCTGGTTTACCAGAAGTGGCTTAGTCATGCTGGCCACATGACCCGGAAGCTGTACGCCGGCTCCCTCAGCCAATAAAGCGAGATGAGCGCTGCAACCCCAGAGTTGGTCACAACTGGACCTAATGGTCAGGGGTCCCTTTACCTTTACCTTAATGTTCTAAGAGAAAAGGGCCAAGTCCTGCTTTTGAGGTTTTTAGGTAACCGCAAGTTTTAAAAATAATAATATTTGTGCTGAGCAAATTCCATGTTCCACCAAAACAAAAACATGTAAAATGAAACATTTAAACCAGAGATGGGGTTTAAATCAACCCTAGCCAGCATGGCCAATGGCCGGGGGATAATGGGAGTTGTAGTCCATCAACAAATGGGGGAACCAGAGGACCTCCATTCCTGCTTCAGCTCCTCAGCTAACAGGGTATCCCCAGTTGTCACTAAATGAGCAACTGCATGTCAGACTGGACATTTAAAACTGATTTTAACGAACAGGACATGGATAAGACTGTTATCGATTCTGCTCCCAAGTGCAAGCCACCAGAAATAGCACAAACCCCACAGTTCCTCACCACAGCAGGCCTCTGGTTTGGCACGGCCTGCTGCTTGCATATCGCAACACTGACTCACCTTCCTTTTTGGAACCTTTGCTTTTCTTGTTCTTGGTTTTTTCTTTTGGTTTCTCCCCTCGATTTTCTATCATAGACTTCACGGTTTTTTGGGATTTTGCCGACTGTTCAAACGACTTCATGGCAGTGGGAGCTCGGGCTTTACTGCTCTCCTCTGCATCCCTGATTGCAAAGAGGAAAAGGTTTACCCAATCATGCTCATTCAATGCCAGACAATGAATAAATGTATTATTTTAGAGCTGTCCTGGCTGGAGGCAGCACAGATGCATATTTACCGCATGGAATTTGTTTCCCTAACTTCTTCTAACAAGCAACTTTTAAGAGATGATCTTGGGCTATGTGGCCATAGGACCCCTTGCCCCCAAAGGAATGAGACATCTAGGCTAGCTAGCTAGCACTGTAGTGCCAATACCCATCAACAAACCTTGCCCATGTTACGGAGTACAATAAAGTCATGTTGGGTTATGGGAAGGAATGCTGATGCTGTCTTGGCTAGGTTTCAATGGATTCCTCCAAAACCATAAGAAACATATGCAGCTTTGGGGTGGCGCAATGGTGAATTGTTCAATATCCCCCCCCCCCATTTATAATGCAACTCCGTTCAAGGTGGAAAATACAATTTCATTCTGACAGCAAAAGCTGAGCACAGCAAAGTTCACACAAGCAGTTCCTAGCAAGGCAGACTTCCTTCCTGCCCACCTCTACTGAGGGAGATCGTGTTACTCTTATTGAGCCAAGCCCCCAATTTACAGCTCCAAAATACAAGGTATCTGAGGCAAAACACAGGATCAGCAACAAAAGATGAAAGAGAACATCCTATTACCGTAGGAGACGTAAAAAATCCTCCTTAAAATCAAAGGTGCCATTGAGAAGCCCAAGAGCGCCCTTCTGCTGGAACTCGTTTCGATATTTGTCTCGGAACTCCTTATGAACATCATCTATCAACTTATCCACATAGGTTAGAGTTAAAATTTTCTGAAACCCAACCTGCAAGGAGAACAGTGGTGTTAAAGACAAGCAAAAGTAACCACATTATAATTTTATGATTCTGCGTTCTATGATTCCCGCATTGCAGGGGATTGGACTAGATGATCCTCGGGACCCCCTTCTAACTTTACAATTCTACATATTTGTTTGTGAAAGAGAAACTGCCCCTTGATTGAAGCCTCATTGCTCTTAAGAAACATTTCTAAGGTGTTGCTATAATGACAGTTCGTGATGCAAGACTGAGGAACAAGCTCTTCTGATCCCAATCGAAGGAAAAGGAAGTAATGTTCCACAACATCAAAAACAATATATCAGTGCTGAGAAAAGTTTTCTATTCACTTTGCTATAGAGACTCTTGGAGACAGGTTTTCCACCTGTCTGAGGTCTTTATCTCACACAGAATAATTCACTTACCACAAAAACGAGTTCAAATTGATTGTCCAGCTTGTATTTAAGCGTAAGGGCTTCATGGTTGAAAGAGTTGCTGCCACCTCGCTCCTGAAAAGGCAAGAGAGAGAGAGAGAGAGAGAGAGAGAGCACATTGGCAGCACCTATAATGAGATGGAAACCCTACATTACAGGAGTTGTAGAGATTCAGTGTTTTTTTTTGGTAAAGAATAACCATCCTGTTTACTGTGGGTACAATTCAAATTCTAGGAAAAAGTGTCCAATCTTCATATTCCATACATGCTTACAAGCATCTGTTTCAAGACACAAAGTACACTTCACACCTAACAGCTATACTGTAATTCATTCAGCAATATGCATTTCCACCACACAAAGATTTTAGACTTTTTGCTGTTCAGACACAGTAGCTCACATGCTGTCAGAGATATCTGCCATCAGATCCCGGACTCCTACTTCTGTTGTCAGAATAGCCAAAGACCTTATTAGCTAGCATCCATGCAACTTCTTTGAACAATCTTGACTTCCTATAATTAACACAAAGAATCTTGCAGCAGCAGCCTGCTTCTACAGAAATCAGACAGAAAATGTGAGTTGGGTGAAATGTTATGAAGCAGAGTTTATAGTTAAATGGCACCCCAGCCATAAATCTGGGAAATATATCTATTTGAGACCCTGGAGAGCTATGATAAATCAAGACAGATTCTGATAGGCTATTTGAATCACTAGTCTGCCTTAGTATGAAACAACTACATTTTCACCTAACCACCCATCAATGGCATGTCTTCACGAACAAGAAGCAAAAAGGTAGAGAAAATAACAGCAAAGTAAAGAAATCCAGAAGTGGGCAAGTACCACCTACTGGCAGCCTACTTAAAACATGCCCATGTTGTACAATACAGAAGCAATTCCCACCATCTGAGTCACACAGATGTGCAAACTGCTAGTATGAGAGGCTACCCAAGGAAGCTTTCAAACATCCAAAGATAAATACTGCACTGCTCTATAATCCATGAAAAAGTGCTCTGAAATAAGGAATAAAGAACCACATGGCACCCCAGGATAGAGGGAAACTGATAAAGTATCACCTTTTGGCTTGAAAAACAGTCTTTGAAATTCAGAAATAAAAGGAATGGCAAAAAGTGTTTAATCTCAGACCTGAAAGACCTGGGCAAGACACACAAGGTAGCTAAGTCGCCAACTCTCAACCTAATATCCTTTTCTTATATACAAAGAAAAATAGGAGCAGCATGGTGCTGACTGTGAAACACTACACACTAAGTAAAATAAGTATCAACACTCCCAATGCACAATTTACATGAAGAAAAAAATGAGCTTTAGTGACACCAAGAAAACGCTGACATTCACATTATTTTAAAGAAGTATTTTTGAATGGTCATTTAAGCTCTGAAATATATGGACAGCAGAACTTGATATAACCAATAATATAAATGAATATTTAGAAGTTAGACAAATCATAGCTAATAGACTGGTAGTGCAGTTGAGCGTTTTAATACCCAGTAAATTTTAAAAACTTCTTTAAAAAACCTACTTACTATACAACTTTCTGTACAGATGCAAAATCACAAAACAGAACTCTCAAGCTATTCATCCGACTTAAACAGACCTGCTTTTATGGAATCTTAATGCTTACAGTTGTGATCCATGACTAAGGATCCAAATGACCCGATTACAACATGCTGCCAGAACTGGATGTACGATCAGATCATCCTGTCTCCTGTACCTGGAATCAGCTTAAGTAGTATCCATTCTCCAATTCCAATTAGTGTATGGAAACAGATAAAGAGTTAGAGAAAGCTTAAGGGGAAAGGTAGGCTGTAGTAGCCATGGCTACGGGTGAGATCCAAGACAGAAAGAGTGGGAGAGAGGGATGACTAGATAGCATGATCCTTTGCACCTTTTCAGTTTATGTTCCCATCACATATTGTCTATCGCAGACTATTAGCTTACGGAACAACCAGTTGTATTTTGCATTAGGTCCTTGGGAATAAAAGGAAATACAAGTTATGCACCTGTGACTTTCTGAAATAAGAAACAGGCACTACAAAACAGGAAATCTGCTAAAATAGAAAACATATTTTCCTGTTTGGGCTTGCAATTCAACAGGGAATTTTGAACACAGCATATGTTTTATGAGGTTCTACAGGGAAATGCAACTTGTGTCTAGCCAGCTGATAATAGTTTCTGTAGATGAAAACAACTGAAACACGTTGGGAATTACTTATTAAGTAACAATTGCACCATTTGGGCCTTGTCTCTTGAAACCTCCTTGCAAAACGCAGTGGTCAGGAGCAAACAAGAAGTGCTTTCTGGAAGTGTAGCATCTGGAAGGTTAGCTGTGTTAGCCAAAATAAATGTGCTGGTATTTTAAGGGGCTACAAATACTAAGGAGTAAATTCCATTAAACTAAGCTGGCTGTACATCTAGGTAGGCATTCCTAAGATTAAAGTCTTAGGCTGCAATCCTATGCGCACTTATATGGGAACAAGCCCCATTGAACTCTAGCAGTCGGTAATAACAAGCAGAGCTTGCAACAAAATGTTGCCGTATGAACTGCTCCTAGATCAAGATTCTAACCAGGCACGCTCTTTTCCAAGATACCCCATTCCATACCCCCTCTTCCCTGGATTTTAGAACACATCCCAGCAGTCAAGTAAACATGCTGTGCCCACTGGGCATACTCAGTCCTGAGCAGGGGTGGGTGGGTATCCCACCATTAAGAGTTACTTCCATCTAAAGATTCAGTGCACTTCTTCAAACACTGAGTTTCTCCCAATGATAAGGATACCACCCCCTCTTCTGTGTTTGGATCTTCCCACTTGGGTTACATTAACACTCACAAAACATATGGCCTATTTACCATTTGCATTTCACTTTCAGGAGTTTAAGACATTTCACATTCATTAGCAAGCTAGTAAGGCAAGGCTGTGGAACTCGTGGCCCTCTAGATGTTGCTGCACTACAACTCCCATCATCCCTTCAGACTGGCTGTTGACAGCTGGGGCTGATTAGGTCTGGAATCCAACAACATCTGGAGAGCCACAGGTGACCCATCTGCGGATTTCTTCCACCACGGCAGATTTTGACTGACATTTTCAAAACAGTCTTCTCTTTTCAGCACGTGTGGGTCTATACCATTCCAGAGGGCATCACAATTATGCACATTCGATTAAGAAAACCATGTTGTTGTTTTTCCCCCCACACGGGGAAAGCGTGGGAATCGCCTGGTCCTTCTAAGTTACTGATTCCCACATTGTATCTGAATGCACCTTGCACAGATCTGGGCTGTCCGTTTCCAGGCTATTTCACAGAACCTTAGATTTGGAAGGGACCCCCAGGGGCATCTAGTCCAACCCCACCTCCTGCAATGCAGGAATCTCAGCTGAAGCATCCACGGCAGATGAACAGCTCCAAGGAAGGAGACCCCACAACCTTCCACTGTCGAACAGCTGTTTAGTTTATGTTTCCTTGTTTCACGTTCCCGATTTTTTAAAGAGGAAATCGTTACTTTCCGACCCGCCCACCAGCAGTGAATAAAGGTGGGGAGTTTGATGGTGGATACCTCAGTGGTACCTCTGGTTAAGTACTTAATTCGTTCCGGAGGTCCGTTCTTAACCTGAAACTGTTCTTAACCTGAGGTACCACTTTAGCTAATGGGGCCTCCCGCTGCTGCTGCGCCGCCACCGCACGATTTCTGTTCTCATCCTGAAGCAAAGTTCTTAACCCGAGGTACTATTTCTGGGTTAGCGGAGTCTGTAAATTGAAGCGTATGTAACCTGAAGCGTATGTAACCCGAGGTACCACTGTAACATAAAGTCAGGGGTGGCGGAGGGAGGGGAAGAGAGAGAGGGGCATCCAAAATCGGCGGAAGGATGTCGACGCGTAAAAGGGAAAGCGGCGAGAAGACTCACCTGGAGCAGAACCGAGCGGATGAGCGCGTTCACGGGCGCAGTGCAAGCCGCCGCGGGGCCGCGCACGCCTTGGAAGCACCAGAGGACGAGGCCTCCCTTGCTAAAGATGGTGAAGAAGTCGAGCATGGCGGAGCCGGGAGGGGGGGAAGAGAGGGGGGAACCGGGGAGGGGGGCCTGAGACGCCGGGAAACCAGCCCGACTTCCTTACCCACGTCAGGCTATTCTCTTCACTGCGCGCCTCATTTCCGCCGGAAGCGGGCTTCCGGATGGGAGGCGGGACTAAGGGGAGAAAGGGGCAGAGCGATTGGGCCTCGCTTCCGGAAAAGGAAATGGGAGGGGAAACCGATGTGAGGACCATAGACGTAGCAAAGCGATAGAGCGGTCGAAGAAAATGTGCTTTAAATTTTTTTAAAAAATAAGTTCGTCGCAACATAGAGAGACGGAGACAGGCATAGTCTAAAAACCAAGAGGGGAATGCGATAGTGAGGCACGACGCGCTTGCGCAAGACACAACACTGACGGCAGAAGGGGCGGGAACGAGAAGAGCTCTTAAGTTCCGGTGCTTCCGGTGGGTGAATATAGACGGGCCACGTCAAAACTAAGGATGGCGCGTCATGAGGAAAGACGGGATTGGTTGCGGAGGAGGAAGGAGGAGGGGATTGCATCGTGGCGGCGGATTGGCCAAGGACGGAGGGAAGTAGGCGGGGACTTATCTGAAGAGTGGGCGGTGCTTAAGGTGTCCCGACCCCGGCGGGTTTTAGCGAGGCGGGGCAAAGAAGGAGGTTTTGTATTGGTCAGTGGAAAGGGGGTGGAGTTTCCCTGCGGAGTGGGCGGTGCTTCGCGGACTCAGAACCACACAGGTCCTATCAGGGTAGGCGGGGGGCGGGCGTTTGCCGTGACGCGTTCAAACCTGAGGCGCTGAGGTAAAGAGAGGACGTCTCGGTGTCCGCGCGGGCTCGTCTTAGTCCCCTGAGGGGAGCAGAGCCGGCAGCATGTTCCGCGGGCGGAGACTGCTGGGCGGGCTGCGTCCTCTGCTGGCGGCGGCGAGTCCCTCAGCGAGTCCGGTGGAGCCTCGCCGGCCGTTTCGTACAGGGGAGCCCCGACTTTACGACCCCGTCAAAGGTGCGCGTCAGGCGGGGGTGGCTTCTTCTCTAGGCCTGGCCTACCTCGCAAGGTTATCGTGAGGCTAATCTAGTGTTGGGGCGAGAGGAGGAGCCTCTCGAGGAAAAGTAAAAATCGAATAAATGACGAGTGGGTTGGTATTGGTATTTTCATCCAACCTTCCCACTTTTTTGGAATGGTTGATTGGCTAAGATCTCTTATGAAGTGGATGCTAATTTAATAGAATTTAAAGTGGGGTTTTTTTTAGTCTTTCTAAAAAATGGGACAATTTTTAATCCCCCTTACACGTGTGTCTCGTTTAATTAATTCACTGACGATTGACTGGCCGAAATCTACATACCTGTGCACACATATAAAAAAAGTTTTAAAATTATTTCATTGCAAGCACTTGGAAATATTTGTCAGCTTATTAGAAACAACTTCGATTAATTGAATTATTTAACTGACTAAAATCTGTGCAGAAGAGTTCTGAAGTGGGAGACTTTTAGATGATGCATGCATGTGTCAGTAGTGGTGTTCCTGATTCCTTTTTGCAAACAACCCCCCCCCCTTAATAAATTACATTATTTTTAATGTAAGTACTTTTTAAAAAGTGGGCTTCTTCAGCTGCTCTTAATTGTGGCTCACCACGACACTTGATAACTACAAGTGAGGAGGTGGAAGTCACTATTTCCTTACTGTATAATGCACTATATGTTTTATTCAATTAAGTAACTATCACATGTTTCTTTGATTTGAACCTATGAAATGACAGTAATGAATTCAGTAAGTATGTAATGTGAATCAAAAAGTAAATGCCATGCAGCACAATTCTATTCATGCTTCTTCAGAAATAAATTCCACTTAGTTCAATGGAGTTTACCTCCCTAGTACGCTTGCTTAGCATTTCAGCATTAGTCAGTGGAAAAACATATATTCCAAGGTAATAACACGTACCTGCATTTTTGTAAGTTTTTTGTATTTAAAATAATTGTTGTTGTGTAGTCGTTTAGTCGTGTCCGACTCTTCGTGACCCTATGGACCAGAGCACGCCAGGCACTCCTGTCTTCCACTGCCTCCCGCAGTTTGGTCAGACTCATGTTTGTAGCTTCGAGAACACTGTCCAACCATCTCGTCCTCTGTCGTCCCCTTCGCCTTGTGCCCTCAATCTTTGCCAACATCAGGGTCTTTTCCATGGAGTCTTCTCTTCTCATGAGGTGGCCAAAGTATTGGAGCCTCAGCTTCACGATCTGTCCTTCCAGTGAGCACTCAGGGCTGATTTCCTTCAGAATGGATAGGTTTGATCTTCTTGCAGTCCATGGGACTCTCAAGAGTCTCCTCCAGCACCATTATTCAAAAGCATCAATTCTTCAGTGATCAGCCTTCTTTATGGTCCAGCTCTCACTTCCATACATCACTACTGGGAAAACCATGGCTTTAACTATACGGACCTTTGTTGGCAAGGTGATGTCTCTGCTTTTAAGATGCTGTCTAGGTTTGCCATCGCCTTTCTCCCAAGGAGCAGGCGTCTTTTAATTTTGTGACTGCTGTCACCATCTGCAGTGATCGTGGAGCCCAAGAAAGTAAAATCTCTCACTGCCTCCATTTCTTCCCCTTCTATTTGCCAGGAGGTGATGGGCCCAGTGGCCATGATCTTCGTTTTTTTGACGTTGAGCTTCAGACCATATTTTGCGCTCTCTTCTTTCACCCTCATTAAAAGGTTCTCTGGAGCAGGAACCAGCAAGCCACTCCAGTATCCCTGCCAAGAAAACTCCATGGACAAAGACAACAGGCATTTAAAATAATTACTGGTCTTCAAAAAAAATACAGTCTCATTAGCAGAGTGTACTTTTACAATTAAGTCATTTTAACAAAGTTATGGTGACTGTTTCATTTTTAGAGCAAAACATAGCTCTAATTAATACCATAATGACTGAAACAAACAAACAGTTATCAGTCTTCATAAAGATGCCCTTTGTACGTCATGCGCCGGTAATTGTAGTCCTGGTTCATGCCTGGCATCTCAAGGTAAAAATTTCAGCAACGCAAACAGCATGTTTAAACCTAACTCTTGAACTGCTGATTACGTTGCTAAAATTAGTAATGCCAGGACTACAACTGTTGGTGATTAAAGTGCAAAGGGCACCTGAAAGGCTTGCCGTTACGAAGACTGATAACTGGTTGTTTCAGTCAGTATGGTTTTAATTAGAGCTATGTTTTGTTCTATAAACAGAACAGCCATTGTAACTTTGCTTTTATTTTTTTAACAAGAAAAGCTGCTTTCTACAGCTTGCGTAAATTTTTGTGGAGAACAAGGATGTTCTTTCTCTCTTCATAAATCTACATATCTTGTGGGGGGAAAGGGAATAAGTTATATGGAGCTTTGAAGCCACCGGGAAACATATTCAACCATTCTGTTCACAACCACACCATACAGTTAAAGCAGTAGCATGCCACTTTACGTTTCCGAGCACAATTCAAAGTGTTGGTGCTGATCTTTAAAGCCCTAAACAGCCTCAGCCCTGTATACCTGAAGGAGTGTCTCCACCCCCACCATCCAACCCGGACACTGAGGTCCAGCGCCAAGGGCCTTCTGGCAGTTCCCTCACTGCAAGAAGCGAAGTTACAGGGAACCAGGCAGAGGGCCTTCTCGGTAGTGGCGCCCGCCCTCCCATCAGATGTCAAGGAAATAAACAACTATCAGACTTTTAGAAGACATCTGAAGGCTGCCCTGTTTAGGGAAGTTTTTATGACTGATGTTACATTAAAACATTTTTAATCTTTTGTTGGAAGCTGCCTAGACTGGCTGGGGAAACCCAGCCAGATGGGTGCGGTATAAATAATAAATGGTTGTTGTTTAACAGTCATTGCTTCCCGCAAAGAATCCTGAAAACTGCAGTTCATTGAGTGAGAGTGGTTAAGAGATTCCTCACAGAGTTGAAGCACCCTTCGCAAACTACAGCGCTGAGAATTCTTTGGGCGAAGCCATTACTGTTAAAATAGTGCAAGAGTGCTTTAAATACACAGCAAGGACATGACATCTCTCTGTATCTGAGAATTGCCAAGCCTTTCAAGCATACATTTCTACCGTAAGGGCTGAGATTCATGAAATGCTGGATTCTGCTTTCTCCAAACTTGATATATTGGACATGTTTGGTAGCAATAAGGTTTTGGCTTTATTTCTCTGTCTGCTAAGTCTGCTAAGCACTAACAGCATGGTATTATTTCCGGCTTCTTTCAGATTTGGAGAAGGGAGTCATCGATGCCTACAAGAAAATGAAAGACTTCCTTCCTGGCAGTAGCTGGCACCCTGGGCATGTTACAGAAGGTTTACCTCCTGACCACGCTGATGTGGTCATTGTTGGGGGTGGAGTAATTGGCTGGTCTATTGCCTTCTGGCTGAAGATGAAAGAACCACAGAGAAATGCATATCGAGTAGTGGTGGTGGAGAAAGACCTTAAGGTCATTTAACATCTGAGATCAATAATGGGGGTCTTGGGGAACGTTTTCAAACATCAGGTTTGTTAAGTGTTGGGCTTACTTTGTGCGATAGAGGCAATGAGCCATTAATATGCGTCCAAAAGACACGCATGGCGACAAACCCGGAAGTGACAGGACAGCGTCATTAATAGGGAGGAACTGGTGTGGAAGGGGGCAAGAGGGCGCTGATACCGCCTCCACCAACGCAGGGCCCAGGGACAGAACACCCACACAAAATGGTCATTGACGGTATTCAGGTCCCTTCTAGAAAGATGAATCGCATTAAAGTGCATTTCTGAAGGTGTGCTGTAGTACTTAGTGTCAGACTTGGCCCATGGAGACCTGCTTCAAATCTCTGCTCAGCCATCATGCTATCTAGGTGACTGAAAGCCAACCACACATTCTCAGCTTCACCTGCCTCACAGCTTTAGTTGTAAATATTAAACAGAAGGGCAGGGAGAGAGAACTCTGAATTCTGCCCTGTACTTATTGGAGGCAGGGCAGGATAAATAAGTAATCAGGGTGACCGTTCATTATGTTAAATGTAGAAATAGTAGGTGACCTTCTGAATTGCAGATTGATAATGCTGCAACAGCAATAATGGGCATTCACCATTTTGTCCTGCCAGGGAATCTCTTCCACAATTGCCTTTTATTTTCTTGCTGCTCTTTATATTACTGAAATGTTTCTGGGAGAGGGGATTTGACTATGGAGCTAAGTGACAGCATCATTTTCTGTTTTGCTTCTTTGCAGTATTCCAAAGCATCTACAGTACTCTCTGTAGGGGGAATACGCCAGCAGTATTCAATTCCAGAAAATATCAAGATGTGCCAGTTTTCGGCAAACTTCCTGCGTACCATCAACGTATGTCATAATGTCTGGGTGTTTGTGGGAGTGTTGGTGTGGAGGATTCTCACACTTGCTTCTGTCAGCGGTCTGCCTTGCATCCTCTAGAAAAGGCAAATGGGCCATCGGTCCATCTTGAAGGAGACAAGATATGGGAATGTGCAACTACTTCGATATATACAGTACAGTGGTGGAGTGTTTGAATGCACTGAATAACCATGGTGCAGTTTGCTCCACTGCCCTTGTCCTAATAACTCAGTCACCCTAGCATCCACATACAGATCTGAATCTATCAATTGGCATCCCAGTAGCAAGTTATTCAAACAGAAAACACTGGTGTTTCTTCCTGATTTTGTCTCAACTCCATTAAGAGTGCTTTTGGGTAACCATATACTATACACTTTCTAGATCAGAAGTTAAAGTTGTACATTTCTGTTTATATACTGTTGGGAATTTTGGACATGTGTCATTCTTGAAGCTTCTTCGGTTTTAATTTATCGCCCCGTATACATGCATGGATTGTTTCTTTTGTCTATTATTTTTCTCCTAAATCCTCCGGCCATTGTTACATCATGTGTGCTTGAGAGATGCTAAGAGTTGGCATATCATAATGGTCAAGTCTGAAGTCCTAAGCACACTTCTTAGAGAATATCCCACTTTTAGTAAACGTGCTTGGAATTGCACTTTTAAGAATGAAGCATAAACCAGTTCAGATATTTTCTTTGCCATGATCAAGTAGTCCTAGATAAGCCATTATCCCCCTCCCCCATAGCTTCTCATCTAGAATATGCGGATAACAATAATGCACTGTTGTGTAAGGACTACATGCAGGGGTCAGCAAACTTTTTCAGCAGGGGGCTGGTCCACTGTCCCTCAGACCTTGTGGGGGGCCAGACTATATTTTTTGGGGGGAATGAACGAATTCCTATGCCCCACAAATAACCCAGAGATGCATTTTAAATAACAGCACACATTCTACTCATGTAAAAACATGCTGATTCCCGGACTGTCCACGGGCCAGATTTAGAAGGTGACTGGGCTGGATCCGGCCCCCGAGCCTTAGTTTGCCTACCCATGGACTACAGTGATCATAAAGCTTTTTAAACTCTCAAGAAAAGAGCTATAGCAGTGATATGTATTCCTGTAAGTTTCCCACTCCATCCCATCCTGAAGACAGCAATCCTTGAAATTGTAAACAGATTATCTTTTTGTTCCAGCAATACCTTGGTGTTGTCACCCAGCCACCCATAGATATTCAGTTTAACCCATCGGGCTATCTCTTCCTGGCTTCAGAGGATGGAGCTGCTCTGCTGGAGGAGAATGTTGGAATTCAAAGGTATGGGGTTCTGAGGATCCTTTGGGTAAAAGTTGCTTAGAGAGAAGAAACAGTGATAGGCGTGTATGTATGAATGAGGTCTTTGAAAATGTTACGTTCTTTTAAAGCCATAGTGGTTTTCTGCCCCCAGCATTGAGATCACCTCTGGTAATTTTACCTATTTGCTCACGCAGATTATTTCAAAATTACTTTTTTTGGAAAGTAGACTTTTTGACTTTAAAAATAATAACATAAATTGCCCCTTCCTGCCTTTATTAGGGCATCTTTTAAATTGACAAAATGGATTTTCCCCCATCTTGTGCATTCTGATGAGCGTTCTTTAATGGTTTGTTTGCTTGCTTTTTTCAGGAGGGAAGGAGCAGAGATCTCACTACTATCACCGGCACAACTGAAAAAGAAGTATCCGTGGTTGAATACAGAAGGAGTAGCTTTGGCTTCCATTGGTACTAGACTGCTGAATCTCCATCTTTCCTAAAGATTAATAGCACTGCTGTCTCAAGTAAACAGTTTGAAATAAAAATGCTCTGTTCTTCTTTTTTGTATGCTTAACTTACAGGGACTCTAGAATGAGCAAGCCCCCATTTCTCCTATTTTCTGCTAACAGCTTCCTTATGAGTAGCTAGTCCAGTACTGGTCCTTCAACCCCTGCCCCATCAGCTGCATTCTCACTCAGATCCATAGTCAGAAATGTTGGAGAGCCATATGTCAGGGCAAAATGGCACAACCCATGAATATTAGCGCAATTATCTCATTTATTAAATAGTTTAAAAGAAAAAAAATACATTTCAATAAAATGTGCTCATGTGCTTTTATCCACACATCTATCCAATGGCTGCAAAGGCAATAAAAACACTGACAGCTGAGAGCAGATTTTCTGCTTATTGAGAATTTTGATAGATTTCTGCCTACACATTTTCTTACTTGGTATTCTGAAGTGTCTCTTAAATGAGAGTCTCGCTGTTATTCCTGCTGGTACCAGGGCCCCATCCCCTTCTCATGTTATTGCCTGGTTTCCTAATATCTGGTCATATTTTCTGGGTTCTATCACATTTCTTTTAGTGACCAAGAGACAGAGCTGCAGATAAGAGCAAACCTGGACCAAATTGCCTCTCCTAACACTGCTAACTGTTTGGCAAAGTACAATGGAGGTTATTTGTTACAGTCAAACCTTGGTTCTTGAACTGCTCTGTTTTCAAATGCTGAAAACCCGGAAGTAAATGCTCTGGTTTTCAAACATTCCTCAGAACTCAAATGTCCAATGGGGCTTCCACTTGAGTGCAAGAAGCTCTTACAACCAATTGGAAGCTGCGCCTCGGTTGTCGAACGTTTCCAAAGTCAAATTATCTTCTGGAGCGGATTATGTTCAACAACCGAGGTTTGACTGTATAAGAAATCTTGCAGGGGATGGGGATTCTGTTTTGTTCTGGGCTTTTTTACTGAGTTTGCCTGTTGGGAAAGATCAGTTGTTCTTAGCCAACCAAGAGTGCTATTCAGAAATGTTCAGAGTATGACTGCAGAATAATTGTCATGGCATTGTAATTCTAAACTAGATTGCCTTTCTTGCGTTCTCTGTTTTGTCTTCTTAAGGCTTGGAAAATGAGGGATGGTTTGACCCCTGGACTCTTCTCAACGCTTTCCGGAACAAAGCAATATCATTGGGCGTCTACCAGAGCTGCGGCGAAGTGAAATGTGAGTCTGTCGCCCCCACTTGGTATTGCAAGCACACACCATCATTACCACTGAATTGTGTTGGGCAGCTCAGCCTCCTGGCACCAGGGGGCAGAAACCCTATTCAGTACAGTCTTACCTTGGTTCTCGAACAGAATCCGAAACCGTTAAAAAACCAAGGCACAGCTTCCAGTTGGCTGCAGGAGCAGTGGAATGCCCTCCAACCGTATTGTTTAAGCACCAGGCAGAAACATTATTATTTACCTAGATAGTTCTGTAGATGTTAATGATTTAAACTGAGCAAGTCTATTTTAAAATTAAAGTTTTACTGTTTTGTATATTTGTTTTATGTTGTATACCTGGTGTGGGGAGTCTTTGGCTCTTCAAATATTGCTGAACTACAACTCCCATTATCCCTAGCCATTGACCATGCTTGCTGCAGTTGATGGGATCTGCAGTCTAGTAACATCTTGTTGTATTATTTTACTGTTGTTAGCCGTATACTATCCTGAAATCTGATCTAATGAAAGGGGGCTACAAAAAATGCTTCAAATATTTTACCCAAGGGATTACCCAAGCCCTCATTTTTCCATGTCTTAGATTTTAAAGTTGAACCAAAGCAAAGTTGCTTCTGTATGTTCTTTTTCATCATCTGCAGCTTTCGACTTGTATACAGAAGAACTGAGGACACATGATGGGGATCGTATTAATTTCTCCCGTATCAAGGGTGTTAATGTAAGTCATTATTTGAACTACTTCAATTAAAAGTAGGGGCAAGATGTGCTGAGTAGAAGGTTCCAAGGAGAAGCTCACAGAAAACCCTCCATTTTTTAAAAAAATATAACTTTTATTAAAGGTTTTATTGGGTTACAAAAATACGTTCATTGTCTCTATTTTCAGGTTGTAGTCTTTTCTACTTATCAGTTATGTTTGATGTGAGGGCCTCTCAAAACTTCTGTTTCTATGAGGTTCTTCTGTAGTTTAGCAGAGCTAACGAGAGCTTACAAAACTAAAAATAACTGTAGTACAGTATGATCTGCCCTTGAACTTTTGACAGAACAGATAACGTAGGCAGGCTTGTGGCCACTGACTTCTTAGATGACAATATTACATATTAACATTTGTTCAAGGGCCAGTATTGTACTGGGCAGGAGAAGGGCTGGAAATGGGGCTTTGATATCATTTCAGGCTTCTTTGTGTATCCCATGCTGCAGTGCTACCTGCTTCCCTGACTCTGTTACAGGGCTAAGGAACCTGTGGCTTGCCAGATGTTGGCTGCTGGTGGTTGCAGGTGATGGGAGTTATAGTCCAGCAACATCTGAAGGTCTACAACTTCCCCAGCCCTGCTCCACTAGCCTAAAGGAAAAGCCAATCCAAGATATAGGTATGTGTTCAGTAGTCTGCACTTTGCCCTCCCCCAAAAAAGCTTGGCAACTGCTCTTCTCTCCCTAAGTGAAGTGGCTCCAGTGTTAGCTCAGTTTAAGACTGCCATGCAAATGTACTGAAGGTATACATGGATGCCAACAATTTCTGGCATGTCCCTTGCAGTGTACTTTGCCAGGCTTGTGTGTGACAGGAAAAAGAGGTGGAATGCACAATAGCAACTAGACAGGAAATCCCAACATTTTTCATAATGGAACAAGAAGTAAATCAGAAAGCTCTCCATCACTTCCACGATACAGCAAATGCTTGGTCTCAGATCCTGTGACATCTCCCTGGCTTTTTTTCCTTTTTGCTTGTGTATTCCCCATTGTCATCTGGAAAACCCGTGCCAGCTTGCCTAATGAAACAGTTACCAGGTCCTCCCTACTGTGTTATCCTCTAGGTCCAGATGCCCGACAGTATAGAATCCACCAAAATAGAATGTGGTTTTGTGGTGAATGCAGCAGGAGCTTGGTCAAGCAGTGTGGCAGAGATGGCTGGCATTGGAACTGGGCCGCCACACTCAATGCTGGGCATCAGGCTTCCTGTGGAACCCAAGAAAAGGTATGGCTAAGCCTAGTATTTATGCTGCTTTGGAGTTCATATCTTAAATACCTATTAAATGGTAACCATATATTGTGATAGGGATGCGGGTGGCGCTGTGGGTTAAACCACAGAGCCTAGGGCTTGCCGATCAGAAGGTCGGTGGTTTGAATCCCCGCAACAGGGTGAGCTCCCGTTGCTCGGTCCCTGCTCCTGCCCACTTAGCAGTTTGAAAGCACCTCAAAGTGCAAGTAGATAAATAGGTACCACTCCGGCAGGAAGGTAAACGGCGTTTCCATGCGCTGCTCTGGTTTGCCAGAAGCGGCTTAGTCATGCTGGCCACATGACCTGGAAGCTGTATGCCGGCTCCCTCGGCCAATAAAGCGAGATGAGCGCTGCAACCCCAGAGTCGGCCACGACTGGATCTAATGGTCAGGGGTCCCTTTACCTTTTTTTATATTGTGATTCTCAGATTTGTGAGGGCTGCCAGCATGATTCACTTTGAAGTTAGGGCCAGAGTTGGGTTGGACTCGATGGCCCTTGTGGTCTCTTCCAACTCTATGATTCTATGAGTTTTTGTCCTGTTCCTCTGTTGCCACACACGATAGACCTACACTTCTTATTTTGCTAAATCTGTGGCTCTGCAGATCGGTTGTAGTCCAGCAACATCTGGTGGGGCCACAGCTTCCCTGCCCCTGATCCAAATGGTTGGACAGCTACTGCTCCTTCTTCTTTATTTTTTTTTTTAATGATATTTATTAAGAATTTTTAGAATTACAAAAAAGAAACAAAAAAGAAAGAGAAAGAGAAAAAACAAAGGAAAAACAAGCCACCACGATCAAAAGACAAAAATGTGCCACAAACATTTAAAAACAAATCCAATATTCTCAAATCCTTAACTGTCATTACCTTCTTTCTTTGACCTCCTCACCCCTCCCTTTTTTTGTATCCTAGTTATTAATTGTTGCAGCAAATCCTTTCCATATTTCATAATATTCTGTCATTACATTACCTTAATCTATTTTAATCTTATCTTACTATAAAAAACCTTAAAAGTTAAAACTTAGATCTTATTTATACCAATTTCTCATAACCATAATATTCTTACATGATTCTTTAAACATTTTTCCTAAAGCCAAATAATTTCGTTCCAACATTTTTTTTAACGTTCATCAATTTTATAAAACAATCCTAATAATTTTTTTTTTCTTCCAATCTTCATCCAGCGTCTCTTCCTCCTGGTCCCGGGTTATGTCAGTCCTTTCTATCCCATCAATCTAGCGCATTAACCTGGTAATCTTATGTCCGAGGCCCTTAACTCCCTTCCATGTCCCTTCCGCAGCTCTTCTTCATATTTATACCTGTACTTTACTTTGTCTCCTGCTCCTTTCACTCGTGGGAACTCCAACTTAACAATGTTTTTGACCCTTCTCGACAAATCAGCCCCTTTTCCATAGTCCACACTAAACTCCATGTGGTATTTAAAAACATGTTTCAAAGTCCCTCCAAAATTAAGAGCCCCCACAACCCCAAACATCTCACGGCCCATTGCCAGACCAAGTGCCAAGTCCAAACATCTCTGCATAGGGGGGTCTATCCAACCCCCCATTTCCAAACCAAACCAAACTTTATCTTTCCAAATCTGGCTTTTTCCAAGTTCATTTGTCAAATCCAAAAGCTCCTGTTCCTGCTGGGCCACAGCTCCCTCCATCTCTGGCGCCCAAGGTTCAGCAACATCCTCTCTCATCTGTTCTGTCAGAGCACACTCCTGTTTGAATCCTGGGTGGGCTCTATATAATTTCCCACTGCCTGTCCAAAATTTCTGATCGCATCAGTCATCAAGTCCGTCTTCTCATGTAGCTGTTCCAGTAGGGCACTTGTTTTACAGAAAGCACGCAGCAGGGCTTCTGAATACATTGTTCTGCAAGGTCAGAAGGCTATTCCCACGATCGTAATCTGTAGCAGCTGCAAGCTCCCCGATTCAGAATTTGAAACTGTTTCACAGGCTCCCTCTAGGGGAAGAACTTCTTTTTGTTCTTTTCTTTTAAAGGCAGATCTGACAACAAAGTTTCCTTTTTCAGATATTTTGTCAATATTTGTTCCTTTAAAATGCGAAAAGGAACAGTCGAACCACTATGTTTCTCTTCTTTTAACTATCTGTCAAAAACGTTTGTCTCTGGTCAATGAGCTTCCCAAAGAACGTCAGTCCTGACACCCCACTCCAGGATCAAGACGGTGGAAAGTTACTTTGCTTTACACTCTCTTCTGCAGGTTAAACAGTCCGGAAAAAATCCCCCCTCTTCTCCTGCTTCCGAAGGGGGTTCAACAATTTTAAAGGATGGAAGTTAATCCTTTACAAGCGATTTTCTGAACTCTAGTTTGCCATGTCTTTGCTTTCATCTATCTACAAAGAAACGGAAGGCTGACTTCCTGTTTAGACCTTCCCATTTCAGTGCCAAATTAAAGTAAATTTTTAAGTCCAATTTTCCTTTCTACTCACAAATCATTATTTAGAGTCCAATTGTCCGAGATTTAAGTACTCATGGGTGATTATTTTAAAAGCCAAATTGTCCCAGGAAAAAGGCAGCGCTCTCCGGCAACGGCTGTGCGGCTTCGCTCCACGGAAGAAGCAGTTGACTCTCAGCACCACGCCACTTCCCCCTCTTCGCTCCGGACCCCGTTAGTGGGTTCCTTTGTGGGTTGGGGGTGGCGCTAAAGGTGCCCGCCGAGTCCCATGGTCACAGGCTTCATCCGCCTGTGATTTTTGAAAGGGTCCCCGCTTCGCCGTAGCGGGAAAGACCCGTTTCCCGTGGAGCTGGTCCTTCTAGATCAGAGGGAGTCCACCATTACCGATGGCGCCACCCCGGAAGTCTTCTTTAAACTTTGCTAGTAAAACATAGATTACTGGAATTGGTAACTTTTTCCTAGCACATCTGCCTTCTTTCATATTTCACCCTTAAATCTGTGTGTGAGAGAGAAAGAGAAAGAGAGAGTGATAAGAGCACATGCCTTGTATACCAGATATTCCTGGTTCAGTCCCGGGCTTTTCAAGTTGAAAGGATCTTTGCTTGCAGAGCTGGAAAAGAGACCTTTGCCTGAGATTTGCTCCTAATTGAACTAAACAGTGCCAGGCCAGAAGGATCAATGGCTTTGTTTCTAAGGCAGCTTTAGCAATCATCATCTGAGGCTCTTCTTTATGTGCCTCTTTCACAAGAGGTCCAGAGGGTGATAATATGAAGAACAGGTCTTTGCTGAGATTCCTTTCTATTTGTGGAATACTCTCCCCAAGGAGAGACGCCAGGCAAAAAATATTCCTCTTCTCCCAGGCCATTGGCTAATTAAACAATCTACGGGCTTTTAAACTGGAGTTTTTTGTTTGTTATGGTATGCATTTTTGTGTTTTCATATTGTAAACCATCCTGTGATCCTTGGATGGAGGGTGGTATAGAAATTTAATAAATAAGAAGAAGAAGAAATGAAATGAAAGACAGCTCTTACCTTGCCTGTTGTAATTTCAAGGTCCAAGCTCATGTGTCATGCCCTGTGGCTACTCTTTATCCCTCTTAGGTTGCATGGAGATCTAGTATTTTGGTCTTGATTAAATGCTGGAGCTATTTTCTCTTTGTCTTTGTGCTGCTAGGTATGTCTATGTCTGGCACTGCCCTGATGGACCTGGCTTGGAGTGTCCTCTGCTAATCGACACCACAGGAGCTTACTTCCGGAGGGAAGGCGTGGGTGGCAACTACCTTGGAGGTTTAAGCCCTACGGAAGTGAGTTTACCAGGATTTTATTGGGAGCTGACTCTTAGGAAGCCACAGCAGCCCCCTGGATTTCAGTGTCTGGGCAGAATGATGGGTAAGACAACTGAGTAAGCATTGTGGTTCAACAGGGATTTGAATCCAGATCTGTCTTGGTCAAAGCCCAATGCTATTCACTGCTCCACACTGACAGCTGAAGTCTACCCAAAGCCTATCTGAGCATGCTGTAGTTTGGGACTTGGCTACTGCATTTGAGTTGCTCTCTATCTGCCCTGTGTCTGCACTTTTCTAAGGGAGGTTCAAAATGCAAACAAGATTTTCAGCTGCCATGATTGTAATTTTCTGGTGCCCAGAATTCAGCTTCTTGTGCTTTCTTCTTAGGAGGAAGAGCCAGATATCCAGGACCTGGAAGTAGATCATGAGTTCTTCCAGGATAAAGTCTGGCCCAAGCTGGCTCACCGGGTGCCAAACTTTCAATCCTTGAAGGTAATGATTGACTTTCTCAAGGAGGTGGTTAAGGAGTTAACTCCTTAAAATTTATTTTGGGGCCTGGTGCAGACATACTGCCCACTTATGGTTAATCACCTTGCAGATTTCACTTCCTCATATCTTGTGTTGCCCTTCTATTTATTTCTGTTTTGAGCTAACTATGATCAACATTTCATCTACCTCATTAGTCTTCAGGCCCCTCGTTGTCTTTGATTCTGACAGTCCAGTGGTACCTCGGAAGTTGAACGGAATCTGTTCCGCAAGTCCGTTCGACTTCCAAAACGTTCAGAAACCAAGGTGCGGCTTCCGATTGGCTGCAGGAAGCTCCTGCAGCCAATCAGAAGTTGCGTTGGACATTCAGGTTCCAAAGAACATTTGCAAACCAGAACACTCACTTACGGGTTTGCGGCGTATGGGAGCCAAACCGTTCGACTCACAAGACGTTTGGGATCCAAAGTACGACTGTATAAGTTTTGAATTTGGACTGGGTATGTTTGCTTCGGTGAATTTTGTGATGAGGTCAGAACGGACTAGTGGTCCTCTGCTGGTATAATCATTCTCTGCAAGCAATACAACTGTTAGTTGTATTGTACATTAGCCACAGTCAGTTTGCAATCTGGCTAGCAAGACTTGTCTTCTAGGGTGTTTCGCAGCCATTGACACTATTTCACTTCACATATTACACTAAACCACTGGGATGGGAAACATTTAGCCCTCCAGATGTTGCTAGATTTCAACTCCCATCATCCCTGACTGTTGGCCATAATGCTGTTTGATGTGAACTAGAGTCCAGTAATTTCTGGAGAGTCGCAGTTTCCCCACTCCTGGGCTCATGTGTTCCTTCTCTCTCCTCCCAGCTGCAAGAGAGGAGATGGGGAACTGAGGAACTCAAGGCTCACAGCTGCTTGTTTCATGTTTTGCACATCTTGCAAACCACTCTAATAATAAAATAATTTGGTTTTTAACCTTCTGGATTACCCAGGATGATTGTAGGCCATCCATCCATTACATATTTAAAGTAAAAGTCACATTATTAGGATGTCAAACTCTGCAATTCTTGCAGGTTAGCACCAAATCACAGAGATCTTAGACCTTTCATCTCTATCTTGCTTTTCCCTCTTGAGTTCTAGACATAGCCTTTTATCCCTCTTGTTCAGCTAGGAATAACTGGCTAGGATTCAATACAGTGGTACCTCGCAAGACGAATGCCTCGCAAGACAAAAAACTCACTAGACGAAAGGGTTTTTTGTTTTTTGAGCTGCTTCGCAAGACGATTTTCCCTATGGGCTTGCTTCGCAAGACGGAAACTTCTTGCAAGTTTGTTTCCTTTTTCTTAACACCGTTAATACAGTTGCGACTTGACTTCGAGGAGCAACTCATAGAACGCGGTGTGGTAGCCTTTTTTGAGGTTTTTAAAGACTTTGGTGATTTTTGAAGCTTTTCCAAAACTTTTCCGACACCGTGCTTTGCAAGACAAAAAAAATCGCAAGACGGCAAAACTCACGGAACGAATTAATTTCGTCTTGCGAGGCACCACTGTACCTAAGTAGTATACTTAGTGGGTATACTTACTGGTGGGTTTAAGAGTGCAGCCTTGTCTGTTTCTGTAGGTCTGTCCCTGAGATCCTCTGTTAGTCCTGTCGTTGACAGTTCAGGGACTGTATCTTGTGACTGAAAGAGCTTTATCTTTATCTCATGACAGGTGAAGAGTTCTTGGGCTGGTTACTATGACTACAACATCTTTGACCAGAGTCCTGTGATTGGTGTGCACCCACTGGTTGAAAACCTCTATTTTGCCACAGGCTTCAGTGGACACGGACTTCAGCAGTCTCCAGCTGTGGGCCAAGCCCTAGCTGAGCTCATAATTGATGGGAAATTCAAGGCCATTGACCTAAGCATATTCTCCTTCAACAGGTTCTTCAAAGGGAACAAGGCTGTAGAAAGGAATATCATTTAAGTGCTTTAGAGAGCTGTGTATCTTGATGGCAAGTCCCAGCTCTTTCTGTTCTTCCCTACTTTCTTTCCCAGATTAATGACTACATGCCCATGCAGCACTTCGTAAAGACTGTTCAGATTCCCATACTGTTCCTACAAGTGTTGCACTGCACAGCTCCACATCATTTGAGTGGGCCTCAGACAGGATAAACTCCTTGTGTAGGATTGCTGCTTCTCCATTTTTACCCATGTAACAATTGAAAATTCAAGTAATAATAATAATTTTAATATTTATACCCCACCCATCTGGCTGGGGTTCCCCAGCCACTCTGGGCGGCTCCCAACAGAGGACTAAAAACAGAATAGAACGTCAAACATTAAAACTTCCCAAAACAGGAAGTCCAATACAGCTATAGATCAAGACACACTAAATCAGGGTGATCCAACTTTTCATACCATGTTGGCCGCAAGAGCCAAGTGGGTGTCTCCATCGTGCCAATTACAGGTTAAGAGCATGAGTCCTTCTGAATGGGGTGCCTCAAGTCTGCTGCTGTTTGTGCAGCTATTCAGGTGGCTCTAGGAAGCCTAAAAGCAGTGTGTTGAAGGACTAGCCTTCCTCATCCCCAACTCTGCTTTTTTGCTGGCATCTGGTATTTAGAGGTAAACCACCTCTGAATGTGGAGTTTGTGCTTTTATGTTCTACCTGCCATTAAAAGACTTGTGATCAAATTATTTTTTTTAAAAAAACCCCAATATGGGGTTTCTAATAGCCCACTGAGCAAGAGATTGTCAGTATGTTTGGGGACATGGAGAATATGCAACAGCACTTTTTTTTTACAGCCTTTCAGCTTAACCTACCTCACATGGTGGTTGTGGGGATTAAGTGAGGAAGGGGAGAACCATGCACACCACCTTGAATTCTTTGGAGGGAAAAGTGGGATATAAATGCAGTAAGTGAATGAATAAAGAATGACTCCTAATGGTCATGGCCTGAGCAATTAAGCTTTGTATAATAATTGATGTTTTTATTCCCTTGCATGGGGAAGGTGCCCTTCCTTTCCACCAGGCTGCTGATTAACACGAGTCAGGAACAGACCTGGATTTATGTAATGTGGTACAAAAAAAGTTGAATTTAGGTTCATTGGGTCCTTGATTCAGAAAGAAAATTTCCAACACGTGGTGAAACCTCATTGTAATTAAGCACTGGATCTTCGTAAGTTAGGAAATGTCTCGGGAGCTGTGCTACTCAAAAAGGAGATGTCCAGTTTGGTCTTGCTCTTCTGCTATTATACTTGCCATGGATCTCCCTGGCTTTTTGCTACATCTAACCTTCTGGTGCTGTTTCTTGATTCGTGGAAGAGACAATTGCTTATTGAACTGACAGCTGGTTATTTTGGATAACCTTAGAACTGAGGTCATTGGAAATTATGTTTCGAAGTGGAAGAAATGAACTATTTTCACCCTTATCCCAGAAATCAGGCTGATTTTTTACTGTTTCTATATACCATTAAAAAAAACAACTGCAGCAGCATTATTGGGGGTTAAAAGAATGAGTTTTCTTTTTTTACAGTTGGAGATAGAAAAGGAAAGGAGGTCTGTAGAGTTATTTCAAAGAGCGGAAGGCAGTTTAAAAGGGAGAGCCAATTTCTGTTGGATGCATTCCTTCCACTCCTGCTTTTTCATTTTGATTCATTTTTCTGGCAAGTACTGACAGTGAGGCAAAAGACGTGGGGGTGTACTATGGGAAGCAGCCTCTCTCAAACCAGTTCCAACTCTGAAGAACTGTACCTTCAGCCTAATTGGCGCTTCCTAATTTTGTTTGAGAAGGGAAGATTGCATAAAAAGCTTAATGGCAACAAGAGTTTAATGAGGGAAGGAAAAGTTCCTCAGAAGCATGTTATGATGGAAAAATTGATATTCACAAGGTAACGGAGAGAGTTGTGAATACTGACATTGTTTTTAGCAATTTTATTTTAGAATATTGCAAGTTACCTTTCCAGCCCCCCAAATGCCAAGGTGACTTCATAATTAAAAAATTGTCACTTGACGGCAGTCTAGTGTGTCTTCTCAGTGGCTGTTCCTTTCTGTCACTTAATCTGAAAATCCACAAGATATACCTGTCCTGGGAGAATAGTAGCTTAGGATGCAGGGGGATATGGTATATTAAAATTTACATGCTTTTTTAAAAAAAAAACAAAACAAAACACCCCTTCCTGTAGTTCAGTAGCATGAAGTGGTTTGCATTGAAACAAGCTTTGCCTTTAGTAGCAGTTTAGTAGCTTTGTGCTGTTGGAACAAGCCACACTCCCAGCACCCGTCAGCGGAAGCATGCTGTACTCCAGCAAATGAACAATTGGAAACTCACTTTAAGATCAAGTGTTGGATGGGCTTGAGCGAATGGTCTTGCAGGCCATATTGAGGCTACCCTGCCAGACCAAATTTGGCCAAAGGTGCCTTCCCCCCCGCCCCAGCACCATAGAAGATAAGCATGGAAACCCTGATGGGTTGTGTGACCTCACTTTCTCCCTAGTCGCGCTTGCTGTCCAGAGGCAGAGTATGATAGAGGGGGTAGTATTTAACTTAGCCATTCTCCACCACTTCTAGCATTTTGAAAAGTTATTATACTGTGGGTATTGTTTTGGTTTTTTTAGTTTTAAGCCATAGTTTTCAACATGAGCCACTTTTAGGTGCTTTTGATCTTCACTTTCTTTGATCGCACTTCAGCTTTCAGTAGAGCCTTTGGCCGCTTCTGGTTGGCATCTAAAAGAAAACAACAGTCCAAGTTGATTTGTGTGTAGCACTTTTCAATGTACAGCCTGGCTTTTACTTGATCCTAACCACCTTCTGCCATAAGGCCCCTGTTCTCCATTTTCCATTTAGATCCCTCTGTGTTCATGGCTTGATGCCAACAGCTGAGATCCAGTTTCCCTCAAATGAAGCTCCAAAATTTGACATAGGGCTGCTTGAAGATCAGAATTAAATTACTGTTTCTGTCACTCTGCTGGAATGTAACCTGTATCTTGGGGGGGGGGGGAGACCATTAATTCTAATACCCACACTCAGCTGCAAGACCTCAGTGTGCCATGTACCAAGGAACTGTATGAACTTAAAGGTCAATGAGCTCAAAGCATCCACTCATAGGCCGCTGTTGTGTTTCTGCATGATTAACTGCTCTGGCTTCCAGCTGGCCTCTGTTAGGGCAGATAATTGCACTACATCTCCGGGTTGGACAGAGTTAATTCCATTCTACCCAATGCAAACGAACTGCATGCCCTCTGAGGTTGCCTCACTATTTCTCACTGCTCACAACCTTTCTCCTAAACAACAATTCCTGCATTAACATGGAGACCTGCCTCCTTGAAAGGTGGCTAATTCCTTTTCACAATTAAAAAAAATCCAGTTCTTTTGGGTATTAGAATTTAGCCTAAAAGTGTTGATGGATGTCACCAGTCTTAGATGTTTGAGAACCACAGTAATTCGAGATTATTATTAATTAAACTTGTTAGTCATTTTATCTTGCCCAAGACAACCCAAAGCAACTTAAAAACAAAGAACCCGCATAGATACATTAAAACCAAGGTGTGGGGAGAGGGAAATTAACATTTAAAACATCCCACCCACTCTAAAAGTCCATAGATAAAGGCCTGGGTATAGAGGGAAGTTTTTGACTGGCGCCTAGATATATAATAATGGTACCAGGCGAGCCTCCCTGGGGAGAGAGCATTTCACAAACTGAGCCACAACAAAAATGTCCTGTTCTCGTGTTGCTACCCTCTGGACCTCTCACTGAGGGGGCACACAAACAAGGGCCTCAGATGATGATTGCTAGGTCCAGGTCAGTCAAGTTCAGTTCATATGGGGAGAGGCAGTACTTGAGGTATTGCAATCCTGACCCATTGAAGGCTTTATAGATCAAAACCAGCACTTTGAATTGGGCCTGGAAACCGACTGACAGCCAATGCAGTTGGGCTAAGATTGGTGTTACATGCCCTGGTGAGCAACGTGGCCACTGAATTCTCTGCCAGCTGAGATTGGAAAGATGGGTTGTGACAGGGCACTGTGCTGAGGCCATTACCTGTACAGGTAAAGGTAAAGGGACCCCTGACCGTTGGGTCCAGTCATGGCCGACTCTGGGGTTGTGGTGCTCATCTCGCTTTATTGGCTGAGGGAGCCGGCGTACAGCTTCTGGGTCATGTGGCCAGCATGACTAAGCCGCTTCTGGCGAACCAGAGCAGCGCACGGAAACGCCATTTACCTTCCCGCCAGAGTGGTACCTATTTAACTACTTGCACTTTGACGTGCTTTCGAACTGCTAGGTTGGCAGTAGTAGGGACCGAGCAACGGGAGCTCACCCCGTCGCAGGGATTTGAACCACCAACCTTCTGATCGGCAAGTCCTAGGCTCTGTGGTTTAACCCACAGTGCCACCCGCGTCCCTCCTGTACAGGTACCCCAAAGCCATAACAGCACTCTTGTTTTGACAAGCTTACCTTTTTTCCTTGTTTCATCCTGCGCTTCGGCAGCTGCACTCGGTGATCGCCGTGCATACGCTGCCTTCATCCGTTCGAGATTCTTTTTCCGCACTTCTTCGTGAGCAACAATGGGCTTGGGATAGTCTTCACCAATGATGCAGCCTGCACGCTCCTGCACGCTCCGTGGTGCTTTCCAAGGCTCATAAATGTAGTCACTTGGAAACTTCTTGAGGAAGGGGAGGTACTTCCTGCGTAGGTTGTAATGATAAAAGAGGAAGTCAGGTGTGTACGGGAAAAGGCTCAGGGCTTAGTGGCATAGTATGACAGCCTAATGCTTTGCAGAGTTAAAATCAATATTCTTAGGTCCATGTCTGCCCTGGAACAGGGTACAACCACTTGGCTCTCAGAAGTCAGAGAAGTGGTTGAATAATACTTTTAGTAGTTCAGAGAATAGCACCTTGCTAATGATAAGAAAAACTGAAATTAGACAAAGTAATGCACTTTTTGCTCTATACATATAGCAAAATTATTTTTCTCAATGCAGAATTTGGATTAATTTTTAAAGCATGGTGACATCAAAGAATTCTGAAATTACAGATTGTAGAGACCTAAAAATCAACCAGATTACTCCTGCACTTATACCAGTTGCCTCTTAGGCACAGGCAAAGCTAAAAAGAGTTTCTCACCAATCCTGTAATAGCTTTCCTGTAATCACATTCATAGACACGGTTACTGTTCCCAGCAGTAAACATAAACTCTGCCAGATAACTTAATGCTGGTTTTAAGTGCAGCGATGCTAAACTATTACACCTACTTTATATACTCTCCATTTTTGTCTGTCTTCTTGCCGAAGGCAATTGGTGAGTAGACACGGAAGAACTGGTGGAAAAAGGCACTTGCAGAAAGCCACTGCCAGTTACCAGCATTCAAGGACCAATCGGCATCAAGGAGCAGTTCTTCAAAGACCTGAAATAGGAGCAGTTTGGAAAACGAACGCCTTTTGGGAACCCCAAAGAAGTCCAGTCCAATAGTCATAGCTTCCTCATGCTCTACAAGCTTTTTGTAACGTTACATTTTAACTATGCTCCTGGTGGAATAGGGGACAGAGGGGACAGTACAGTGGTGCCTCGCAAGACGAAATTAATCCGTTCCGCGAGAGTCTTCGTCTAGCGGTTTTTTCGTCTTGCGAAGCAAGCCCATTGACGGATTAGCGCTATTAGCGCTATTAGCGGTTTAGCGGCTATTAAAGGCTTAAAGGCTTAGGGGATTAGCTGCTAAAAGGCTATTAAAGGCTATTAAAGGCTTAGCAGATTAGATAAAGGGGGGGAAAAGCGAAAAAAAAATCTCAAGACTCGCAAGACATTTTCGTCTTGCGAAGCAAGCCCATAGGGAAATTCGTCCTGCGAAGCAACTTCAAAACGGAAAACCCTTTCGTCTAGCGGTTTTTCCGTCTTGCGAGGCATTCGTCTTGCGGGGCACCACTGTAGTCTGACTCTCCTTAAAGGGACGGTGAACCCCTGCCATGTATTCCACAATGCAGAAAGCAGGAAGCCATAAGGCAAGAGGCGGCAAACTTTTCCAGCCTGAGAGCTGCCTACCCTCACAGGCAACATTCTGCGGCAGGGGTCAGCAAACTTTTTCAGCAGGGGGCCGGTCCACTCAGACCTTGTGGGGGGCCGGACTATATTTGGGGGGGGGGGGATGAATGAATTCCTATGCCCCACAAATAACCCAGAGATGCATTTTAAATAAAAGCACACATTCTACTCATGTAAAAACACACTGATTCCCGGACCGTCCGCGGGCCAGATTTAGAAGGCAATTGGTCTGGATCCGGCCCCCGGGCCTTAGTTTGCCTACTCATGTTATGGGGTCTACATGCCAATATTCAGCAGACAATGGATAGGACTCCTACCCTTTTGTACATTAGCCTGTTCCTGTCATGCAATAAGTCAGAGGTTTTCCATCTACAGTGGTACCTCAGGTTACATACGCTTCAGGTTACAGACTCCGCTAACCCAGAAATAGTACCTCGGGTTAAGAACTTTGCTTCAGGATGAGAACAGAAATCGTGCTCTGGCGGCAGCAGGAGGCACCATTAGCTAAAGTGGTGCTTCAGGTTAAGAACAGTTTCAGGTTAAGAACAGAGCTCTGGAACGAATTAAGTACGTAACCAGAGGTACCACTGTACTCTGTATGCAGAATAAACATGCAGGGCAACTTAAGTATGTTGCTTGGGAAGGAGGGTGTTACAGTGCAAGGCAACTGGGAATCTTGAAAATACAATGGTGTTTTTGTCCTGAGAACTAGGAATGGCGCAAGGGGAGATCTCCCAGTTTTGAATGGAGTGTGTGCTCAGGGGCAACCTAAAATTCATCCATTAACTAGCTATGGACCTGCCAATAAATCCAGCTTTCCTCTGGCTACAGAGAACGTTCTGAACTCTGCAGCTTTCATGATGAACTCCCAACCTGCCTTCACCTTTTGCCCTTCCTCCCAGGATATCCAGAGGTCTCCTCGCGTCAGGAAGCAAGCCACCGCATGCCGTGCCAAATGATGGATCCAGCCCTCTGTGCGCAGCTGCGTCATAATGGCATCTATAAAAGGGTAGCCTGTCCGGCCCTGGCAGCAAGAAAGGGAGAGGAAGCTCAGGTTTTCCCTTAACACTATCCCACTCCTATTTAAGCAGTGCGTGTTATATATAGCAACATTCTTGAAAACACAAATGCCACCCCAAAATGTTAAATCATTTATGCAGTCAGGGAATTCTGATCACATGTACCAAATAAAAGGAAATAAACCGTTCTGGATAAACTGTGGAAAAACAGATATTATCAATTATGCAGCTCAATTTCATTGGAGCACAGCAAAATATGTTTACAGAATTACAGTAATATCATGTCAGAACTTGGAGAGAAGTTGATGTAAGAAGGAATGAAGAAAGTTGACTTATCTAAGAGACAAACCACCAGCATGTCAAGCTTAGTACAGTCTACACCAAGGCTGAGGGCCACATTCCCTTGCAGTAAACCTTCCAAGGGCCGTATACCTGTTTTGGGTGGGGCTCGATACAAAAGTGGGTGACTCTTACCCTTGGTACAGTAGATTACATTGCTGCCATGCAAAAGTTGGGTTTCTACATGCACACCAAACCATAAACCCACCCACTCACCCATCCAAGTGAAGTATCATCACACATTCCAGCAAGCCAAAAGCACTTGGGTGGTTGTGGCCTAGGGCAAGAGTTCTGAGGGCCAGACAGAGAAGCCTGAAGGGCCACCTCTGGCTCACAGGCCTGAGGTTCTGTAGCCCTTGTCTGCATTGAGAATTGCAGATGGGAATCTTTCTCAGCCCTACGTGGAACAACCTGAGTTTGACCCTTTTCTTCTGCTGTAGGAAATAGCAACACCACTAGTCCCATTGGTCTACAGTGTTATATTGGGACGCGGATGGCGCTGTGGTCTAAACCACTGAGCCTCTTGGGCTTGCTGATCAGAAGGTTGGCAGTTTGAATCCCCATGATGGGGTGAGCTCCCGTTGCTCTGTCCCAGCTTCTGCCAACCTAGCAGTTTGAAAGCACGCCAGTGCAAGTAGATAAATAGGTACCACTGCGGTGGGAAGATAAACGGCATTTCTGTGCGTTCTGGTTTCCGTCACGGTATCCCGTTGCACCAGAAGCGGTTTAGTCATGCTGGCCACATGACCCGGAAAAGTTGTCTGTGGACAAACACCGGCTCCCTTGTTCTGAAAGCGAGATGAGTGCTGCCACCCCATAGTCACCTTTGATTGGACTTAACTGTCCAGGGGTCCTTTACCTTTTACCTTTTTTTACAGTGCTATGAATAGTTAAGTGCATATAAGTGTGGATAATATGTTTGGCCCTGGTGGCAAGGGAGTAGATTGCTTAATCTGCAAATATTTGGGTAGATTGTGAACTTTGCCAAACGGAACATGCCTCACGCCAGGCTTTGAGGTGCTCCTTGTTGTCATCCCAGTCCACCTGCACACAAACTGGATTGCCCTCCATCTTGTCAAAGTTGGGGATCCCAGCTCCTGCCGTGTAGAAAAACTCCCGCCACAGGAGTTGCCCGTGCAGAGATACCGGTGGGTCAGAGTGTTTCCTCTAGAGAAGCACAGTAGAGAAGGAACAATAATTATTCTTTGGATTGTTTTAGAGCAGGGCCGTAGAGCACAGCTCCCACCACCCCTGACCACTAGTCATGCTGGCTGGAGATCATGCAAGTTGGTAGTCCAATGACAGCTGGAGGACCACTCTTTCAGAGAGTCGGAAGACGACACATTTACTGCAGTATACTTGAGCTACATGATCAGATTCACAGAGTGATGTTCAGTGGTACAATCTAACAAGAGCAGCACTATGTGACTCTGCTGATCACGCAACTTAGCTGTTATAAAAAGAGGAGCTTCTAAATGTAGCCGTCTAAGGTCCCACCTGCACAGTATCCATGCATATGGTCCAATTAAATATTGCAGGTAGCTTTTGCAGTCCACCTTGCCTTGGGTGGCTGATTGCCTCTAGTGTAACAGACGCCCTAGCCATGTAGATTTGTCACAGCAACTCTGATGGCATCAGTTTACATACTCTTTATATCAGAGTTTTGACAGCCTTGGTCTGGGACAGATAAAAAAAGTCTTTCTGAGGAAATCTGCAAGCGGCATATACGCAACGGAACCCCCTTATCTAGGTCCATGGCCTACAGATTTCTGAAATGGAACAGAAAGTATCCAGCAGTTGTACCAATGAAAACAGACAGTATTCTGTGATTATAGGACAACTGTAGAATAAAAAAAAAAGCTCCTCTTCTTACCCCCTGGTAGATTTCAGTCAGCTTCCACCAGAACATCCGTACAGACAGGCACCCAAATTTGACATAGGGGCTCAGCACCGTAGTGCTAGGAGTCAAAGAATTGGGGGATGTGTCAGGCTTCTTAAAATTGCATACCCATGACTGTAAAGAAAAAGGGGAAAACAACGCATAGAGAGTTTTGAGAGGCTAGATATGTCCAAAGGGCTGCCTTGTGGCTCTCAGGCAAGAGGGCTTTTTGGTGGCGGTCCTGCATTGGGCACTTCTGTGCCTTGTATGTGCCAGCTGCTTTCTTTACTATATTTCAGGCACCAAAGAGCATCCTGTTCTATTGTCCCTGTAATTTTACTTACTCATTTTTAAAATGCATACCCCGCTGAGTTTTCAAAGGAACTCAAGGAAGCTTACAAACCAAACATAGCAATCCCCATTAAAATCACAAATGTTGACTGTAGCAAAATCCAAAATAGCCAATAACTGTAGCAAAACCCCAAACACCCAATGAAGCCAATATAGAGCCACAGCAGCCAAAATCAGACAGCAGTCTGATCACACAGGCAAGTTACAAACAGCCATGCTTTTAACTAGCTGCCTAAGACAACAGCGAATGGGCCCAACATTTCACACTTTGCAATGTGTCCCACAGGGTGGGTGCAACAGCTGAAGAGGCCATAGCACTAGCTATCACCACTCATGTTTTCCAGGGCCAATGAATCTGGAGCACAGCTTCAGGTAATGTTCAGGACATGCAGGGAGGAGCACATGGAAGGTGGCAGTCTCTGGGGTCCCATCTTCAGATGTGGGGCATATTGGCGTGGCTTGGGGGGAAATGGTCTTGCAGGCCAAATCTAGGATTGCCATATTTCAGACAATGAAAAAAACAGACAGATCTCTTTCTTTTTCTTTCTTTTTCAAAGTTGAGGTTTTTTTTAAGTTTCGCCCAAATTTGTTGAGTAAAAAAGAAGTTTTTGAGCTATTCTAAAAGAAAATTGCCCAAAACGACGTTGCCGACATGGGTTGCCATACATCTGGATTTTCCTGGACACTTTTTTTTTTTGCGATTTCCGCCCGGACACTGCTTCCCACTTGCAGTATTCCAGGTATGTCTGGGAAATTCTGGACGTATGGCAACCCTAGCCAAATCTGGCCACCAGGCCAGAGACTCCCCACCAGTGAAGCAAAGTCTGTTGGGCAAAAGCCACAGACATTTCAGTCACTGTACCGTTCTCTTCATATACAAGTCCAGCCGAGCAATGGCCTCAGATTCTCCTCCTGGATAAAGGTGGGGGCCAGCTGTCTTTGGATCCTGCCCCAGTTCCTCAAGAGAAGGGATACCATACGCCTTATCGTGGTCCTCTGTGACAGGTGTGCTGCACTCTAGGTTAGAACATTGATCCGACAGATTCAAAGCTTGTACGAAACACTGCATCTCTGGTTTGTCTGGCTGCCTGTGCCAAAATCTTGCCTCTCTTAAACCCCGATGACTCAATGTAAGAACTTATCTAATTATTCATAACAAGGCCAAGTCAAAGTACAGTGGTACCTCGGGTTAACAACTTAATTCGTTCTGGAGGTCCGTTCTTAACCTGAAACTGTTCTTAACCTGAGGTACCACTTTAGCTAATGGGGCTTCCTGCTGCCGCCATGCGATTTCTGTTCTCCTCCTGAGGTAAAGTTCTTAACCCGAGTTACTATTTCTGGGTTAGCGGCGTCTGTAACTGAAGCGTCTGTAACCTGAAGTGTCTGTAACCTGAGCTACCACTGTACCTTTTTTTGCTAACTTTTTTGACTGCTGTAAATCACGCACCTCTTTTCAGCATTTTTTGTAACACGATGGCAAAATATTTGTCCATTCATTGTCACTTTGGCTCAGTATTATTTGCCTTCAGCAGCTGCCAGATCTGATTAGCTAAGCACCCTTGTGATCTGCTGTTCACAGGCCTGATCTGCACAACACAGTGAACCAACTATGGCTTACTGGGCCTGTGCAAATGTGGATTCCCAGAGAGTTGTTCACAACCCCTTTGCTCCTCTCTGTTCTATTTTACTCCTCATGCTTTGCTCAGCCAAACCTTAGCATGTCATCACAGCATGTACTGTAAGCCGCCCAGAGTGGCTAGCAAAACCCAGCCAGATGGGTGGTATATAAATAGTAAAATTATCATCATCATCATTATCATCCATGGTTAGGCTTATGGTTAAGCTCTTCCCTTGCTAACCATGAACTGCTGCCAAGAACAAACATAAACACTGAAAATTGTCAATTGGGTGTGGGTAGGCCACCCATCAGGGATGCGGGTGGCGCTGTGGGTTAAACCACAGAGCCTAGGACTTGCTGATCAGAAGGTCAGTGGTTCGAATCCGCGCGATGGGGTGAGCTCCCGTTACTCAGTCCCTGCTCCTGCCAACCTAGCGGTTCGAAAGCATGTCAAAGTGCAAGTAGATAAATAGGTACCCCTCCGGCGGGAAGGTAAACGGCGTTTCTGTGCGCTGCTCTGGTTCACCAGAAGCGGCTTAGTCATGCTGGCCACATGACCTGGAAGTTGTACGCCGGCTCCCTCAGCCAGTAAAGCAAGATGAGCGCCGCAACCCCAGAGTCGGTCACGACTGGACCTAATGGTCAGGGGTCCCTTAGGCCACCCATCCCAGGAAGGCAGATTATCCCACAGCATTTCTATCCAAGTCACAACTCTCTCACACACTCCAAAGGGCCCACAGTACTTGTCAGAATCCAGAAAAACCCATTGCCTGCATCCCAAAGTCCAGAGAGACTCGTACTCACCCTTCATGTTTTCCAAGCTAGGAGCTGGAACTGGCCGTTTTGGAGGACCCAGAGAAGCCAAGACCGTCTGCAGCCGAGTGTAAGTCAAAGGTGCCTTGCCGTTGTTCTCAATGATGATTCTGTTGGAAATTATGACAATACATTATCAGGAATGTCCAGCAATGGATTTTGTTTTCCTTTGGAAGTTGCTTGGAGTTCCTTTTTGTAAAAAATAAAAATAAAAATGACTGATATATGTAGTTAATAATAATAATCTCTAAGAAACTTTTATCTAGTGGATTCCAGAAATGCATGCAAAATTGTTGTGGCCTTTGCTCTTTGTACCCACCTTTCAGTGTCGTACAAAGTGTGGGACACTTTCTGAACAACTTGGACCCCATGTTCAGCTGCCACCCTCACCACCTCAGCATCACGGCGCCTCGCATAGGGTTCTGTGTCGACTTCAAATGTGAGCAGGGTGACCTTCCACTTCTTAAATAGTTCTGGGAATGCCTCTGCAGGACTGCCACGAACTACAAACAGCCTGAGGAGACACCACAACCTTTGAGTGCTCAAAAACCAAGAAAGTGCCAAAGACTAGGTGAGTTTCTGAGGTCAAGACAGAGAGGACTAGGATCCAGGAGGGACAGTATGGCTAACTGACAGCGCTGTGTGCCAGAATTGTAGTTTTTGCACCTGCATTCTAGTAGGCCAATTTGACCCCCACGCCTCCCCATTTGGCCTCTCCATAGAAAACCATTCAGGTTTGGGGAAAGTTCTGTAGAAATGGCCCCTTCAACCTCCCTGGTGTATTTTGAAAACTGGCCCATCCGGTACTTGCCTTGAGTTGAGCTTCTTGAGGCTCTCGTCCAGATCTCTCAGAGATTCAACCAGGAATCTCCAGCGGTTAACGCTGACCCGCATATTCTTTGGGAACCAGGGGTCAAGGATAAAGATAGGGTAGACCTCAGCACTGTCCTTCATAGCTGCTAACAAGGCAGGGTTATCATGGAGGCGAAGTGCCTTGCGGAACCAGTGGATCGAAATATTCGTCATTCTGTTGCGTCACCAGCTTGTTTCTCCCCACTTTGTATTAGGAGCAGTGTCCAAGCAGGAAAAAGCTAGGTGGGAACAGGAGAATATTCTTACTTGTTCACAAAGACAGTGGTACACAAGCTATCTCATTTGGCAGAGATGGGGAACCTGTGGTCTTCCAAGTGTTTCTGAGTTACAACTCCAATCATCCCTGACCATTGGCCATGGACCGTTGGTGATGCAATATGACCCAACATCTAGAGGGCCACAAGTTCCCTGTCCTGCCACGAAGGTTGACCTCACTCAACCCCCACTAAATAAACATTTAGGGAAACACATGGATATAACTTGTAGACTTTTCAGATGGGCAAACTCAAAGGCACGTACTCTGAGGCACTTAAAGACAATACAGTGGTACCTTGGTTCTCAAATGCATTGGTACTCAAACAACTTGGAACCCAAACACTGCAAACTGGGAAGTAAGTGTTCTGGCTTGCGAACTTTTTTCAGAAGTCGAATGTGCTCCGTTTTGAGTGTTAATGCTTCCAATTTGAGTGCCACACTTCCGTTTTGAGTGTTACACTGAGGTCTGTCTGTTTTTGCTATTTGTGTTTTTGTGACTCTCTTGTTTTGTTTTGTTTTGTTTTGTTTTGTTTTTGTGACTGTGTGGAACCCAGTTCAGCTACTGATGGATTGATTGTGTGACTGCAGTACATTGTTTACTGCTTTCATTGTACGGATCAATGGTCTCGTTAGATAGTAAAATTCATGTTAAATTGCTGTTTTGGGGGTTGTTTTTAAAAGTCTGGAATGGATTAATCTATTTTGCATTACTTTCTATGGGAAAGCGCACCTTGGTTTTGGAACGCTTTGGTTTTGGAATGGATTTCCGGAACAGATTAAGTTTGAGAACCAAGGTACCACTGTAGTTAAAAGAGTTCTGAAGCGAGGAAGCTCCAGGTTCCAATGGTCCATCTCAAATTCTGCCCTCTATTCGCTGTCTGCACTGATGTCAGTCACGATGAAGGTTAACCCAGCTCCCTCTTAATTAGGATTTCAAACTTGCTACAACCCTGGTTTCAAATGAATCCTGGTCAGCACAGGACTCTGGCAGGCATTTGCCCAGGGCGGCTGCCTCACTTTGCCCATGTTCACAATCTGGTTGATCAAAGTGGATTTTCCCAACCCTTTCAGCCAATGCTTGTGGATGAATTAGTAGGTTTAATCTGTTTGCTGTGAGCACCAAAATAAGAGGCCAATCAGTATGTCTGATTAACATCAAATACAAAAGGATGATCTTCCAGATGTGAAAGCTAAGCAACATCTGTAATAAGTTTCATCTCCTTCAAGACTAGACTCCAGTGGGGTTCTCCCCCCCCCAAAAAAATATAACACAGTGGCAATGTGTCCACCCAGAAGAACATGTCAATAAGTTCAATGGGGTTTGCTCCCAGGTGGATGGGTGCAGAATTACTGCCTTAAAAATATACTTGAACATATTTTTCACTACTTTGAAATGGGCGAATGTTTTAAACAGAGAAATACAAGAGCTCCAGCTTTAAATGAAGTATAAATTTAAAGCAATGCTGCATGCGGACAATACTTTTGCATTGCAAATTAATTGATATGGCTATATTTGAGCTATTTTGTGTAATACTGGAATACTAATAAAATGTTATTTTAAAAAATACTTCTGCATTGTAGATACAGGGAGGAAGCCAGTTGAAAACAATCCTTAGAACACTGAAAAAATAAATAGCAGTATATGCATCATACACAGTAGCCTCAAAGCTTCAACTTGTGTGCAGCTGGATTCACAGTTGTGGAGGCCAAATTAATTAACCAAATCTCAATATTCCAGCAGGCGCCTCTACTGCCATCAGCCTACGGGGAGGCAGCAGTTGTGCACGATCCAGCATGTGCAGGCTCTCGTTTTTGGCAAACCAGTGGCAGCCCACATTCAGCAACATTTCTGATGGCATGCAAAACCCTCCTTCAGTCTTATGCAAGCATTAACAAAGCAATGTCAAATGGATCTGCTGCTTACACAACACCATGAGCAATTGTGCGTCTAAATCATCTATCTTCCACAAGTTCAAAATCTGGTTTTACACTTGACCCTTGCGCAACAGACACTCAGAGCTATTCTACACAGGATACTTATGAGGATGTAAAGCCTTGGTCACTGCCCTGTTTAGGTCAAGGAAGGGTCATAGCTCAGTGGTTAAAGCATCGACCTCACAAGCAGAAGGTCCCAGGTTCAGTCCTGGGCATCTCCAGGTAAGGATGGGAGAAATCCCATCTTGAAACCCTGGAGAGCAGCTGCCAGTCAGTGTAAATAGCACTGAGCTAATGGACCAATAAGGGACGCGGGTGGCGCTGTGGGTTAAACCAGAGAGCCTAGGACTTGCCGATCAGAAGGTCGGCAGTTCAAATCCCCGCGACTGGGTGAGCTGTGGTTGCTCGGTCCCTGCTCCTGCCAACCTAGCAGTTCGAAAGCACACCAAAAAGTGCAAGTAGATAAAATAGGTACCGCTCTGGCGGGAAGGTAAACGGCATTTCCGTGCGCTGCTCTGATTCGCCAGAAGTGGCTTAGTCATGCTGGCCACATGACCCGGAAGTTGTACGCTGGCTCCCTCGGCCAATAAAGCGAGATGAGCGCCGCAACCCCAGAGTCGGCCACGACTGGACCTAATGGTCAGGGGTCCCTTTACCTTTACTAATGGACTAATATCAATAAGGCAGCTTCCTAGTTCAATATTATCCACAATGACTAGCAGCTAATATCCAGGGCTTCAGACAGAAGTTTTGGAATCTGGACAGGAAAAGCAAGCGCTTTACCCCAGAGCTAAGACTCCCTTTCCTTGAAAGAAATGAGGGAGTAGAATTCTGGACATGTACAACTTCAGACTGTAAGTGTGCAGAGAAATCATTTTTTAATATATTTCTACACGTTTAATGGGACACGGGTGGCGCTGTGGGTTAAACCACAGAGCCTAGGACTTGCCAATCAGAAGGTCGGTGGTTTGAATCCCCATGACAGGATGAGCTCCCGTTGCTCGGTCCCTGCTCCTGCCAACCTAGCAGTTCGAAAGCACGTCAAAGTGCAAGTAGATAAGTAGGTACCGCTCCGGCGGGAAGGTAAACGGAGTTTCCATGCGCTGCTCTGGTTCGCCAGAAGCGGCTTAGTCATGCTGGCCACATGACTCGGAAGCTGTACACCGGCTCCCTCGGCCAATAAAGCGAGATGAGCGCTGCAACCCCAGAGTTGGCCACGACTGGACCTAATGGTCAGGGGTCCCTTTACCTTTACCTTTCCCGTGGTAACTCAGGTTAAGTACTTACTTCGTTCCAGAGGTCCGTACTTAACCTGAAACTGTTCTTAACCTGAAGCACCACTTTAGCTAATGGGGCCTCCTGCTGCCACTGCGCCGCCGGAGCATGATTTCTGTTCTCATCCTGAAGCAAAGTTCTTAACCTGAAGCACTATTTCTGGGTTAGCGGAGTCTGTAACCTGAAGTGTATGTAACCTGAAGCGTATGTAACTTGAGGTACCACTGTACACATTTAATAACAAATTCCTGCAAGACAAAAGCATCAGGGAAAGAGCTGAGCTAGAAACTTTCTTGCTGATGTGCTAGTTTTCTAGTTGAGCTGAGAGGCTTTTTTCCCCCCCCTTAAGAAAGGTTTTGCTGTTGACATCCCTCCATCTGGGGGGACAATGGAGGAGTGTGCCTTTCCCGGTGAAGTCAAACTGCTGGAAGGTTGCAGAGTCTGATGTGGGGAAGAGCTGCTAAAAGGGGCATTCTCCATCTGCAGTCTGAAACAGTACAACACTCAGCTAGCTTATTCCGCAACTGCAACACGTGTCCAACCAGCCTCAGGCTCCCAGCCTATCTCCACTTACCTGGGAGTAAGATCTATGGAACTCAGTAGGATTCAGAGCTGAGGAGGCATGCAGGGTTAGTCCGCCTAGAGTCTTCGAGGCAGAGGAGAAAAATCTTATAAAGAGCTATTTCTAACTTCTCTCTCCACCCTCTGCGACCCCACTTCGGCTCTTGCAAACCGGTTACACTTGCGTAACTTAGTGATGCCCAACCTCACAGCATCCGAGAAGTTACACAACTGCGCGCTGTCACTCTGGGGCGTGACTTCCTGCTACTGCAGCCTCGCCCACCCGCATACTCGATTACTCTGGATTGGTTTAAAGAAATTTAAAGAAACGGAGCTCCCGCCCCCGCCCCCCCCGTTACTCGAGAGTCATCGGGCATGAGTAGTATTCACACGTGCCATGCAAATCGGAGTTTTGCCCCAGTCCCGCTAAGTTCAATAGAGCCTTAGTTCTCGGTAAGCGTGCTCTGGATCGCAGCCTTGGCAGCTTGATCTTAAATATTTCTTTACTAGGAAATATACCATTGCATATACCCAACAGGTTTTTTGTACTTCTGGATCTCCCCTGCAGACTTGCAGCCGCAACGTCTCGTGTGAAAGAGAGCCCGTGTTTTTTGAATGCAATGGGGGGGGGTTGTGGGAGGGGGTTAGATGATCACTTGTAATGACACCCTGGAATGGAATTTACTCTTTTCCATTTGCTAGACAAAATAGGATTGCCATTTCTTTTCACAGCTGCAGACTTTGCAGCTGCAGCCCGAAGCACACATCGGAGCCGGTCCAATTGGCCTCATTGGCACGTGCTTCTGATTAAAGATGCATAGTTGCACTTAACCACCGGAAAAGGAGGCAAAGGGATGCCAGAGGAGCTTTAAAATGCTACCCCCAAAAAGAAGGCGGGGTGAAAGGCGATGGAAATGCATCGCTTTTCAGTTTTGTTTTGTTTTTTTCCCTCTGGATATTTTCCTTTAAAAATTTGGACCAGTTTGGAAAGTTAGCCTTGGCGTTTTCATCGCCCAAAAAGTTTTTGATTTGAGTTTCCATTGAATGAGGCTGTATTTTAATATTTTAATGTTGTATTTTAATTTTTAAGTTGTATTTCAGTCAATTTGTTTTATATCGGGTGTTAGCCGCCCTGAGCCTGGTCTTGGCTGGGGAGGGCGGGGTATAAATAATAATAATAATAATAATAATAATAATAATAATAATTATTATTATTATTATTATTATTATTATATCGCCCCGGAACTTCCAAGAATAGGGGTCAAGTAGCAATAGTGTAATCCTATACCTGCTAACTCAGAAGTAAGGCTGCAATCCTAACACCATTTGCTGGGGAGAAAACTACACTGAATTCTATAGGACTTACTTTTGAGTAGGCATTATTAGACTTGTCCGCCAAGTCACTGTGTTCACAGGGGCCGCCTACTTCCAGGAAAATAGATATGCAGAATCGCAACCTTAAGTCCAGCCTCCTGGGCGTGCATTCTCGGAAGGAGTTTAACAGAGTTTACTTCCATGTAGGCGTGCGTCTGAGGGCTCCTCTTAGCAGCCTTACGGTTATTCAATTTCTTTTTCTTTTGGGCCGCCCGCGGAAGAGCACTTTGCAAGCGGGGTGCCGCCGGGGAGCGATCCAGCAAAGGCGCTTTCGAGTCATCTGGAGAACTTGCAAAGCGCCACAAGATCCTCCTCCTTGCACACAAAAAACCCCAAAACAAAGCAGCGTCAGGGGGCACCTGAGAGGTCCTTAGCACGAAGGCGAAGAGGCAAGTTCCTCCGGAGGCAGCAGGGACCGATCGCGCCCACTTCGGAGTGGATCTGCTTCGCCCCGGCTCCTCGATAGCCAGAAGGAAAGGGAACCGGGCCGAATTGTGACCATCGCGGCAGGATTTTACGCAGCTTCGCTGTGTCCCGAGCTCACTTGCGGAAGGAAAGGTTGGTTAATCCGGCTAGCTGGGATGCTGTGCGCCCTTGCTTGGGAACATAGGAGCAAACTCCATGGGGCAGAGGGGTCTTGGCCCCCCCAAAAATAAAATATTTGAGGCCCCCCCCAAGTTTATTGCCATTGTCATTCAAATGGTATCCGTGCACCACGTCGATTTATGCAGGGTAGGGCTTGCTTAGCGCCCCCCCCCCCCAATATTTTATTCAAGTTGGCACCCTGCTTGCGAGTAAGCCCCATCGAATTTAGACTGCCCTTTTTCTCCGGAGTAAACTTGCATAGGGCTCCGGCTGCGGGTCCGTCCTTCCCTTCTCTCTTTCTGATCGCAGTTTCTCGTCGATGCCTCCGGTTTGAGCAGCGGTTTGAGCAGCTACTTCCTAAATAAAGTTGCAAAATGCAGGAGGAAGCCTTTGCAAGCGCTGCCTTCCGCGCCCAGGCGGGCGAGGAGGACTCCAAACCAATTTTGGCCTCTCTTCCTGGCTTGTCGTTTTTTAAATTCTTTGTGCCGCGATCGTAGACCGCGCCGTTTAAATCCAATGGTTTGTAGCCAACGAAGTTCTGCTCAAAGTCGACCCATAGCAGACACACTGAAATCGATGCACCGATATTAGTCGTGTGCATTTGCTTAAACGGGTCCACGCTGGGCGGGGGGGGGGAGAGAAGCCTGTTCTTTTTTTAGAAGGAACAGAAGTAGTTCAGGGTTGAGATAGGATGGTGACATAAAGCAGCCAGATGGGGGTAAAAATACTGTTATAGCAAAACTACTGTTGACTTTAATTAGAAAATAACGGATTGCACCAGTTTGGGTACACAGTTCTAAAATTCCACTGCTCTTATTCCTCCCCCCCCCCCCATTTATACCTTGGAATGCAAACTGATGCACTTAAGAGTTTTAAAACTTTTCCTTGGAAGCAGATTTATAACAGTCATAAAATTAAAATCTTACAACATTGCAATTCTCTGCATGTTTGCCTAAAAGTAGGTCTACCAAGGCTGTATACACACCATGCATGTCAAACACATTATTATTATTATTAATAATAATAATAATTCAATTTATATGAATTACATATAAATCACATACATAAATTACTTCTATTCTGGGAACTGTAGTTTGCTTCGGGTGCTGGAAATTGTATCTTTCTGGGTGTAAACTACATTTCCCAGCATTCTTTGGGGAAGCCAGGTGTTTTAAATGTATGATGTGTTTGCAGCCTGTGAAGCCTACACCCAAGTAAGTCTGCTGCGTTCAGACTCTGGGCCCCCAACATTTTGCCCCAGATACCCCTCCCACATTGTTTCTTCCCAAGGACCCCTGGCCCTCTTTTTAAAAAGAAAAGAAGGGGGACTTTTGTCCTTTGGGGTGTCCAGCATGCTTTTCCCCTGTGTTTTATTACTTTGAGAGAAAGCTGAGGGGCATGTTTCTGAGCATCATCAATTTTTCTCCTGTGAAATGTGTTTTTTTGTGGTGTCCAAAAAAGTTGCTCAGATTTTCAAATGTGCCCTTTGATCCAGAAAGACCCCTCAATCAGGTTAGAGTTTAACTGGGTGCTGCCTGAACCAGGCTTGACAGATGTGTGGGACCACCCACTTGAGGTTATAATATCAGGCGAACCTGTTTTTGCCCACAAAGTTCTGTCAATCAAAGCAAGGTGCCCAGAGTTGTGCAAGCCTTGACAATCAGCTGATCGTCATGTTGAGGTTTGCGAGAGCTGGCAGTCAGCTGATTGTCACCCTTTCCAAAGTCCTGTGCTTTGGAGGTGGTGCTGATCAGCTGATTGGTAGTGCTTGCAAACCCTCTTTGGCTCAGCCATGCCTTTACCTGCCCACACCTGCCATCCTACGGCACACCTCTTCCCAAATCAGCAACGGGAGCATGCTGGATGCTGAGTAAACAGGAGTGTGGGCATGTAGGATTTATTGAGTGTATTTGTTTGTGAGTTGTTAAGATTTTGGTTTATGATATTTATTTTTTAAATATCAAGCTGCTGCGCTAGTTCGGAGAGGTGTGGGGCTTATAATTTGCCTTTCCCCCCTGAACCTTTAGACTTTACTGCAGTACACTCTTCTCTGCAATTGGAAGTCTAAAACAGAAAATTGGGAATTGGCACACGCTCCCATATGTATGTACTAAAAATGACCTGACAGCAAAAGATAACCCATAGGTTGCATACTGCCCACCCCTATTGCAGGCTGCTTGTTTTTGCGTAGGTCAGGGGGCAAGCCTGTTGAGGACTGCATTCCTTTGGGTGGGGTATAACCCGAGGGAGCCATGTGGTGGCAGTGGGCGGACAAAAGACAACTGTGGGTGGGGCCAGATCTTTTTCTCCCTGCCCACCCTTTTCTCCCCTGCCCAGTGAATTGGATGGATTAGCTCATTTGTCTTGCCAGCATTCAGGTCTGAGCTAATTGCTTCCAGGGGTCTTCTGAAACTGGGCCAAGGCAGCCCTAAGGCCACAGGTTGCTCATCCCTGATGTAGGAATTGGCTGAAGTAGCTGGTTTGGTGGGGTGGGAGGTTTAGACAAACAATAAAGTTCTTCTTTGAATAGTGATGGGGAGAAATTTGATTCAGGTCAAATTTAAAGGCAAACCCACCTAATTCTTACTTTCTGAAACAGGGCCCAGATCAAAACCCAGGTACCCTTCAAAATTCACACTTCCTTGAATTTTGCAATGCAGTTCTGGAGCCCATGCATATAAAAACTCATATACCGAGATCAAGTGCCTATCAAAGGGCATATAATAGTGAAAATAGCATACAAAAATTCATAACTTTTGGTTAAAGTATGGACAGAAATAATGATAATTTTTGTGCAATTTTTTTATTTTATTGCAGATCGATGCGAAAACGGAATGGAACAGCCTTGTGAATGAACACACGCAAAACAGCTGCAAGCCAGAACTGATCAGTCCGTCCCTAGAAGACAGTCTTGCTATTGGGATGGCAGGTCAGTATGTCAAATTCATTTTGTGTGTACAGTGGTACCTCGGTTTACGAACTTAATCCGTTCCGGAAGTCCGGTCTTAAACCAAAACCATTCTTAAACCGAGGCGTGCTTTCCCTAATGAGGCCTCCCACCGCTGGTGCCCTTCCATCATTCGGATTCCTTTCTTCATCCGAGGTAAAGTTCTTAAACCAAGACACTACTTCCGGTTTTGCGGAGTTTGTAGACCAAATCGTTCTTAAACCGGACTGTTCTTAAACCAAGGTACCACTGTATCTGTGTTTATTTTATATCTGTGTGTGTACACACACTAAGATCACCAATTCATACAATGTAACATAGTGTACAATGATAGGTAAAGTAAAGGGACCCCTGACCATTAGGTCCAGTTGTGGCTGACTCTGGGGTTGCGGTGCTCATCTTGCTTTATTGGCTGAGGGAGCCGGCATACAGCTTCTGGGTCATGTGGCCAGCATGACTAAGCCGCTTCTGGCAAACCAGAGCAGCGCACAGAAACACCGTTTACCTTCCCACTGGAGCGGTACCTATTTATCTACTTGCACTTTGATGTGCTTTCGAACTGCTAGGTTGGCAGGAGCAGGGACCAAGCAATGGGAGCTCACCCCGTCGCAGGGATTCGAATCGCGACCTTCTGATCAGCAAGTCCTAGGCTCTGTGGTTTAAACCACAGCGCCACCCGCATTTCCGTACAACGATATATACAATCAAATGTAAAATACCATAAAGAAAGTGCAAAACGGTCATTGAAATGACCGGTTGATCAAAAAATTAAAACCATTACATGGACCTATCTTGGTTAGATCTCTCTCTGCTGCCCACTGTTCACTTTAGCCTGATTCTGAATTGGTGACTTTACAGGCTGGTTCAAGGCGATTCTGCAGAAGTCCAGGAACACTTCCAGCTCCTCAAAATGCCACTTGAACAATATTTCTAAACATTCACCTTCACCTTCTCCGTTGAGTAGTTCCAGCACCCCAACAAGCAACTCGACAACCAGCCCCAAACAGGTGCCCTCTGCCTCCCAGGTAAGCGTGAGCATCTCAGGCAGCGCCCGCTGGAACAAGTTGTATGACGTGTGCATCTGCCACAACGAGGGCGACCTTGGGTTTGTGGAGGAGCTGGTCTCCTACTTGGAGAGCCAGCCAGAACGCTTTCGTTGCTTCCTCCAGCCCCGGGACTCTGCCCCTGGGGGTGCCATCGTCACGGAGCTGTGCGATGCCGTCCAGAACAGCCACTGCTGGGTGCTGCTCATCACGCCCAACTTCCTCAAGGATCCTTGGTGCCGTTACCAAATGCACCACGCTTTGACGGAGGCGCCCATGGCGAACGGGCGCACCATACCGGTGCTGAAGGACATGGACCGCAAAGACTATCCCCGGGAGCTCCGATGCCTCTATTACATCAGCGTGACGCTCCAAGAGACCAGCTTCAGGCAAATCAGAGAGACGGTGCTGCGCTGTAAGTAAGAGAGGGCTTCTTAGCAGCTTAACCATTTCCGTGGACGCATGTCAGGGACCGTGCTGAGGAGGGCTGCACTGAGAAAGAACGGTGGGAGCCTCCCTCTGCTCCTGATCAGGATCCTGAATCTTCCCAGGAGCAGGAGGACAGTATAGATTTGGAACAGTGGTTTGCAGAGGGGCATAGTTCAGAAGGCAGAAGCTGGGAAATACTGGATGGGGAACAGCTAGGAGAAGAAAGACCGGGAGAGAGAGAGAGTGAACAGATTTACTGTCTCTGGAACGAATTCATCCGCTCTCCCCAAGGTCGAAAAGATCTGAGAAAGTGGCAGAACAGAAAGCACAGAGGGTACAAGCTCAGGTTATAAGACGTAGGAGTGATGTGGATGATAGGGACTTAAGGGGGTGGAATTCTTAATTGGGAGCACCGCCATTCCTAGGAGATGGGTTCTTTGTTCTCTCGCTGTGATCATCAAAGTTCCTAACTGGTAAGAAGGCTCCTTTTCCTTTGTTCTGCTTATCTACTGCCACGGTGGGGAGGAAGCTGATTCCCTGAAGCCTGACAGCGCATCGGTTGTACTCCACAAATTCACAACCACATTTTCTTCTTCCTCGCTGGTCTGACGGTCCTATTCTCTCCCCGCCCCCCATCTCTCTGTCATAACTGCCTCAGCTGCCCCTTTCTCAACATTCCAGTCCGGTGGCTAAATTTATTGTTTTATTTATCTTATTTATTTATTAAATTTGTATATCGCCCTTCATCTGTACACCCGACCAGCCCCGGCCAGCTCCAGAGACAACAGAGCTACTGCAACAAACAGCTGGGCAACCCTTTGGGAGGCAGAGACACAAGAAGGCATAAAAGCGGGGAGGGAAGGAAAGGACAGAAGCCAGTGTTGCCCACAGCACCCCTGACCATCATTCAAGGCACCCCAGGGTGCCATAGCACATTGGTTGAAAGCCACTGATGTATTACATAAGGTTAAAGATAAAGGGACCCCTGACCATTAGGTCCAGTTGTGGCCGACTCTGGGGTTGTGGTGCCCATCTCGCTTTATTGGCCGAGGGAGCCGGTGTACAGCTTCCGGGTCATGTGGCCAGCATGACTAAGCCGCTTCTGGCGAACCAGAGCAGTGCACGGAAACGCAGTTTACCTTCCCGCCAGAGCGGTACCTATTTATCTACTTGCACTTTGACGTGCTTTCGAACTGCTAGGTTGGCAGGAGCAGGGACCAAGTAACGGAAGCTCACCCAGGATTCGAACCGCTGACCTTCTGATCAGCAAGCCCTAGGCTCGATTTAGACCACAGAGCCACCCGCGTCCCACCTTGGTTTAAGACAACTTCCTATGTACAGCCCTGCAAGCCAATAGATGCAACTGCTTGTGGCAAAATGGTAGAAAGCAATGCCTGTTTACTGGGTGCTAACCATGGAGTTTTTATGAATGGGTGAAGGTTGTCTGAGGTTTCATAAGTGTCTGGTTCAAAGCTCCTAACAGCTTGTCTCTCTCTCAGATCTTCAGGAGCTCTGTCAGAACACAAGCAGAAGAGGTGAACTGGACATCCTGCAACAGAAGAAATAAAGGCTGGGCCAAAGGAACATCTTGTTGTGCATCTGGGATTGGTGAAGAAGTCTTCATGGTGTGTTCTCTCTCTAGCGGGCCTGGCCTCTCACACCGTTTGAAGGGCAGATCTCATCCCAGTTTGCTGTTCACAGTCTGGAAAGAGCACAAACTGGTTATCATTCTGGTGTGCTTTATGCTCTGATAGTCCTAATTGGAATGATTGTGTTAGTTTTGCCCACCACAATCATAGGGACACTAATATTAACACTTGGGCCGTCCTGGAAAATATTGAAGTGTGAGCTGCTCCAGTTCACAGTGCCAGCCTTCCAGCCCTGCCCTCTTTTATGATACTCCATTCCATTCCCTCACAGCCCCCAATTTCTCTCCCTTTGCTGCAACGGTAATTCTGTGCCCATTGTAGATGCCAGGTTCTCATTGTGCCCAATATAGCTTCTCTCACCCCCCAAACCAAACACTTGAGTTTCTTCTTTTTTTTAAGTTTGGGTCTCCCTCAATGAAGGATAACCATTTTTGCCCCAGAATCCCTCCAGAAAGCTTGTGACTAGCCAGAAATTTGAAAGAAGTGTTATCTGACACAAGGTTTCATCATAGGCCTGACTGCTAAACTGTATCTGAAATTTGGACCTTATCTGTCATGCTGGGGTTGAAGGCACATTCATTTTTTCCCAATTGCCTTTTATCATATACAGTGGTACCTCTGGATGCGAATGGGATCAGTTCCGGAGCCCTGTTCACATCCTGAAGAGAACGCAACCTGCGTGGGTCGCAATTTGCCGCGTGACATCATTTTGAGCGCATGCGCGAGCAGCGAAACCCAGAAGTAACGCATTCCGTTACTTCTGAGTCGCCGCAGAGCACAACTCAAAAACGCTCAACCTGAAGCAACTTTAACCCGAGGTTTGACTACAGCAGGGCAGTCCAACATGTGGACTGAGGGCCACACATGGCCCTCAAAGCCCTTTTTGGCAGCCTTCGGCAACATTTGAACCCCCTCCCCTCTCACTTCCTTCCCAAAGGAAGGCGTGAGGGCTCTGATAGGGTCCTAGCATCTTCCTGCCTCCTTCCCAAAGGCTAGTTAGCACTCTCCCAGCTTTGGGAAGGAGGTAGGAGGGGTCTAGGACCCTGTCAGAGCTTTGTACCTCCTTTCCAAAGCCCAGTGCATTGGAAAGGCAGTTTGAGGGCTGGGAGAGGTATCAAATTTCGGCCTTGCTCCATTCACCCTCCTTGCACTGTGCAACAAGGCAGTGTGTGACCTCCCGGTTCCATGTCAAATTATCCTTGCAGCCCAGTTGGTATGAAAGCTTGGACCACCCTGATGTAGACCAAGACCAAATGACCTTGTTATGCTGCTGTTCAAGATTGTATAGGTGGTGAAACTTTTGTAGCCCAAAGGCCACATTCCCTTCTAGGCAGCCTTCTGAAGGCCACGTGTTAATGGTGGGCGAGGCCAGAGAAGAAGAAGAAGAAGAGGAGTTTAGATCTGATATCCCACTTTATCACTACCCAAAGGAGTCTCAAAGCGGCTAACATTCTCCTTTCCCTTCCTCCCCCACAACAAACACTCTGTGAGGTGAGTGGGGCTGAGAGACTTCAAAGAAGTGTGACTGGCCCAAGGTCACCCAACAGCTGCATGTGGAGGAGCGGAGACGTGAACCCGGTTCACCAGATTACAAGTCTACCGCTCTTAACCACTATACCACACTGGAAAAAGTGGAAGGAGCAGTAAACGAAAATGTCACCTTTAAGCTAGTTTCTACAGACTCTCCCCCACACCCCTCTCTATCTTCCATCCAGACAATAAAAAGGGCATTATCAGAGCTCAAGGACACAGTTGAGCCAAGCAAAAACACATGGGCTGTGAGGGAGACGCAGTGAGGGGTGTGGTCTGGAGCAAATTCTAGGGCCAGGCAGAGGTGAGGGCCACATTGGGGACACCCAGGCCTGACATTCCCCACCCCTGACATGTTTAATCTATTCTGACCTCTCCTTCAATCCACCACATGCAAATTTGGATGAAAATAATAAGCTGCGTTCTGCATTTCTGCCCTACCACATGACCTGGATGAATCAGCCAGTGAGTGGATAGAGTGGGAAGAAAGTTAATACTCTATCTAATACTTATCAATTTTCTTGTCCGCTACAAATTTTAGCCCCAGGAAGTGGGGACCCTGTGGTCTTCCAGATGGTGTTGGACCTCCCATTAGCCTGCATGGCTAGTGGCTAAGGATGACAAAGACTGTAGTCTAGCACCAGAAGTTCTCCATCCCTGTTACAGCCTATGGAATGGGTGTCTCAATGTATTATTTGGATGTTCAGTTTGTTTTGCAGGCCACTTCGCCAAGAAACAGAGATAAGGGCAGACTTTTTGCTGTCGATGCCTATTTTTGTAATGTTATAGAATGTGATTTTTGTGTGTTTAAGTCAAAACTTAATTCATTCACTTAACTTTTCTCTAAGTAAATGTATTTGGAGTAGACCATTCAGTGTCGTCATCTGATATTCTGGACAGCACGGCGCGTTAACATGATTTTGCTTAGCAACCATTATGAAACCATAGCAGTTTTGGTTCCTTTTTGCTTCTCTTGAGTTGAAGGCCGTTGTGTAACACAGAGCACTGAGTAATAGCGAAAGCAACGGTAGAAACCTCATCTTTTGACAAGGCAAATCAAAGTCTTTAAACAAACCAAAACTTCAGAGTGTAGTTCTGGTGATTCTCCCACAGAGCTTCCGACTGGCTAAAAAACAGCCCAGACTTCCCTCTTATAACTAAGGAACCTTGTTGGAATGTCACATGATTTTAGGCACCAAACTGTTCAGATCCAGCAGTTATTTCAAACCTCCTCCACCCACCCTGTTCTAATTCATCACTGGTCCAGTTAAACCCTTGGAGCAAATATATATGACAGACACAACCCAACACACCAACCCTTTTAAGTCTGTAGGCTTGTGCACACATTATACTGAATGCAGGTACAAGCTCTTTTGTACATGTATATAATTGTTTGTGCAAAAAAACACAGCTTTCTTGATTTGTACAGATCAGCAACAGTGTACACAGACTGTAAACTTGTTGCATGTTACATGTAAATAATTATGAACAGATCAGCTAATATGTCCACAGATTGTGCTTTGAGTATATTGTGACTTGGAACTGATTTCAGTTTACTCGTCATTGGCACTTTTATTGAATTGGGTGCCACTCTACCTGCCTACTATTGGTAAACAGGATGTTCGCAGTGGAGATAGAGGGATAAAATCCCTCCTCTATTTACCTATACTAATTCATGGCCAATGGGATCCCTGCAGAGGACAGTTCTACATGATGCACCAGAAGTTCTGGCTGTGTGCAACTATAAAAAACTGGCACGTAGGCTGCAACCCACAATGTACTTCTTATTATTTATTACTCACTCTTCACCCTAAGGTGGGCTTACTATCTATTTATTTATTTCAGGGTGGTGTTCCAGGTTGTGAAGAAAATTCAGACAACGTATAAATGCTGTATTGTTGAAATACTAGGGAGTAAGTCCTGTTGGACACAACAATACTTGCTTTCATGTAAAAGTTCATAGGGTTGTACTGTGTGTTGCATGAAATGAAGGATGCAATCTTGTACAAATTTATCTGCAAGCTGCCTTCTGAGTAGATATGCACAGGATTGCAAGGTAGTTTGTCTTGATAAGACAGCAAGACGCCTAGGGTTTGGCTACCGAGGTACCACTGTATGGAGTTTGTGGCTTCTCGTTTGAATCTGGAGGCAAAATTTGGTCTTTGCTGGGCAGAAGTGAGAGCTGCTTTTTGAAAACAGCTTAGAAAAACACGGAACTAGCCTAGTGGCGATTGGATAACAGTACAGCCTCTATCCCAAACAAAAGGAAAAAGCAACCTACGGTAACTCCTTTAGTTTGCATGTAGTTTTGCTTTAATAATTTCAAATCACAAGGTGCCTGCTCGCAAACCGATGAAAGTTCATGGCTTCTGCATGCAATTAATCTGAACAGAGAATTAGATCCTGAGATTTCTCCGCTATTTTTATTTATTTACCGCTGTTATTTCCTGCCCAGCTCAGAAGTTTTGAAAAGTGCCTAAAGGGGCCCTGAATGTCCACGTGCATACCGCTGGATTTCAGCTCTACACTTTTCCTGCGTCTACGTTGGGAATGTGACCGCGCTCCAACGCATGCGTACAATGACTTGGTAAAGCCACTCTCTCCACCACCCCCGGTAGCTGAGACCTCCCTGCCAGCAGAGGGAGCTGCCCGCCCTGACGCTCAATAGTTGAGCGAGCGCGGGAAGCGTTCGAGGCCACAGCGCATGCGCGCCAATCGGTTCTAGAGAAATGGCGGAGTCCCCCAGCGCTAAGCGAAAGCGTGAGGCGAAAGATGGAGAGAACGGGAACGCCGAGTCCCAAGGGGAAGGCTCCGGCGCTGGCACCTTCCCCTTGGCTGACATCTCCGTGCGCAAAGTGCTTAGGGAGTCTGCGCGCGACAAAACCATCTTCCTTCACGGGCAGGTAGTAACATTTGTTTCTGGAGCCGCTGAGGGCCAATCAAATTCAAGGGGCGGGGCTAGACGTAACGGTATTATTTTACCCCGCCTCTTTAGGAAGATCCCATTCTTCATCTCCAGGGGGGACCGTGGGAAAGTGGGCTGTGCCAAAAAGGGAGGGGGAGGTTGAGAAAGTTGACAATTTTCTTTTCTAAGAGGATGCTGTGCTTCTTTTTATTTTATTGTATTTATCATATCCTGCCCTTACTTCCAAAGGAGCCCCCGGGTGCCAAATTTATACCCTTGCATAAAGTAGGTGATTTTTTTTGTGAGTTAACATAAAGTTGGTTTTTTGTATGCATACAACCTTCCTGATCTCACAGAGATCTTCCTGAATAAAAATTATAATAGCGCCGGCGCGGATTATGAGATGTTACAGACCTTCACGCACGACAATTATTTTTACAGTGCAGCCAGTGTGCTACAGTGAACTTGAAATGTGTGTATGTGTTTGATGTTGTTTGTGGTATTTTGGTATTATTATTATTTATTTCTAGACTGCCTTTCATCTGAAGATCACAGGACAGTTTACAATACAAAAACACAGAAATACATACCGTAATTACAAACGAAAACAATACCCCCATACAAACTTAGTTTTAAAAGGCTGTAAAGGTAAAGGGAGGGACGCGGGTGGCGCTGTGGGTAAAACCTCAGTGTCTAGGACTTGCCGATCGTATGGTCGGCAGTTCGAATCCCCGCGGCGGGGTGAGCTCCCGTCTTTCGGTCCCAGCTCCTGCCCACCTAGCAGTTCGAAAGCACCCCTAAGTGCAAGTAGATAAATAGGTACTGCTTTATAGCGGGAAGGTAAACGGCGTTTCCGTGTGCTGCGCTGGTGCTGGCTGGCCAGCTGCAGCTTCGTAACGCTGGCCACGTGACCCGGAAGTGTCTTCGGACGGCGCCAGCTCACGGCCTCTAGAGCGAGATGAGCACGCAACCCTAGAGTCGGACACGACTGGCCCGTACGGGCAGGGGTACCTTTAAAGGTAAAGGGACCCCTGACCATTAGGTCCAGTCGTGACCGACTCTGGGGTTGCGGCACTCATCTGGCTTTATTGGCGTGGCCAACATGACTAAGCCGCTTCTGGCAAACCAGAGCAGCGCATGGAAACGCCGTTTACCTTCCCGCCGGAGCGGTACATGCTTTCGAACTGCTAGGTGGGCAGGAGCTGGGACCGAACAATGGGAGCTCACCCATCGCGGGGATTCGAACCACCGACCTTCTGATCGGCAAATCCTAGGCTCTGTGGTTTAACCCACAGTGCCATTAGCCAAAGGCCCAGGAGAAGAGGAATGCTTTTGCCTGGCATGATTGTATAGTATTATATTTTTTCATAGTAAACTGCCCTGGGGTATATTTGTATGGAGAGTGCTACCTTGAAATATAACTAAATGCGTTCAGAATACTGTATAAAATGTAAACTGTTGGACATAGATAATGGCATGTGCTGTCAACCTTTTTGGGCCCATAGGCACATTTGTAAAGAGGATAAATTGCCAGAGACACACATAGGCTAAACATTTGACATTTTAAATTGTTTTTTACTGTAGCAATACTGTGTTTTAGGTTTGTATGCCACCTTGTGCTATTTCTTATATCAAAATAATAAATGCAGGAAGTATTTCAAAATAGAACTACACCAAAGTCCTAATCATCTAAAATGATAGCAACTGTAGGGCAGTGATCATCTTTACCTCCTGTGGATAAGGGTTGTGGAAAATCCCAGTACCCTGGTTGTCCAGGCACCAAGCCAAGAAATGTTATGTTTGTGCTTACAAATGTGAAATGCCGATTCAGTTGTTAGGAGCTGCTACTTACAAATCTGATGCTGGCCCATAAAAGCTCAAAGGTGTTCCTTCATAAATAAAACTACTTTTCAATAAAACTTTACTTAGAGAGTCTATGGAGCTCTGAGACCCCGTATACTTTGTTTAGTAGCACTAAGATAAGTGACACTAGTATAATTGAACACCACTGGTTTTTATGTGGTCATGCAGCAACACCAATTATGGTTATTGCCATCATGGGTAATAAGTTATGATTGGAATTGGTAGAATTATAGCTGTGGTTATTATAATATTAACTCTTTTTATGGTGGGTGCTTATCTCTGCAATAATGAGCGGGTAATGACAGAAGGGAATCCTCATCTGCTGTGGTCAGGGCAGAGATGCAATGTTATCTTCTTCGCTCTCTAAATTTTAACTGATTTCCAACCCATTTGCAAAGGCTGTGGAGCACACTTTATATAGGCCCCAGAATTTGGATGCAGAAATATTTTCTTTCTCATTTTTTACCATATTTATTACAAACCATTTATATGCAATGAAGTAGATGTGGAATACTGTACATACTCTGGCTGCAACATCCAAAGAAAGGGGGAAGATCCTATTACAAGGACACAAGAATAGCCTGGCCTACAAGGCTCTTTTCCCTAAACCTGCCTCATAACTGGCATAGGTGACATAAGGTGTGGGGCAAGTGGAGATTTGGCTGCCAATCAGGAGCCTTAAAGTACAAGGGAAAACAGGCTTTGACTGTACTGCCCACCAGCCGGTGAGCTGTATAAGCACAGCCTGCTGGATTGAGTGCACACGGTGCATTGAAGTCCCAACTTCATAATAATAATAATAAATTTTATTTATACCCCGCCCTCCCCAGCCAAGACCGGGCTCAGGGCGGCTAACACCAAGTATAAAAACAGTTGATTGAAATACAACTTTAAAATACAGCATTAAAATGCAGCCTCATTTCAATAGGAACTCAAATCAAAAACTTTTTGGGGGATGAAAACGTCAAGTCTTCACCAAGGCCAGCTATCCAGACTGGTCCTACATGGGCCAGAAAAAAGCCAGGGAAGTCCCCAAATAGGAGTTCCATCACAGAAGAAGAAAGGAAAAAGGAAAGAGGGGGAGGGGATCAAGTTGATTCCAAGCCAAAGGCCAGGCGGAACAACTCTGTCTTACAGGCCCTGCAGAAAGAAATCAGATCCTTCAGGGCCCTGGTCTCATGAGACAGAGCGTTCTACTAGGCCGGAGCCAGTGTTGAAAAGGCCCTGGCTCTGGTTGAGGCTAATCTGACTTCCTTAGGGCCCGGGACCTCTAGGGTGTTGCTATTTATGGACCTTAAGGTCCTCTGTGGGGCATACCAGGAGAGGCGGTCCCGTAGGTACGAGGGTCCTAGGCCGTTCAGGCTCATTTTGACAGGTGGGCAGCCTTCCATAGAGACAAGAAGGTTTCCTACTCCTGTTCTATGGGCCCTAGAAAGAGGTGGAAAAGGAACTGTGATCGTCGTAATATTGAAGAGGATCAAAAGGTTCCCTAGGGCTATCCATTCACTCGTCAGCCTCCGTCCTCCCCAAATCCACCTGTTCTGTTCTGACCCTTAGCAGAGTTGCTGCAGAAGACAGAATAGATGTGCTACTATTTCAGAGCAAGTACTTCAGGGTGGCTCATGCAAATAAGCCGGGCAGCATGCAGAGGAAGGCCATCCACAAAGGCACTGGCCAGTCTGAGCCTGATCTGGGCGGAGGATTCTCTTCTGATCCCACTAATGTGGTCCCTGATCAGTCCTTGTGAGAAGAAGCCCCATCCATTGTGTAAATCTCTGTGTGTGCTGCCTTTCAAGCATTTTTCCCCTGTTGTGGCCTTTGTTGAAATTCAGGAACTGGATCGGGTTCAGCAGACTTCTAGGTTTGGCAGCCAGGAATAAATGAGAGGCTTAGAGGGCAATCTTATTATACTGTGCGGTTCAGAAGGGAGGGACTGTGTGTGGAATGGGGCACAGGTTGCATTGTTCCACCTAACAAAAGCACTAGATACCCATCTCGAAGCTTAGATTATTTTTTTTCTTATTAGCATATCTATTGCTTTTAGCCTGGAGATCAGTTTTTCATGTTTAGTGTTTAAAGTGGAATTGAATTGCAAACTAGCAGTTAACTGAAATGCTGTAAATAAGATGGATGGAGTTGTCACTTAGGAGGCCATAAGAACGGGAAATTTGCAAGTACTCTTTTAATTCACCGTTTACAGCTGTACAGTGTTCGGGAGGCAGGTTCTTCCTTGCGGGCGGGGGTATACAGTTGGGTTAGTTCTTTTATTGTCCTCTGTAAATCCTCTTCCTAGATAGCCAAGGCACATGATGAAGTGTCAGGAAATTGCATGGCATCTCTATAATTTCCAAGTAGCATGTAAATTCTAGATGAATGGCTTTTCGAAAGGACTTGGAAAATGGATTAGTCTCTCTAGGTCAAATTCAGGGTGGGGAGGAGGAGCTGAAACATTTCAAGGCGTGGAGGATCAATAAACCGGAGTTAAAAGGCGGCGGCGGCAGCAGATAATGTGTTTCTGTTGGAACAGCTAAGGTCAGATTTAATAGATGTAAGTGGGACCTGCAACAAAGTGTTGCAGTCTATCTGTGTCCCACCAGGTTGCATCTATAGTATAGGAATTTGGAACCTTATGACACACGTCCACCCATCCTAATCAACCCCCGCCTTCTAGAAGCTTACTTTAAGCTGCTGGGAAAGGATGAGGAGCCTGTTGCTCTTCACATGTTATTGGGCGCCCACCATCCCTGACGATGGGAATTGGAGTCCACGACAATGAGAAGGCAACACATCTGCTGCCCCTGGTGTAGACAGTTCTAAACTAGATGGACCAATGGTCTGACTCTGTAGATGGCAGCTTCCTACAGTCCTGTGGATCCCAGGCATCTTCGTTGCACTTGTAGAGGTCTCTTGTAAAAGATTGGGATGACCCACGTGATTGCCTGCTTCACACAATCATATCCTGACTTAGTAAGTTATGCTCCAGCTTTCTTGCTTCCCCCATTGTTCCCTCCCTTGGCTTCTGGATCCTGGTGTGTTTGGAAGCCATGAATCATAGTAATGGGAAGCTGTGGTGAAATGCAACTTCCTGGGTCCAGTTCTGCAAAGCTCATGCTTATTAAACCAGAATTTGATTGTGCAGACTTGACTAATGTGTGTGAAATGTCATCAATCAGTTCCATTCATCCACTATATCCTGTTCTCTCTGCCTCTGCCCCCCCCCCTCTCTCACACACACACACACGTCTCCTAATGTGAAGCAATGGCACTGTTTCTTTTCCATCCCCATTTGCTGCCTGGCAACAACCCACATTCAGGCTGCGTTTGTATCCATCAGTCCCTCATGATAAAGTAGGGTCTTGCAGTATGGATGCAAGTTTACTCATAGAAAGTTGGTGGGACTAAGCATGCCCCTTTGTACTGCAGTTCTGCCCAGCTGGATGTGCACAAACACCATTTTTCAATTTCCAGAGCCTTCCCCTACTCTTCACATCGACATCATCTTGTGACAGCAGAACTAGTTGTAAGGAAAGGTCCCGATTTCCTCTTGGCTCTTTCTAATGATTCTGGATATGGCACACCCTGAACTAGATGTAGCAGCAGTCATCAGTTTAGATGGCTTTTTTAAAAATGATGACACTGATTCACAGAGAATGGGTTCATCCATGGTTGATTATTTGTCATGATGCTTAAGAGCCAGGGTGGTGTAGTTGATAGAGTAGTTGGACTAGGACCAAGGAGGGCTCGGTTCACACCCCTACTTAGCCATGAAACTCTCTGAACTCCTTAGAGAAGAGTGACACAGAAAATTTAATGACTAATAGCTGAATAGGACCTCCAGTGGTCAAAGGCACCATCCCATTAATTACCACTTGCTGGGTTAAAACAGGGAATGACATTGGTGCCTTGAGCTTCCAAGTTCATCTGGCCAGCAATGGTTGGAAACAGAGTGGTGTCCAAATCAGATGTAAGTCAAAAAGTGGAGTAAGAATGGAAAGTGAAACTACTTTGGTAAGGATACTGACTTGCCCTTAATACTCCTTGGCCTCACTTCTTTGGCCAAATAGGACAGGAGTTGCCTTATACTCAGATCAGTATCATGCACTGTATTGTCCGCACTGTTCAACAGTAACTCTCCAGAATTTCAAACAAGTGTCTTTCCCTGCCCTACCTAGAGATCTGGGGATTGAACCCAGGACCTTCTGTGTGAAAAACAAATGCACTATCACTGAGCTACGGCCCTTCCCTTCATTGACTGTACTACCTGGGCTGATGGGAGTTGGGATTCCAAGAACACCTGGATGACCTCAGGTTCCCTTACTGCGCTAGATGGACCTCAGTTCAAGCCAGTAAGCCAACTCTTACTGTTCTTATTTCTCTAGGTGAACAGCGCTTCTGGTGACGGGACAGATGCTGTGGTGATTTTGGAGAAGACACCCTTCCAGGAGGAGAACATAGCTGAACTCCTGAAGAAACACACCAAGCTCCAGCTCCAGATGTCCAACGACATCTACAGCACTTACCACCTTTACCTGCCTCCTGAGCTGAACGGTAAGCGGCTGGCTAGGGAGGCTTGCCTCCCAGACATCCGTCAATTTATGCAGGCTGATTGCAGTGAGGTTCCTCCAGGTCTTAACCAAAAATACAGTTTGCGTTTCAGATGCCATCCCTGCTATCAGTGGGTTATCTGGGATAGGTTAGGTTCTGCTTCTGTTATGCTGAATTTAGCCAATGGTTTTCTTACCCTGAAAGCTGGAATTCTCCTATGGGCTGGCCCCAGGTTTGAGGGTACACTTGGCAAGCTGTCCTCAATCCCCCCCAAAAAAGCCCTGGGTGTACTGTATAGTGGGTAGCGACAAGCCAGCACTTAACATTTTGCACAATGCTTCAGTGTCCAACATAAGCACCGATCAAGAGCATTATGGGGAAATATAATAAAAGGGCAGCTCACAGACTTAGTCACATAATGCAGTGGTTCCAAGGCAGTCCTGGAGTACTGGGACCCTGGCAGGTGTCCAAAGGTGCCTGCTGTTTCTGCAGTGAAATACAGGAACGGTTCATGTTCTCATATATTCTGGTAGAAGCCAAGATATTGGAGCATGTTACTGGTGTAGTGTGAGCTGGTTATTCCCTGGTTCAGATTTGCCCTTATGGCATAGTTCTGTTAGAACTGTGCCACTTCAGAATGCAAGTGCAGGATCGCCTTTTGATTTAAACCCATATGAAAAAAATGGAATGTCAAGAGGAAGGACTAGTCTAAGAACTTGTTTACTGATATGCTGGTTTTCCATAAGCATGGATCCTCCCCACCTTCATGGAGGAAGCCTTTAGATATGCACCCTTTCCTTGCCTGTGTCTTCAACTGATATAGTCCCAGCAGGGGGGTCGCATTGCATGCTTTCCCCAAGGATTTAAATCATTTATTGGACATAAGACTCACCCGGAACGCTGCCTCCTGTGCTTGAGGGAAGCATGTAGGAAAGCATCAAGGCAGTCACCAATGAGACACAGGTGTTCAGTCATGAGAGATATCTGTGGTTAACATATTGGATTGGGGGATGTTCCCTAACTCTGCAGTTTTAGCAATTCTGACATGTCTCATTTGGGGGAAAGCACTTGCTTTAGTTTAGCTTCCCATATAATTCTGTTTGTTATCAATCATTAGTCCAGGCAGGAATCAGAATTTAAACCTTGGCTTGACATTGATAAAATTCTCAACCCCTATTCTACTGGGTGTTTGTGGTATTATTACAACAGGCACATCTTTTTGTGCTGTTCAGAAGATCTCTGTGCAGGCCAATGGAATAGACAGGTATCCTGTCTGCAACTGTGAGCGCTTTTCTCCCTTTTGGTGACTTCTAACAAGATGCTGCAATTTCCACAAGGTGGCACCCTTGGACAAGAATCAAAGAACCATTCTAAGCAGCAACTGTTACTGAATGACAGGAAGGATCACCTGCTGTTGGTTCAGTTCCCCCCACCCACCGTTATTTGATTTCTGTAACATTTATTTATTCATTTTTTTATTTAGATATGCCACCCAATAACACAAGTTCTCTGGGCAGCTTACAATAAAATACAGTGGTACCTCAGGTTACAGATGCTTCAGGTTACAGACGCTTCAGATTACAGACTCCGCTAACCCAGAAATAGTACCTCGGGTTAAGAACGTTGCTTCAGGATGAGAACAGAAATCGTGCAGCAGCGGCAGCAGGAGGCCCCATTGGCTAAAGTGGTGCTTCAGATTAAGAACAGTTTCAGGTTAAGAATGGACCTCCAGAACGAATTAAGTTCTTAACCCGAGGTACCACTGAACTTTGGTTCTTAAACGGCTTGGCTCCCGAACAAATTGGCTGTCAAACGCTGCAAACCCGGAAGTAAGTGTTCGGTTTGCGAACGGTTTTGGGAAGTCGAAGCAGCTTCTGCTTGACTGCAGGAAGCTCCTGCAGCCAATTGGAAGCTGCGCCTTGGTTTTCAAATGGTTTCGGGAATCGAACGAACTCTCGGAACAGATACAGTTCAATAACCAAGGTACCACTATACAAACAATTAACATACCAAAGAAAAACCACAAAATCTGAATACATGAGCAGCTTGAGCATAAAGCAACGGTGCAACTGCCCAGAAGGCCTGCAAGTGCATGCTAGTCAGCTATGTTGGCATTTCCAAGGATGCTCCCTTGAGATCAAGCCCCATTAACCTCTCTGAGATCCATTTCAGAACAAACAGGCATGCTCTGGATTTAATCTGAAAAGGGCAAGGTGTCCAGGGTGTATAATATCAACTGTTGTTTTGTGGATTTACTGTGCCGTGTGATATTAAGGAGTCTACGCACAGGAGCCAAAAAGTATCTTCCACCAGGTTTTAAGATGACCATTGTTTTAGATTCGAGTCAGGCTGATGTCCAGGTTTATGTTAACAAAGTATGACAGGACGGTGCTACAAAAAAGGCCTTTCCCTTGGTGATACTGCAGTTACAGAATACGGTGGGGTCAGGGGACCGGATTCAATGGGGGGCCAAATCCCTCAGTTCTCCACCCTCTGCTGATTGGTGGTGGGAATGCCCATTCTAAGTGCCTTGCTCCTTTAGCATGAAGCGGTTTGCATTGACAGTTGGGTACAGAGTATTAGAAGTTTGAAAGCGGAGTGTTATTTGCAATTCTAGTCCAGTGCAGGGTGAGTCTATTAAAATGAATGGCTTTGACTATCTTAGGTTCATTAATTTCTCTGAGTGGAACTTAGTTGGATACAACCCAAGGTGGCTCTTCTACATCCAGCTTAAAGCAGAGCATCAACCATGGGATGCTGCTAAATTGACTCGGGCTCAAATCCACATTCAGCTATAAAGCTTAATGGGTAACCCTGGAGCAAGCCTGTCCTTTAGCTCAACCTACCTCATAGGGTTGGTGAGAGAATAAAATGGGAGGAAAACTATGTCCTTTGCCCAGAGCTCCTTGGAGGAAAAGCAGGTTATTATACACGCATACACATACTGAAGCCAGACTAGGAACATAAATCCACCACTGGAGGAATGGGATAGATGGTAGTATTTCTGGATGCTGCGCTGCTCAGTGTTTGGGAAGCAAAACTGAACCAGTTCAGGTATGCCGTACTGATTATTTTATGGAACCTTGTCTAGGCCTGAACCAGGAGAAGAACTTCGTTGCTGCTGAGCCAGCCAGAACAAAAAAAAAAGTACGATGCAATGGTTTGGCTTCTTAGTTGGCTTCTTACAATGCAATGGTTTGGCTTCGGTCGGTAGGCCGAAAGCGAAAAGTGTGCCTGTCCAAGCTCCCAAGCCCACAGGACATTTGAAGCAGAACACTTTTCTCCTTTTGATGGCATTGAAGAGTTGCAAGTTCTAGCAGCCTTCTGCCCCTCCCACCTTCCCACTTGTTCGCCAGCATCCCTCAGAGGCATGTGTGAAACACTTACTTTATTATCTAGTTAATGCTCCTTTCAAGGCGTGTCTCCTCGGAGCTTACATAACCTAACGGGTATAATGAAGCCATTATAAGGCTATAAAGCATGGCTTTAATTTTTAATAGCTTTAGCGGGTGTGTTGTTGTTTTTCGGTTGCCTGTGATGCACCCTTTTGTTTTGTTGCTGTCGCTAGACCAAACTTAACTGTGTGAGCTGGAAGAGAGCTATTATGCTCTCTGGCTCTGTTTTAAAAGGGGATACCATTTCTTCTCCTCCTAGGTTAGAACTGATGTCTACCTCTTTTTTGTGTATGTGAGAGAGCTAGTAAGAGCCTGTGAGTGCAAGTCAAGACCTGGGTTCAAGGCCCTCATGAAAAACAAAAGAAGAGCCTTCTGGATCAGGCAGCATCCTGTTCTCACAGTGGCTAGCTATGGGAAGGCTGCAAGCAGGATCTGAGTGCAGCAGGACTCGCCCCAGCAAAAGCCTTGTCTTCTATTAAGTTTGTCTAATCCTCTTTTAAAGCCATCCAAATTGGCGGCCATCACTGCCTCTTGTGGGAACCTCCTCTCCCCATGATTTAGAATTCTGCTCCCAAGTTGGAGGCCTGGCTTCAAAGCCTTTCTCTGCCATGCATAGCCTTGGATAGGGCAGCTGGTGCCTCCCAGAAATGGTGGCTTCTGTGGAATAACACTTGTAGTTTAATGGTGAATTTTAGATATAATGGAGATGTAAAATATTTGGATTATTGTAAAAGATGCAGGAGGAAATGATTCCCCACAAAGGGGAGGAGGGATGTCCAGGAGATTCTTTGGAATCTTGTCTTTATGTTGTACGTTAGATAAAATTCTAATTTGAAAAACCTATATCTCTATCTATCTATCTATCTATCTATCTATCTATCTATCTATCTATCTATCTATCTATCATCTATCTGTCGGGGTGTGTGTGTGTGTTTAAATGGTGGCTCTTGAAGCTCCTCACTCACATTGTGTTCCCATGCGCGCGCGTGCGCACACATACACACACAGTGGATTGTCATAACTTCCATTTGCTGTGGTTCTACAGTTCTGGGGAGTGTGTCCGTATCAGAATCAGATGGACAAGTCATTTTGGGTGGCTGTTTCTCACCCGAATGATGACAACGATGATCACTTCCGCCCTTCCCCAGAAAGTCCCAAGGCAGATTATAGCAAGGCACAGAATTAAAACAAGTTACATCTTAAAGCAAATTACAGTCACAATTAGGGTGGATCCTAAAATACACGTACTGTTTCTCAGGTGTCCAAAGCCAGGGAAAGAAGTGCATCTTCAGCATAG